CTCCCGCCCCCTGTCTTCCTCCCTCCCCCCTCTCTCTCTCTTTCTCTCTCCCTCTCTCTGTGAGGATGATGTAGGTGGGTGTGTGGTGTATGGCAGTGTGTGATTGGGGGACGTGTGTGTGCGGGGGGGGCTGCAGTAGTGATGCAGTGTTTAGAGCAGCAGCAGACGGACGCAGTCTCAGCCCTCACACACACACACACACACACTCACACAGTCACACACACACACTCACACACACACACACTCAGTAAAGGCTGCAGAAACACACAGCAGTAGTCCTTTGACTCTGGCGCAGTGTTGCCTAAATCCAGGGTCACCACAGCGTGACCTCTGACCTGCAGCGGTTTTGGAAAGTAGTGATGAAGATAACGGAGCATTTAGATATGAAACATATGAGGATCATGATATATGAAGAGCCTTTAAAGGAGAGTTTAAGAAGATATGAATAAATCGAGAACATGCCCTCAGAACCCAGAGGGGTAATACTGCACTCTAAGGCTGCGTCTCAATCCTAACACTCCCTACCCCCTACCTAGTGCACTATGTAGGTCAAATAAACAGCAGCTTCTTCTGATGGTGCAGTATAGGTCTGATATACATCTGTACATTCACCCATAAACTGCATGACTCACTGTGTTTACTGTGGCTGGTCAGATTACACTCTTAAAAAAGATGGTTCTTCAAGGGTTCTTTAGTAAAGACAGCGGTTCTATTCAGAACCATGGTCACTCACAGAACCATTTGCATGCTTAAATGGTTCTTTGCATGGTAAAACGGTTCTTCAGATTGGCTCTGTCTGCAACCTTTTTGGTGCAATATAGAACCATATACAGCACATTCTCCATTAATCTGAAGAACGATAAGAAAAAAACAGGGAACAGTTTCTGGGTTTTATTAAATCACAATAATTTGGTAGATTAGCTTCACATAAATTAACAACACAAACATAAATAAATAAATACTTAAGACCACTCTACGGAAAAAAAAACTATTAAAGCTAATCAAATTAGCCAAACTTTTACCCCAAGCATGATCACTCAGTCATGATTGGACCAAAATAGTCACATGATATGCACTTGGGAAATGACAACATAGGTTTAGATATGTAATATTTATAAAATATACACATATACAGAACTTAAATAAATAAACTCTTAAATAGAATAGTAGTTCTATGATTTGCATGTGTTAAAGTGTTAATTGTGAAATGAAAAATGAGTTTCGTTCTATTAGTAATGCAGTGAGCGGCTGCACCAGCAGCGGCGCAGTGGGTCGGGGTTGGCGGGTGGGTGGGGTATCGGGACGTTAGTATCGCGGTTTCGGTCTCGGTTTCATTATCGTTACACCCCTAACAGCTTCTCTTTAGGTTTAATGGGATTTTTACCGGCGGTTTGTGAACCTCAACACAGTAACTATGAAAGAGCGCGTTTCTGGGCGGAGCCTAAGTAGGTCACTTCCACAGCAGTGTCCTCCCGCAGTCGGACGTCCTGGCGAAACTGAAGGCCGGACGGATGACATCATACATGCTTACATGTACGCCCTCCACACACACACAGTAAATACTGGCTGTACGTCACACACACACCGAAAGGTCACTGCGCTGTGTGTGTGTGTGTGTGTGTGTGTGTGTGTGTGTGTGTGTGAGTGTGTGAGTGTGTGTGTGTGTGTGTGTGTGTGTGTGTGTGTGTGTGTGTTAGAGCAGCTCTAAATCAAATGGGTCATCGAGCTGGTTGAGCTGTAGTTCCCCATCACGCTGTAAACACTCACGCTGGAGCTGCCGTGTGTTTGTGTGTGCAGGTGAGGCGCAGCTGTGTTGTGGTTGTGGTTGTGGTTGGGGGGGGGGGTTCTGTCGCTTTGTTCTCAGGTGTTTGTGTGTTTTTAGCTCCGCTAAGTGGAGCTCGTTTTGGCGGAGGAGCACCAGCAGAGGGACGAAAGGCCGAACTTTAAAAACGGACTCTGTGTAAACTGATATAAATGTGGCCGGATGACGATATCCATCACTTTTCGTGTTCAATCTTGAAAAAGATGGTTCTTCAGAGGTTCTTTAGTAAGGACAATGCTTCTGTATAGAACCATGGACACTCAAAGACCCATTTCATGCTTTGCGTGGTGAAATGGTTCTTCAGATTGATGGAGAATGTGTTGTGCATGGCTCTACATGGCACCAAAAAGGGTTCTGCTGTTGTTATACCTTGCAATAATAAGAACCCTTTCATTATGCAGAGAGCCCTCTAATCATGCAAAGCGTTCTTTGAGTGTTCATGGTTCTATGTGGGCTTATTTCCTTTACTGCAGAACCCTTGAAGAACCATCAATTTTAAGAGTGTAGATGTTAAAATATTGGTTGAAACGCAGCTGGTGTGGTAGACTGTGGTGTAATGCTGTCCTGTATATTGTTGCTTTATGTTGCAAAGCATGCTGGGGACTGTAGTGCAGCGCATTGTGAAATGGGCTAATATTAATAGAAAATCAAAATAGTTTCACAGGCTGGATAGGATCGTGCCGCCGGCCTTGTGTTTGACACATCGGCTCTACACACTTAAAGATGATGGTTCTTCAAGGGTTCTTTAGTTCTGTATATAACCTTTTTGAAAAGGGTTTTATGTAGCACCAAAAGGGGTTCTTCTACCATTATAATGTCAAGCTTGTAATAATATAAGAACCCTTTTTTGTGCCCTCTAGAACCAAACAGTGTCTCAGTCATCAGGCAGTGAATTCATAACCATTTCATGTAGGAACTTTCTGTGAGGGAGCTTTTAGAGGTGGACGTCTGGTTCCTATCACCACCACTGTGAACAGTACTGACTCAGTAAGTTTATCTAGAACAGAGCGTTTCACACCAAACCGCTCTGAATGACTCTGTTTACATCCTAACCACTTAATTGTGCAGGAATTTTGGGAAATGGGTGGAGTTCCCCTTCAGTGTAAGCAGGCTGTTGATGGATCAGGAGCAGCTGTAAGGGGAGGAAGTTCAGAGTGATTGTTGAACCCGTCGTTCGGGGCGTGTTCTTGGGTTTAACCTCTAACATACAAACAGTGAGCGCAGCAGTCGGGTCAGAAGATAACGCGCCGTTAGAGGAGCAGGAGATAAGGTGGAGAACCTGGGCCAGGAGGAAACAGGAGCCTGAGAAAACAGGAGGTTCTGTGGTCATTAAAAAGAGATTAGTAAGGGCATGGGTGGTACATCCCAGAGAGAGGAGCAGGAGGAGTGTGGGGGGTGGGGGGGGCTGTACATATGTTTACACTTCTACTATAGTGTGTGTGTGTGTGTGTGTGTGTGTGTGTGTGTGTGTGTGTGTGTGTGTGTGTGTGTCACGATAATTTCGGTTCATCACGATTATTTGACCACTTAAAATCTCAGGTTTATTACATACTGACGCTTATTAGCCTGGGTTACCTTGCCTTTAGGACTGATATATGTAAATGAGCTCTGTTCTGATTGGCTGCCCTCGTTTAAAAAGGCAGTCTGGGCTGAGACGCTCCTCACAGTGTCAGTGTGAATGGGATACATCTTTTGAATTTTGTGACATCACAAAAACTGGCATGTTTTGAAACTTTAACACTGTCAAGTTTAACTCGTCAGACTCTTTGATGTTTATGAAAATGTGTGAAACGTTGTTTTCCCTGATCTCGGCCCTTTGATGACGTGTTTGATGCGTGGTTTATGTTTGGCCTGCGCTGTTTTGGCCCGCAGGACTCCTGTGATTGGTCAGAGGGCTCATTTGCTGCTGCAGCGCTGTGTGGTATCAGTATTGGGGTATTGATTAGTGACCAATAGGCTGGACAGTGCTGGTGTTTAGGTGTAGTCGGGTTAGTGAAGGTGAGACTGCAGTGTGCTATTGTTCCTGTCACCACCACCCCCCCCCCTCACACTGCCCCACACTGTGCTGCAGTGCTCCTTCTCCTCTAGAACATCAGACCCCTCCTCCACACACACACACACATACTCACACACACACACTCACACACACACACACACACACACACACACACACACACACACACACTCACATTTGACGGTCTGTCCGAGCAGAAAGGAGAAACACTGCGTCTATATATGTCTCTCTTTCTTTTCTCTCTTTCTCTCTTTCTTCTCTCTCTCTCCTTATTCTCTTTCTGTCTTTCTTTTTGTTTATCTATTTTTCTCTTTCTTTATCTCTCTTTTTCTGTTTTTCTCTCTACTTGTTCATTCTGTCTGTCTATCTGCACACTTTTTCTCACTTTCTGTCTTTGTTTCTCTCCTTATTCTCTGTCTTCTATATTTCTGTCTCATGTCTGTTTTCTTTTTCCTTGCTCTCTCTGTCTCTCTCTCTCTCTCCTTATTCTATTTCTCTCTCTTTCTCTTTATCTGTTTTTCTCTTACTCTCTACTTATTCTATTTATCTACCCTTCTATATATCAATCTATGCACACTTTCTCTCTCTCTCTCTCTCTGTCTCTCTCTCTCTCTCTCTCTCTGTCTCTCTCTCTCTCTCTCTGTAGTTTAACCTGTGTTCTGTCTGTGTTACTCTGATTAATTACTGTAGACTGTTTGTTCTCGTGTGTATTTAAATCAGGCTGGCCTGTCTGTCTGTCTGTCTGTCTGTCTGTGTCTGATAATCATCAGCTCGTGTCGCGGTGCTTGACCTGCCCTATATTCTCTGTCTGTCTGTCTGTCTGTCTGTCTCAGTGTACTCAGTAAACAGAGCTGGCAGCCCCACTGCTGTGTGTGTGTGTGTGTGTGTGTGTGTGTGTGTGTGTGTGTGTGCGTGCGTGTGTGTGCGTGTGTGTGCGTGTGTGTGCACACTCCTAAAATAGACGGTTCCTCAGTGGTTCTTTAGTAATTGTATATGGTTCTATATAGCACCAAAATGGGTTCTTCTGTTGACGTAGTCACAGTAGACAAACCCTTTTTCGTGCTATATAGAACTACATACAACACATTCTCCATCAGTCTGAAGAATTTAATGATAGAAAGAACTATTATTGATTAACTATTAATGATGTGTGTTGTGTTTCAGAAGGCGCTGGACGATGACAGCCATGTGAGGAAGTCCAGCCCTGACCTTCGCCCTTCTGCTGATAAGCTGTGTGATAAGGAGCTGGAGAAAAAGGTACAGACCCCACACAGCACACTTCACCTCCTGGTTCATTTTCCGGAGAGTTCCACTTAAAAGAGGTTTTCTGTGGACGCCAAAAAGTTCCACTTAAAAGAGGTTTTCTGTGTTACGTCACCGGCGGTTGCTCACAAACAAGCAGAGCGAGCCGAAGGGTGCCGGGGCTTTTTACATTTGCTTCCATGGCTGCAGCACGTGGCTGCGTTTGCAGGCCAGTTTGTTTCATATCTGGCAACCCAGCGTATCGCAGTGGTGCCCGCGAGGACTGGAGTCTGACACATGATAGTAGCAGCAGTAGTTCCAGTGACTTACATTGTTCTGACATACTTAAACAATGAAAAGCCAGTTATGCAAGTGCAGATCACTGTTAGTGTACAGTTGTTTGACTTGTTTATAATACCCCACATCCTGTATAGCTGTGTTTATGTTCTTGTGGCCGGCTAGGCGGTCCGTAATACACAAAAACATCCGACAAATCTCAGTATTCAAGGTCCTGAACACGACTGCGAAGTACAAAATTGTATGTGTGGGCATACAAAAAACAGACTTTCCGCTCCGGAGCGGAAATTTCAGCGGAGAACCTACCGGCTGTAGCGCTGCCAGTATTTCAGCTTAACATTTTTCCTTAATCTGAAGACACATCATGGTTATTTTTTGATTTAGTACAGTAAATAAATCCATATCGTTCCTGCAGCATGACCCCAGTTAGCCCACATTAGAGCATGAATTTGATGTAAACAGTAGATCTGGATAATATTCCCATATGCAATTCATAGAGGGCATACTGTATGAGCCCTACAGCTAACAGATTAAAGTATTAGCTCTGCATCAGACTCACAGCATGAAATAATGTTTAGAGCTTAATTAGACATAACATTTGTACAAACACTTAGATCAGGCGTGTCAAACTGGGGACCTTCCAGGCCAAAGTGCTGCGTCTGTCCTCATCTCACCCTCTGAATTCTGATTCCTGATTAGCTGATGAGCTGAATCAGGTGTGGCTAATGAGGCAGTGAGCTGAAGTCTGCGGAGTTTTGGCCCACGAGGACTGGAGCCTGACACGTGTGATAGTAGCAGCAGTAGTTCTAGTGACTTACATTGTTCTAACATACTTCAAACAATGAAAATCCAGCCATGCGAGTGCAGATCACTGTCAGTGTACAGTTGTTTGTCTTTTTTATAATAGGCCACGTCTTACATAGCTGTGTTTATGTCCTTGGCAGTGAGTCGGTCCGTAATACACAAAAACATCCAGCAAATCTCCGTATTCAAGGTCCTGAACACGACTGCAAGGTATATAATTGTACACGCCGAGAGATTTATGTGCCTTGAGTGTAGACGCTGGAGTTCTATATAGCACCAAAAAGGGTTCTTTTATTGTGTCAAGCTTGACATCGTCACAGTAGCGGAACCCTTTTTGGTGCTTTATGGAACCCTTTTAAAAAAGGCACATTCTACAGCACAGTCTCAGTCTTCAGTCTGGAGAATGCCTTCACCATGCAGAGATCCCTTTAAAGATGCAAGGGGTTCATTGCGTGTTCATGGTTCTGTATAGAACCATTTACTACTAAAGAACCCATCTTTTTTAAGAGTGTAGATCTCAACCCATGTAGGATTTTTAAGACCGATTTCAATATTTGAGGGTTTGAAAATCCGATATATCTGACATATTGATGGATATTCTTTTTTTAGAAATATATAACATATAAATATATAACAAAGGTTGTCCCTAACATTTGTTATGTGTAGCTACGCAAGAGTCCTCACCAAGATAATATGACTTGTTGTGCTACACGTCTGAACGAGAAGCTGGATGACTTTATCGGTGAACAGCTTTATAAGATAAAAAAGGGACAAAAATTAAAAATTATTGGTGCCATTAAACCTGTTGCTGTTGATGAAGACCTTAGAGACGTAGGACTGGGCTATTGTGATAAAATACATGACGTGATGTCATACTGTGCCTCTCTGAGCAGGATGTTTAATAGTTTAAACATCTTAAACTATTGTCATAGTACATTTTTGCCCAGCTCTACGTGGACAGAAAAAAAAAAAAGCAAAGACAAGAACACATTCGAAGCACAGACAACAAACCACAGCTCTTCTTTTGGACACAGGTAAAAGACGTTTATGCTCAAAATGGTTGAGGGTAAAAGAGGAAGACGACGACCAGCTACAAGATATCATGAACGATCTGTTGAGAAGTCAAACAGAAGAAAGCATATTGCGGAGAAACACCGTCCATGTGGTGGCCAGGAGTCGGAAACATAATAATAATAATAATAATAATTGTAATAATTATAAAAACAATGAACGTTTGTAAATCAATTTCAAGTCAACAGATTTAGATGGAGGAATATTGGCAACTCCTTCAGCCCTTCCTCACACCACCTCCTCATCACCAGCCTACAGTACATCCTCCCCCACTCTCTCTCTCTCCCTCTCACTCTGTCTCTCTCTCCCACAGTGCTCCATTCACTCACACTCCGCTCCCTCCCTGCTGCTCACTCACATTCCACACGTAGGCAAATATTCTCTCACACACACACACTCTCATACACACACACACACACACACACACACACACACACTCTCATACACACACACACACACACACACACACACACACACACTCTCATACACACACACACACACACACACACACACACACACACACACACACTCTCATACACACACACACACACACACACACACACACACACACACACACACACTCTCATACACACACACACACACACACACACACACACACACACTTTCTCACCCACACACACAGCGTTCTTATCCTTCACCTTCCACTCGGTCTGACACACACACACACACACACACACACACACACATATATATATACACACACACACACATACAGCCCTCAGCCCATTCACAAAACACACACCTCCTCCCTCTCCATTCACTCCACTCAGCTTTATTAATGTGGCGTGGGCTCCGTTCACAAAGTCGCCCGTATCTGTTTTTTTGTTGGGGTGTTTACGGTGTTTTTCAAATGTGATGTATGTGTGACATCAGTCTAAACAGATCAGCTCCTAAAACTTAAAGGAGTGAGCAGTAACGGGTTTCAGCTTCAGCTTCTCCAGCATAACGGGAGCTAATAAGTTCCACGTTTGAGCTGTAAAAAGAACACCTTGTTTGGCCACGCCCACTTCTTTAGTTCGCGTCCTTCGTTTCTTTAACCTTCGCTTTCAGCCGTTTAGCTTCTCCCTGACGCTGCAGCCTCGTTCTCCTGTGCCCGTGTTCAGCCATTTCTTTTGAAACCTCTCTGAACACGGAGCGGTTTGGATAAGTGTCTGATGTACAGAAACATCAGCCCAGATGTTTATGAGGTCTCAGCAGCATGAAAGTATGACGAATGTTGAGCTGGGTTTATGTAAAAGTCGCATGAATTCTGATCTGGCTGTTCAGACTGAGGCGCTTTGCTGCATATCGGATATGTATCGGATTTCAGTACCACATATGAAAGTGTCCCAATTCAGAAATGTCAGATTCAGTGTTTTTTTGCTGTTCACACAGATCAGATACAGATCAGATTTGGGCCTCTTTTTCCTGCTGTGTGAACAAAGCCGTACAGCACTGCTGAAGCTTCTCTGATTAAGCAAGAATGAACGTTTAGGCTTTGTTCACATTACCAGGCTGAAGTGCATTTTTGCCCTAATGTGACACAGATCTGATGTTTTTAGAGCAGTGTGAACACACAGATCTGATCTTTTCAAATCTGATCTGAGCCACTTTCATACTTGTTGCAAGATCGGATACTCATCCGATTCGTAGCCGTACGACTTCAGTGAGAACGCTCAGATCGTAATTCGCTCACCGTTAACGCTCACCTGAATATAACGCTGCTGAAGCCATGCGTCACCTTCATCTCGCTCTAACAGTGAGCCCGAGAGCTGCGCAGAGCAAATTCACAGTAAAAGCTTGTCCAATTAGTCTTGGTGAGTCACACATGTGTGACGTGTAACACACTGAAGAGACCAGACAAGCAGACTGTTAACAAGGATTATAAGAGAGAAATACAATTAAAGATACAGTAAATAAAATACAGAGCCAGTGTGAAAGGAGCTGAAGAGGTGTGTGAACATCTGTACACATGTGGGTCTGAGGAGACGTTCACTATAAAAACTATATATACGGAATATTACAGAATGATATGAACATTCGCAAATTTAACATCTGTAGAGTTTAGGTTTGTTGAAAAGGCAGCATCTCTGCAAACGAGCATTAGCAGGAATAGAGAGACGCGAATGGAGTGAGAAGAGAAAAATCCAAATAAAGCCGTTTATTTCTCTCTCACTTCGGTCAGCAGGGTGATTTGTCCTTTACTGCGATGTCTGTGTTCAGTCGGTGTTTGTTTGCTGCAGGATGTGTGTGTGTTTCTGTAATTATTGCTGTGCGTTGCGTTCGTCAGCCGTGCGTGTAATGAGATTTGAAGCTGCTGTTGTATTATTCATGCGCGGTTATGTGTACACGCTGCGTAAATGAGACTTAAACACTGCGTTTTATCTGCAGACCTGCCTAACGAGCCTCATTTATATTAATGGCCCTGTGTGTGTGTGTGTGTGTGTGTGTGTGTGTGTGTGTTTACAGGGTGAAGACCAGCCTGCGCTCGGCTTCAGTCGCCTGTTTCCCGACATCAAAGAGGAAGCGGCCCACGCTCCCATCGTCCACCCCAGGTATGCCCGACTTCCCAGCGTGCACTGGGGCTCTGCGTGCTCCGCTCGCCTCCTCTCGGTAATCTGTGCTGGATTAGGGCTAGAATTAGTGGAATTAGGGGGGTTGGCTCTGGATGGCAGAACTGGTAAGGATTACTGCCTCCCAAAAAAAAAAAACTTCTCACGAAACGTTCAGGAGGAGAATAAAAAAGATTTCAGTCTTTTCAGACCCAAAATGATGTCTGATCAGACTACAGGAGGGCAGTAATCCGAATAAGGTTGTCCTTTGGTGCAACAAAAGGCTGCTGTGACGAAAACTAAAAATCAACAAAAATGGAGATGCATGGGTTTTTTTGGTCAGTGATGATATCTATCTATCTATATATATATATATATATATATATATATATATATATATATATATATATATATATATATATGTGTGTGTGTGTTTTACGAGATTTAGTAAGCTGGAACAGACAAAATAAGACCTGTAGTTCCGCATATGAAAATACTATAATTAAAAATCTAAACTACATTTATTTTTATTCAATATTTTGCGAACTGCACTGCACTAAATCCAGTTAAACAGGCCTAATTATGCTTATTTTGTAATGAAACGTAGTTAGTAAGTGCTCTCCAAGTACTGACGATATCCACTCTACGCTCAGAAAACAGTATTATGACATAATTATTATGATAACGAAAAAAAATTGTCACGTTGCCCACCTTTAATATTTATTTATACATATATTGCTGCTGTTGGAACCTCGTATCTTCACAATGGTAATTTTACATGAGAAGGAAGTAATGTACTTTACTTTTAATGCAAGTTAATGGAACCAGAAATTTTTCAAGTGCAATTGAAATTTTTTTCAATTTTTGGGTCGTTTCTTTTGGTCCATTCATCATGAACTTTACACACAATGTAAAGGACAACAGGCATTTTCAGATCATGTCAAAAACTAAAAAACACCACATATATACATACACACGCACTGTAATGTGTTGACTGTGCTATAATCTTAGGCTGCGGTGTGGACAGTGTGTTCTTGTCAGTACAAAAAACATATATAACATTAGAATAAATGCAAATTAATGCAGCAGTCAGAATGTTTTTGTTTCTCATAAACATTATGAATATGCAGATTATAAGAACACAGATTTGGTCCCTGATCTTCTTGCTGCTCTCCAGACATCGCATAGATTTAGTCAAACATTTAAGTTAGCGTTAGATGCTAGTGGGCAGAGTGGAGCATCAGCTTATTTGTGACGTAAACAAGAAAATAAGTCTGCTCTTGAGTGCTGTTTGTGGCCCTCACTGTGTGTGTGTGTGTGTGTGTGTGTGTGTGTGTGTGTGTGTGTGTGTGTGTGTGTGTGTTGCAGCTACTACCTGTACCCGTACGATAAGATGGTGGCGCCAAACGTGTCTCTGCAGAAGGATGGCGAGGTGGGAGCGGAGGTTCTGGGAGCGCTGCTCAAACAGCACTACAGCAGGAGAACACACAACCAGGACAGCCAGCCAGGTCAGCACTCACTGTCCACTTTATCAGCCCCACTGACCGTATAGTTTCACTCTGTAGCTCTACAGTTACAGACTGTAGTCCATCTGTTTCTCTGATACCCTGTTCTTCAGTGGTCAGGACCCCCATGGACCCCCACAGAGCAGGTACTATTTGGGTGGTGGATCATTCTCAGCACTGCAGTAACACTGACGTGGTGGTGGTGTGTTAGTGATCAGACACAGCTGTGGGGGTCCTGTGGGGGTCCTGTGGGGGTCCTGTGGGGGTCCTGTGGGGGTCCTGTTGGGACAGTTACTGAAAATGGTATCATAAAGCTGTTATATTACTGAACACAATCTGTCATGTCTCCATCTCTCTCTCTCTCTCGCTCTCTCTCCTTTTTCTCTTTGTCTTTCTCTTTGTCTTCTTTGTCTCCCTTCTCTCTTCCCCTTCTTTCTCTTTCTGTCTCTTCTTTTTCTCTGTCATTCTCTCTCGCTCTTTCTCCCCCTTCTTTCTCTCCCTCTTTCTCTCTTTTTCTCTCTCCACTTTCACTCTCTTCTTTTTTTCTGTCTCTGTCTCTCTCCCTTCCTTTTCTTCCTGCCTCTCTCTTTCTGTCTCTCTTCTTTTTCCTCCCTCCCCCTTTCCTTTTCTCTCTCTCTCCATTCTTTCTCTCTCACTCACCCTCCTTGCTCTCCCCTTCTTTCTCTTCCTTTTCTCTTTCTTTCTCTCTCTCTTATTTCTCTTCTTCCCTTTCTCTCTCTCTCCACTTTCACTGTTTTTTTTTCTCTCTCTCTCTCTCTCTCTCTCTCTCTCTCTCTCCCTCTCTCTCTCTCTCTCTCGTTCTCTCTCCTCAGAGGGTGCTAGACTGTGTGTGATGTGACTCTGTATGTTCTCGGTTCTGCGGTCTGCCTGTCCTACATTAAAATTCAGCACTTTCTCTCTGCCTCAGGGAGCACACACACACGCTCAGCTACCGCTCTCTCTCTCTCTCTGTCTCTCTCTCTCTCTCTCTCTGTCTCTCTCTCTCTCTCTGTCTCTCTCTCTCAGGGCTGGCTCTGCGTCATAGTTGTTTTGCGAGACTCGGCTTGTCTGAGTACCTCAGAGGCAAATGACAAAACTTGAAAGGTTTTATTTTCATGTGTTAATATGATTAAAGGGTTTAGTTTTATTTCTCCTCCGTCTCATTTAGTCCGTGCGCTGTGAAGAGTTCAGACTGTAAATAGCAGCTGGAGGAAAGTTGAGGTTCTGTTATTAACAGTAGCCACATTTACATCCAGCCTAATAGTCCGGTACAGTGACTGTTACCCGTTAAGCAGTGTGTCAGTTCATAAGCGTTTCTGTAATCACTTTCTGTGAAGTCTCTCCAGAACATCAAACCATCAGAGACGGTAACGCATGCCGTACCTGAGCTTGTGCGCTCTGCGCGATGGACCTGTACTTGTCGAGGTCTTAAAATGGAATTAAAAGTGTTGAGTTTGATTTAAACCCCCGTTTCAGCTCCTCTCTGGTTGGTCTGACAGATCTGACCACACGTTTCCGCTCTCCTCTTAACTTCCACACCTACAGAGACCCACTCCCACAGAGAGTTAGTCACACAGGCTGTGAAAGAGCGTCCTTCCTCATCCTCCTCTTCCCTCCCACAGATCTCCATGTGTCTGCTTCCTCCGTTGCCGGGGAGGTTAAATCCTGTCGCCAGGGCGAAGCGCCGGCCGTTGCCGTGGAGACGGTGTGCGGTAAGGAGGATGATAAGGAGCGAATCGTGCTGGAGATCGTCCAGATGTACAACAGACAGCAGGAGAAACTCAACGCCACACTGCACCGGCAGCTGCAGCTTGAGACGGTCAGAGCCAACACCACACCTTCTGAACCTCATCTCACCTGCCGCACACCTTATACCTCGCCAGCCACACCTGATACTTCACCTACTACACCTTACACTTCGCTTAGCACACTTAATATTTCACCTACCACGCTTTATACCTCGCCTAACATACCTTATCCTTTGCTTACCGCACCTTATACTTCGCCTACTACGTTATACCTCGCCTACCACACCTTATACCTCACCTACCACACCTTATACCTCGCCTCCCGCACCTCATACCTCACCTTCCACACCTTGTACCTTGCCTATCACACCTTATACTTCTCCTACCCCACCTCATGCCTCACCTACCACCCCTTACACTTTGCCTACCACACGTTACACTCCACCTACCATGTTATACCTCATTTACCACACCTCATCTCACATATCACATCTTATACCTACCTCACTAGATTCCTCTACTAGGCCTCACCCCATCTTGCCTACCACACTTTACACTTCACCTATCACACCTTACACCTCAGCTGTCACCTCATACATCACCTACCACACCTACTGAACCTACCGCCCAACAGCAGCTGCTGCAAACACACTTACCAAAACTAACCCACCTCTGCCAATTTATACCTCACCTACCTCAGTTCATCTCATCTCACTAACCACACCCTATACCTCATCTACCTCACTTCACCTGACAAACCTACCCCATTTCACCTCTGTACTCCACCTTATCTACCACATCACATCTACTGAACCTACTGCATCTATGGCACTTGCTGGGACACACCTACAAATCCTGCCTCACCTCACCTGCACCTCACCTGTCTTAGTTACTGGACTCACCGTCTTTGGGAATATGGGAATTCTGGATAGCTGATATTTTTCATGCCGAAGCATCAACATTTATAAAATGTATGAATTGAGAAAAAGACTTACAGAGAAATGTTGTTTATTTCTGTTGGGCTGCAAATGCAGTAAAATGTCTGAATATTCTGCTCTTCTAGAGTTCAATAAATGGATCATTATATTTTGAAATATTGGCCAAATCTAAGCAACTGTCTGATAATATAATTCTGATATTCTTTGTATTCCCATAACATCACTGATGTAACAATAGCATATTAAATAAACTCTCTCTCTCTCTCTCCCTCTCCCTCTCCCTCTCTCTCTCCCTCTCCCTCTCCCCCTCTCTCTCTCTTTCTCTTTCTCTCTCTCTCGCGCTCTCTCTCTCTCTCTCTGTATGTAGGAGTTGGAGGTGGTGCGAGGCGGTGAGGCAGCCCAGCTGAGGCAGCTGTCGGCGGAGCACAGCGAGCTGCAGAGTGAGCTGGAGGCCGTTCACACTGAGCATGCTCAGAAGCTGGGGGAGGTGCGTCAGGAGCAGAGGGAGCTGGAGCGCAGGCTGGAGCAGCTCAGACAGCAGGGCTGCACCTGTAAACCTAAAGAGCAGGAGCAGCAGTACACCGCACAGGTACATCCGCACACACAGGCCGCCGGCTCGGGTCGGTGCTCGGCGCTGAGCGAGCCGAGAGTCAGCGTGCGAAAGGGAGCAAAGCAAACAAACACCACTGACAAAAGGACAGAGAATAGCCTCAGTTCAGCGCCACTGCAGTTAGCAGGGTTTTCACTACTGATGGGCACCGTTTTTTGCTATTTGAGTGTCCGAATTTTAAAATATCGTTTTCCCAGTAAGAAAATATTTAATATTATAATGAATCCTGTAGAGATTCCTCGTTAGAAAGGACGCGCCGCTCTCTGCTGACCTGTGGAGGTTTCTTCGAGTTACGGCGCTCTAAATTTCTCTGGCTTTCCCGACCTCTGCAGCAAGCATCACGGCAAGGCCGTCTAGGGTGCCGCCCCCAGCCCCCCGAATTCCAGGGTCCGTATCTCTGGTTTCCTGAGTTTGGCTTTGTTCTAACATTTCTCTGCCGATCTGCAGAGCTTCAAACATCAGATACTGAACGTTGGTATCTCTGGTTTCCTGAAGACTACAGTAAGATCTTGTGTGGTTGGAGAGGGAGCATAGCGCCCTGTAATCCTGTAAAGATGGAGATCAGTTACTCTCATTTTTGCTGAGGTACAGTGCTCTAACTTTCTCTGGCTCTCTGGACCTCTGCTGCCGGCGAGCGTCTTGGCAAGGCCGCCTGGGGTGCGCCTAAGCCGGCGCCTAAGTCTGGAGTTTGTATCTCTGATTCCCTGAAGGCTAGAAATGAGATCCAGGGCTCGTTGGAAAGGGCACGTCACGCTGCTCAGTGGAGTTTGGCTTCATCACAGGTTTTTAAATTGGCTTTTTGAAAAGCGTTCCCTTCTCCTGTGGTTTTAGTAACGACGTCATCAGCGGTTAGTCGTTGTGGACTAAACTTTCATTGCAACTTTAAAACATCTGAAGTCATGCAACCCCTACCTGAACCTCCTTTTGTCCACTACTTTCATATATACAATGAATATTACTTATGTAACAATGAAATATTTCAGTAATGCTCTTATTTCACTCTTAGTGGGTGGTTTAAAGGTTTAAAATCTTGAGGTGCCCAATAGAAAATTAATCAGGATTGTTTTCTCTGCAGTATCTAGGCAGTTGCAGCTGAGCTGCTCTCCCATTGGTTAGGGCTTCAGCAGCTGGACTGAAGGCTTTATGAGTTAGATTAACAACCAATCACCAAAACACTCTACTCTGTGGAGTTCGGCTTTGTCGCAGATTTCTAAAGTCTATCCGTGACATCATCAGTGATTAGTCGATGTCGACTGGTTGCATCACATAACTGACTTTAAACCATCTGAAGTCCTGCAGCCCCTAGAATGGACACAGACAGGGACACAGACGTCTGAAGGTCCTCTGCTAACGTGCTAACATAAAGCATGAGATGCTCAGTCGTTCCATGCAGATGTTCGGCAGAGATGAGAGGCGAAGCTGATGCTATCGTCCGTCGGCCTTAGCTGGAGCCGGATCGTCTTCGGCAGGCTGGTGTGTTTGAGTTTGGAGGGCGTGGGCGTAGAGATACAGAGCCGCAGATAGCTCCTTCTGCAGACCAGTTCAGATTACAGAGCTTTATCTCTGTGTGTTTAGTCTCCTCTGTCTATCTTAGAAAGCTCCTCTGCCCCTCTTTTGTTTGGCTGTTGTTTAAAATAGCATTTCTGAATTCTTTCTCTGAATTCTTTTTAAAGAGACATTATCCATGTTTTGGTTGGGTTTCTTCCAGTGCCAGTAAGTCTGTGGAACCTTTAGATACCTTAAAGATAGTTTGGCACAAAGTCTAGTTTACATAATTCCCCATTCCCATACATATTTGGATGTTTGTGCAACACTTCCAGCTGTTGGAGAACGAACTATACATAAATATCACTGTTATATTAAAATTAAAGGAATAAGTATGGACAAAATTCAGGCTTCTGAATTTTTATGTGACATACTTTTGTGCATTTGTGCAGACAACAGTTTGTCATGATTCCATTACACTACCTGTTAGCTACATTAGCCTCGTAGCTCCAGTGCTAAAGAAGCAAAGTTCAGAAACCAAACGTGCCTTGGCTGATCGACTATATTTAGGGTAATAAATTAAGGGGAAAACTACATTTTATTTTTGATGAACTGTTCCTCCAATCCGCCACACCTGCTGCAACTAAATAAAGCAGAATTCCACCTATTTTCCAAAATTCCTGCATAGTTAAGCAGTTAAGATGTGAACAGACTGGTTCAGACTGGTTCAGAGTGGTTCAGAGTGGTTTGGTGTGAAACACTCCGTTCTAGATAAACTTACCGAGTCAGAACTGTTCACAGTGGTGGTGATAGGAACCAGACGTCCACCTCTAAAAGCTCCCTCACAGAAAGTTCCTACATGAAATGGTTATGAATTCACTGCCTGATGACTGAGACACTGTTTTATGATAGTTTAGAGAACTTAAACTCCATTCATGGTGGAGGGATACATGCAGGGCGCTGTGAGGCAAAATAGTCCCCAAAGAAAACTTATTATTTCAGATTTTCCACTATTTTCCATCATCAACATTCCATATAAACTCAGAAGACTCGTGTAGGTTCACTGGTGGTTCTGGATAGTAAATAAAATGTCTATATTTATGTTGTAGTCATGGCGACCCCTGGTTCCTATCACCACCACTGTAAAGACCGTTTCACACCAAACCACTCTGAATCTCTCTGATTACCTCACACACTGAATTATGGGGGATTTTTGGTGGAATTCCTCTTGACTTGTGGATCAGATGCAGTAGCGTGAGCTGAAAGGGGGCTTGTTAGATGCAGGTGGATGTTCTGGAGGAGGATTGGTAAAAACATCTGTCTTTCTGTGTCACTCTCTCAGCTGTGTGAGCTGCGGTGTCGTCTGGAGCGCGCCGAGGCGGAGCGCCAGGAGCTGCAGGACGAGTTGCGACGGGAGCGCGAGGCGCGAGAGAAACTGGAGCTCATGATCACTCAGCTGCAGCAGCAGATCATCCGGACCTCCAGCAAGACCAGCTCCACGCTGTCCTCCTCCATGGTGCAGGAGACCTCGGCCAGCTAAACACATACGTCACTGCAGCCTGGAACACGCCCCCCCCACACATACCCCATCACCCCCCCCCATCACCGAGTCCCAGACACAAGCAGAATCGGCCCCTCCGGACACCGAGGACGGGCCTCACGTGTTCGTTTTTTACGTTTAAAAGACTTTAATATCTCTTTTATAATTTAACATCACTTAAAACAGATATTTTATGTTGTGTTGTGTCGTCGCCCATTCTTAGACAGTATTTAAAACCTTTGTACGTGTTTTAATTTATAGTTTTGCTAATAGGCTGCTTATTATGGACACTTTTGTCCTTTTGTTTCTGTTTTCGCTCCTGGACTGGACTGAAGAAACTGTGGGGCAGTTTGGAAACGGAATAAACTGTTTAAGAGCCCCAAGGAGCCACAGTGACCCCTAAAAAGACTCGCCAGCCACAGCGGAAAACTAGGATTTTCAACTTTAATACGAAAAAAAATGAAATGGTTGAGAAAAACAGGTCCGAAAAAAGGCCACGACGAGAACTTCGTCCAGAACATTGCAGCCATTGTGCTTCTTCATGAAGGTGAAAGGCGGGAGGATGGCGGAGCCCCTCGGAGAGGCCCTGCTGGCCTCAGACGATAATCCTCCTCCTCCCTCCTTTCCCTTTTCCCCCTCCCTCTCTCTCTCTCTCTGCCCGGCGCCTGCTGTCTGCTGGTGATTAGATGTTTCCTGGATGTTTTCGTTCACTGTGGAGTTGCACACGTGCGCTTGCTCGCCACCTGCTGGACACACAAGGACACAAAACAGTATTCAGCCTCTTCAGTGAACAGAAATGCAGGGAATAATGTATTTTCTCGTTCTGTTTGCAGCGTAACAGGTATATAATGTGAGAGAGTGAGCAGCGCACGCTGAACAGAACCGGGTCTGATCCCAAACAGCCCAGAATAAGAGAGCGCCAGGGAGGGAGGGGGCCCAGGGGGCCCGGGGCTCTAGAGCCGGATTCACGAAAGCATCCTAAGAAACAAAACAGTGCTAAATGTAAACGTGTGATCGCCTCACGGTTCCACAGGTGCCAAATTTTCCAAATTTTCTGCATGTTTTTTACTCTACACTCTTAAAAAAGATGGTTCTTCAAGGGTAAAGACAGTGGTTCTGTATAGAACCATGAACACTCAAAGAACCACTTGCATGCCTTGATGATTCTTCAGATTGTTGGAGAATGTTTTGAAAATGTTTCCATGAAGGTGTCACAAACTTGATATTGTACCAATAGCAGAACCATTTTTGGTGCTACATGGAACCATTTTCAAAAAGGTTCTATTTAGAACCATATACAACACATTCTCCATCAAGCTGAAGAAACATTTCACCATTTGAGAACCATTTGAGCATGCAGGTGGTTCTGAGTGTTCATGGCTCTCTATAGGACTGTATATATTCACTAAAGAACCCTTGGAGAACCATCTTTTCTGAGAGTGTTCTATCACTTTCAGTTTTTTTAGTAAATAACATTTTTCCATTTTAGTGTCAAAATAAACTTGAAAAGCTAAAACTCATTTAACATGTATCTGCTGCTGTAATCAGAAGACTATGAGACTAGATTGTTATATTTTATTGATAATTAAACATTTATGATAATAATTAAAAGAGGAAAGAAGATATTTGTGAGTTTGTAAACTGTGTTTAAGGATGTTCTTAAAAATCAGGTGAAAAAAAAGTTCACATCAAGTATTTTTTTTTTTTTTGGAACGGTGAGTTTTATATATATATATATATTATAGCAATCTTACATTATATATACAGTGTCTTATAGTGGAAAGAGGATTATCACATAGAATTGTTTATATTTACATTCTATTTTTAAGGACATTGTGCAGATCTCAGCAGTTTTATTCTGTTTGTTTCCTCCCTTTTGGATCGCTTTCGTGAATGCGGCGCCCCCTGGTGTCCGGCTCCGGTCAGTATTTCAGAGGAGCTGTGATATCTGCAGGGCAGAGGGGTTTTTAGCACGTTGCTGTAAGCGAGGTGCCAGACGAGTTCCAGCAGCGTCTGGAGCTTCTTCTCATTCGCTTCATTCACCGTCAGCTCCGACTGAGAACGCTCCGGTTCTCCAGGCTGGGCTCTACAGGCCGGAGGGTGTTTATCAGAACAAATATATATACAGATACGCTCTCACAGAGTCTGACGGGGCGTTTATAAGCTGACAAACACGCAAAAAAAGTAAAATTAAAAAAAGAAGAGAAAGTTTAATCCACCATACTGTAAATGCGTGCTTTCTGTTTATCCCCCTCCCTAAAAAAAAAAGAAAAAAAGAAATCTTGGAAATTTATTTAATGTATTAACTGATAGATTTATACACTTTGTACATACTACAGTAGTCTTTAATATATTAATAATATGTGATTATAAAGAATCTTTAAAAAGATTATATCAGTCCCCTGAGGAGTGAAGCTCACTGGGGCTTTTTTCTATGAGGTGTGAGATGCATGATGGTGTGAGAAGAGAAGGGTGAAAAAATAATCATTACAGCTGTTTATTATTATTATTATTATTATTATTATTAATATTATTATTATTATTTTTATTATTATTTTTATTTAGTGGTTGCCCCTGGGATTAATGGGGCTGTTCATGTCTGATGTATGTTCACCCTGTTACCATAACGACCGAACGTTAAAATGTTTTTGTACGAAAGAACGAGGAACGCATGGATGTTGTTAGCGAAGCTGCTCTGCTCTTTAAAAAGATTTTTATACTGTTCACATCCTGAGAGTTGCTCTAAAGAGCGGAAAGGCCGGCTGGGTTTTTACTCAACTTATATAATCGCTCTACTCAGGCTCCGCCCACTCAGACTATATCACAATACCTACATTTAGAGTCAGTTACTCATTCAGCCTAATGAGAAACTGTAGAACAGACTCAGTTTATATCACAATACCTACATTTAGAGTCGGTTATTCATTCAGCCTAATGAGAAACTGTAGAACAGACTCAGTTTATATCACAATACCTACATTTAGAGTCAGTTATTCATTCAGCCTAATGAGAAACTGTAGAACAGACTCAGTTTATATCACAATACCTACATTTAGAGTCAGTTATTCATTCAGCCTAATGAGAAACTGTAGAACAGACTCAGTTTATATCACAATACCTACATTTAGAGTCAGTTATTCAGCTCTAATGACTTTTGTAGGTTACAGTTTAAAAGTGTGGAATCGTGTCATATTAATAACTCACTTTTATTCAATATAAGTTTTAGGAAGCAGCAAGAAGTTATTAAATGATTGGGGGAAAATATTATTTATTTATTTATACCAGTTTCTTGATAAGTTTTCTGCCTCAAGATTCAATCAAATGTGAGGCAGATAGAATATTTATTTAATTACAGCTTCATTAATTTTTCCTGCTTCATCATTCTGAACACAGCTAACAGCTCCACATATTTATCTACAGCTTCGTGCTAATTATTTTAAACACGGTTCTTTAGGGAACCAAAAGTGGTTCTTTTCGGGCATTGCCTACAAGATGGTTCTTCAAGGGTTCTCTGTATAGAACCATTAACACTTAAAGAACCTTTTGCATGCTTAAGTGGTTCATTACATGGTGAAATGGTTCTTCAGATTGATGGAGAATGCAGCACCAAAAAGGGTTCTGCTATTATTACGATGTCAAGCTTGTAACCCTTATTGGTACTAGTAGAACCGTAAACACGTTATCCATCAATCTGAAGAACCATTTCACCATGCAGAGAACCATTTAAGCATGCAAATAGCTCTTTAAGTGTTCATGGTTCTATACAGAGAACCCTTGAAGAACCTTTTTTTAAGAGTGCAGCCTTTTAAAGCTGGAAACTCATCATGATGCAGATCTAAACAGACGTGCAGCTGCAGGTTCTCATCAGGGTGAAGGGGATTATTTTCCCAGTGTTCTTTAAAGCTTCGTAACAGCAGCTATGAGAGAGTAGAGAAAGTGGGCGGAGCCTGTGTAGGTCACTTGTGGGCATTCTGAGGTGTCTGGTTATGGAAATGCCTGACGTGAAGCTGTTTTTGGAGGATTTATTTCGTTTTTGGAAAAGAAAAACACAGAGTTGCCCCTCGTCCGTAAACTCGCCTGGCTGGTGAAGCCGGAGTTGCGAGTTGCGAGTTGCGAGTGAGCTAAAGCTTCTGGAATCAGTGTTTGGGCTCCTGTGGGCCACGTTTACCTCTCCAGCCGTCACTCTAATGGTGTTTTTCACTTTTTTGAGGTATTGAAATGCATTTCTGAGGCTTTCCAGAGTTTGATTTGTACTAAAGCTATAAAAAGTTGTAAATTGAATTTTTTGTACACACGGGGGCGCTGTAGGGGGAAAACCTGCCTGATTAGCATCCCTCGCCTCTGTGGAAGCAGAGGACACTGTTTTTTCCTTGTTTGTGTATGAAAGGTGTTCACTAATGCTGAGTAAGTGAGATATGATATGTATAGGCTTATGGTTATGATTATTAGAGTTATTATTACCCTAGAATTCTAATATTAAAGACCCTTTTTTGGAAGCTAAGTGCTTTTGTAAAGAGAAAAAAAAACCTAAAATGATTTTAAAATGATATGAAGACAGTTGAGCTCCCACCACGACGCGCTCAGCGCTGTTTAAAAAGATGGATATATTAAAAATAAGAGAGAAACTTTTATATGGGGTGTAAATCGCAGCTCATTGGCTAAATGATGTTTTTTTTATCGCCATGTCACTGAGAACCTCTCCCCATCCTGTGATCTGGAGCGAGTCGAGCTCCCTCGGGCTGTTTACTGTTTACGGCTGTTGGTAAACGCCGAGAGCGTGCCGGAGTGACGGGAGCGCATGGAACCGAGACGCCGTTCTCCTACCTCACGTTGTGATATCAGAACTGTTTTGTACAGCTGTTCCTGCAGGTGTAAACACAGACGGACGTGCTTTTAGCCGATACCTCACTTGTACGTAGTTTTTTGTTCCTTCTTTGGATTTCTGCGCCCCGTTTCGGACTTTGTACATACGCCTTGTATAGACATCCAGCTTGGATTCAATTCAAGTAAAGTTCTGTAGTGTCAGAGCTGCAGCCTCTGTGACTCCTTATTCCTCTCTGTGGCTCTCCTTCACACTTCTGCTCACGTTCACAGCGCCTGAGGGTCTCAGACGTCTTTAAACGTCACCAATTTATCAACAACACTCAGTGTTTGAGATCTCTTTACAGTGGTGGTGATAGGAACCAGACGTCCACCTCTAAAAGCTCCCTCACAGAAAGTTCCTACATGAAATGGTTATGAATTCACTGCCTGATGACTGAGACACTGTTTTATGATAGTTTAGAGAAGATTTTGGCCCTAAAATCCATTCATGGTGGAGGGATATGTAATACACAGGGTGTTGTGAGGCAAAATAGTCCCCAAAGAAAACTTATTATTTCAGAACTGTCAATATAAAATGGCTTTTTTTGCACTGTAGACGTTGTGATTGGGTTATTAAGCGTCTCAGTAAAGCATTTCACACCAAACCACTCTTTGTTTACATCACAACCCCTGAATTATGCAGAAAGTTTGGAAAAAGTGAAATTTCCTTTAAAATAGAATATAATTCTCATTAATAAAGTATATAAGTTTACATTCATGCGTAAGCAGGTTTGATTAGTGTGGAAATGATGCGCATGTTCAGTTTAAATAAACAAAGTGTGTTCAATGCTGCAACATGAGGAGCGAAACTGCTGTAACTGTAACCTTTAAACTGAGCGCTCAGATTGTTTTGTGAGAACATTGTGAAAGAAAACGGCACATAAAATTTTCATAATTCCCCATAACTCAGTATGTGAGGTAATCAGAGAGATTCAGAGAGGTTTGGTGTGAAATGGTTCAGATGTCTTTACAGTGGTGGTGATAGGAACCAGGGGTCGCCATGACTACAACACAAATATAGACATTTTATTTACTATCCAGAACCACCAGTGAACCTACACGAGTCTTCTGAGTTTATATGGAATGTTGATGATGGAAAATAGTGGAAAATCTGAAATAATAAGTTTTCTTTGGGGACTATTTTGCCTCACAGCGCCCTGCATGTTATGTATCCTTCCATTTTAAACATTGTGAAAATGGTGTCTTCTCAAAGGAAATGGTCGTAAATCTAGTTGATGTGGCTAATATTTCCCATTTTGAGATAGTTTTAGGAATATTTTGGTCGTTTAATCTATTTCCACACATTTGTAATCCACATCGCCTTTTTGGGAGATGGAGCAAAACCTCATATCTCCGTTTTTGTCATTTTTCAGTTTCTGACGTAATTTTAGTGCTTGTTGCCCTTCACATTATGTGTAAATGGACCAAAACAAACGGCCCAAAATGACTTGATAAAAATTCTGGTTCCATTGACTTACATTAGAAGTAAAGTGTGTTTTTTCCTTCTCCTGTAAAGTTACTATTTTGGAGATGTGAGGTTTTGTTCCGACAGCAGCGACGTGTCTCTAATACAGGGGTTAACAGTCCTGGTCCTGGAGATCTCCCACCCTCTGATGCCCTTGAAGGCCTTTGATACCTGGATCAGGTGTGATGTATTAGGGGTGGAGCTGAATTCCTCAGGGTGGTGGATCTCCATGACCAGGATTGAGCCCCCCACTCTAATGACTACCCTTTATCATGACCCCCAAGTGTGGTGATAATGGTGAAGACCACCTGCAGAGGAATGGCAGCGCCAGCCGTGGGAGAGCTGAGGTGACGAGTGCAGGTGGAGAAGATTTCATAATCTCCAGAACTCACATCTGGACGTTCTGGTCAAAAGAACATCCTCAAGGACGCCCAAGACTCCAGGGTGACATTTGTCTTATATGGGAGAAATAACTTTCCACCCCATAATACTGTACAGTGATGACATCACAGCGCATTCAGCGTCGTGTCTGTGTTTGATGTGAGGCAGGTGTTCTGTAGGATTCATGTAATAATCGATACAGGTGTGTTAATTTGACACATCTGTATCTGCACTGTGGCCCAGTGGGTGGCGCTGTCGCCTCACAGCGAGAAGTGCTGAATTCAAATCAGAACTGAACACAAAAACCTTAAAGTGTACTGAGAGTTTTACTGCTCTCCTCCGTGCAGCTCTGTAAACACTCCTCACCGAACTGCGTCCTCCAGGTGTCCTCAGTGTCTCTCAGTCAGCACAGGAACGAGTAAACGATCCTAAATGAAATGATCTGACCGGCTTCTCACAAACACACACACACAGTCCCTAACTCAGCATAGAAACAAGAAACGGTTCTGAATAAGGAGGTCAGACCAGCCTTTACAAACATAAACATAACATAAATACAAATGTAGAAACAAGAAAACAAAGATTTACACAAAATTACTGTGTTCTGGGAAAAATGAGGTCCCAACAGCGTTAAGAACAACATTAACGTTCCCAATAATTTGAACATTATTGCTGCTTATTAATACTCATATTTAACACCAAGCACTTTAAACGTACAATAATAAAAGTCCCAAAGAACATATTCACAAACATATCACTGCAAAACCTCTCATTTTTACGGTTTTCAGTTTTTGACATCATTTGAAAACGCCGGTTGTTCTTTAACATTGAGTGTAAATTTCATAACGAATGACCAAAAGAAACTCAGAATAACCTGGAAAACATTCTGGTTCCACTGACCCACATTAGGAGTGAAGTACGTTTTTCCTTCTGTAAAGTTACCATTTTGGAGATTTTAGGTTTTGAAATTCTTCACTGTTTATCCAGAAAAACACATTTGGCTCTCAAAAGTCGCTGTGATGCTGCATGACCTCCTCATGACCTCCTCAGATTGTCTGAGGAACTGAAGAGCTTGGTTGTGCTGCTCCACACGCTTCCTCTCCAGCCCCCGACTCAGACTACCAAAGATCTGTCAGGCCAGGTCAGTGAGGAGCAGAGTCTGTTCTCTGGTAGAGATATGAGGAGGAGGAGCCAAGATGGAGGCACTTCTGTGTCAAAGGTAGGCCAGAAGAACGAAGGAGGTGGGTAGTGGAGGGATGGATGGCAGAGCTGTGGGGGGTGGAGGAGGAGTAGCCTGCTGGTCAGGGGCTACTTCATCATGGCGCAGTTAAACGTCCTGGGGAGACTGGACTGTGTCAGGTTTGATGTTCTGTGATGGAAACAGTGTAAGAGTGAGATCCACACCTGTCTGTGTGGGTTTGCTGAGGTTGAGCTGGACTGTCCAGGCCTGGTCAGCAGAACCGTAAGGCTGATATGACGCCTCTGTCACCGGAACAGTGAGAGCTGGGCCTACAGACTCTGTACAGCAGAGTGAAACAGCACAGGGTGAGGTATGAAACAGAAACGGGGAAAAGAGAGCAGTGTCACCATGGAACCAGACACTGGTTCTATATATTCCTACAGAAGAACCCTTTTCAAAAAGGTTCTAGATAGAACCATTTATAGCACATTCATGCACATTTTCAATAAATCTGAAAAACCCTTTCATGATGCAGAGAACCGTTTGATCATGCAAAGGGTTTTCGGAGTATTCATGGTTCTGTTTAGAACCATTTTGTTTACTAAAGAACCGTGTAAAATCGTCTTTTTTAAGTGTGAATTTTAAAGGTGCTAAATTTTGAGGTAACAAGATTGGACAAATATTTATGGGACATTCTATTGATTAAAATTATTTGTTTTACTTGTTTTACTAGTATGTCCCATAAATATTTGTCCAATCTTGTTACATCAAATTATAGCACCTTTAAAATTCACACACTTCTAGATTTTTCTAGAATCATGTGGTCATTGATGTTTCTGTATGTGTCCCTTTAAAAAAGCCAATAGTTAATAAACACTGTCTGGGTTCTCCTGATGAGCTGAGTTGCTGTTCCTGTTCTTTGGTGTAAGTTTTGCACAAAATGTACACAAATGTAAACAGTTAATCAGCACAAACACCGCTAATGAGTCCAGCGCTGTCACGGTCACTGCGGAGCCGCAAGGCAGCCCAAGTTCAGTGGTACGGCGGGTCTTTGCGCTCAAAACATGTCGGAGTCTCACTGTTTACACATATAACATAACTTAGTCTTAACATGCAAATATCAGTTTATTAATTAGACACCAGTTTTCAGTATTTGGATTTTGTTGCCTTTGGGAAACCTTGATAAATCACGATGCTTTACCGCCACCTACTGGTGAGGCGTTATTGCTCAAACTACATACAGAACCGACAGACCAAATAATGAAAAACATCCAGTTTTTAATGTGTTAACTTATTCTGAACAGTGAGTTTTGGTAGAATCTTTATAAGCATGAATACACTGCATTGTTGAACAGTTTAAAGTTAGTCCTGAGTAATTCCCCAAAAGTGGGACTGGAGTTCATTTTATTCGTCAGATCTGAGGCCTTTCACTGGCAGAGACCTTAAAAACGTGTAAACGTGTTTTTGTCACGTTATCACGACTAAATGTTTCGTGTTAACGCGCGTGTTTAAACGTTTTGAGCCCAAAGGCCTCCCGTACACCGGGCCTCGTTCACCAACCGCTCCTAAGAAGAAACTCTTCTTACGCAGTTTTGATGAAGACTCTGACTCTCCAGTGTCCTCTTATATAAGATTAGTTCTTAGGTAAGAACAGAATCTACACACAGTCAAGAACACGAAGGTAGAGCAGTTCTGCGCTTTAAGAACACGACATGAATCTGACAGAGACTTTTTCTTAGAACCTTTATCAAGAACACACTTAAGAACAGACTTAAGAACACACTTAAGAGCAGACTGAGGGAGATGCTGGAGAACGAGGCCTGCTGTACTGAAGACGCTGAACACTGCGTGTGGGAATAACAGAAATGTGTTTCTGCAGCTCATAAATTAGAGTTACTTTAACTTTTTGAGTCAGTCAAACACAAAATCCCAGTTTAGTTGTACATTTTACTGCGTAATTTAGAAAAGGTTTCCTTCACGTCACCTGTGCAGGGATGGTCTCTGCAGTAGGCAAAGGTGGGCAGCTGCCCAGGGACCCCATAAAAATACAGATCAGATATACTGTTATACTGTACCTGTAGATGTTATATAACGTATATATGTGTATATATATATATATATATATATATATATATATATGTGTGAGATGTCTGTAATTTGTGGTTGTAGTGATTATTTACAGTAATTTAAATGCAGCTGCTTAATTATCCATGACTTAATTATCTCTTTCCCATGCCTTACTAAGTCATGGCCACAACCTAATTATGACGTCCCCACACCTTATTAAGTTGGGGCCATGACTTAATTATCTTGTTCCCACGCATTACTAAGTTTTAGCCATGTGTATTTTTATTTATACATATGTCTCACTCACTCACTCACTCACACTCTCTGACTCACTCACTCACTCACTCACACTCTCTGACTCACTCACTCACTCACTCACACTCTCTGACTCACTCACTCACTCACTCACACTCTCTGACTCACTCACTCACTCACTCTCACTCTCTGACTCACTCACTCACTCACACTCTCTGACTCACTCACTCACTCACTCACACTCTCTGACTCACTCACTCACTCACTCACTCTCTGACTCACTCACTCACTCACACTCTCTCACTCACTCACTCACTCACTCACACTCTCTGACTCACTCACTCACTCACTCTCACTCTCACTCACTCACACTCACTTACTCACTCTCGCTCACTCACTCTCGCTCACTCACTCTCACTCACTCACTCTCTCTCTCACTCTCACACTCACTCACTCTCTCACTCTCACTCACTCACATTCTCTCACTCACTCTCACTCACTCACTCTCGCTTACTCACACACTCTCTCACTCTCACGCTCACTCACTCACTCGCTCACTCACTCACTCACTCACTCACTCACTCACTCACTCACTCACCCACACTCACTCTCACTCATTCACTCTCTCACACTCACTCACTCACTCACTCAGCATCTGACACGCTCATCCAGCAGGGGGCTCTTTGCATAATGAAAATGTTCTTCAGGTCGATGGAGAACGTGCTGTGTGTGGTTCTGTGTAGCACCAAAAAGGGTTTTTCTATGGTTACAAGCTTGACATCGTAACAATAACAGAACCCTATACAGATTCTCCATCAGTCTGAAGAACCATTTCACCATTTAATCATGCAAAGGGTTCATCGCTCTATATAGAACCATTTTCTTTACTAAAGAACCCTTGAAGAACCATCTTTTACGAGTGAAGTTCTGCTTAATCTTTAATTAGTCAGATTATCTGTGATTAAGCACTGTTTTGTGTGATTATCAGCACCAATTAAAACACCTTCACTATATTAATGTTCTGTTTCATACGGTTATTAATGAACAGCTTCAGTCAGAGCTGAATCAGCCGCTTCTGAGACTCTTTAAACCATGTTAGCTGTTCTGTTATCACTCATCCCTCACAGCTCAGCACTGAACCTCGTTTGAGCTCTAAACGGATCCAAACGGAGTTCATTCAATAAGGAAGCTGTCTGATAGGAGCCCTCAGTACGTTCCCTGCACTGTTTTCTTCACTGTTTTATTTGTTTGTTTCCTAATACTCACTATGTTTAGTCTGTCGTGCACAAAAATATAAATGAATAAATAAAAAATAAAAATAAACCTGAACACTAAACTCCATCACACAATAACAACAACACGTACGTACGTAGAACTGATCCAGATTAACTCATCTGAGCCAGACTGACCTCAGAAACTCAGGATTAGACAAGAAATACTGCGTCTCACTGGATTTATATCAGTAACTTTAATAAATAAGTTATAAAGTAAAGTTATGCAGTTATTGTGTTCAGTGATCTTATTAATCCAGCACAAATTCCTCTCTGCCAGGTCCAGCGTTCCTCACATGACCTTTCTCTTCCTCTTCTTTTTCAGAACAGTGACAGAAAAATTCCAGGCCGATTAAAGGAAACAGGAGAGCTCGGAAAACTCAGTCCTTCACCGTCATTCCCGGTTATATCAGGTAGTGTCTTCCAGCACATTCCAACACACACCAGTCTGAGTGAGCCGCAGACATTGGGGATCAAAACTGTGGTTTCCACAGAATCTTTCCTGAAAAATAAAACCTTCAGGCAGTTTACTTCCTTAAAAGGGGGATTCCACTCATTTCCCAAAATTTCCTGGATGATTAAACGGTTAATATGTAAACAGAGAGAGACACTCTGTTCTAGATAAACTTACAGAGTCAGAACTGTTCACAGTGGTGGTGATAGGAACCAGACGTCCACCTCTAAAAGCTCCCTCACAGAAAGTTCCTACATGAAATGGTTATGAATTCACTGCCTGATGACTGAGACACTGTTTTATGATAGTTTAGAGAACTTAAACTCCATTCATGGTGGAGGGATACATGCAGGGCGCTGTGAGGCAAAATAGTCCCCAAAGAAAACTTATTATTTCAGATTTTCCACTATTTTCCATCATCAACATTCCATATAAACTCTGAAGACTCGTGTAGGTTCACTGGTGGTTCTGGATAGTAAATAAAATGTCTATATTTGTGTTGTAGTCATGGCGACCCCTGGTTCCTATCACCACCACTGTAAAGACATCTGAACCATTTCACACCAAACCACTCTGAATCTCTCTGATTACCTCACACACTGAATTATGGGGAATTTTGAAAATTTTATGTGCCGTTTTCTTTCACAATGTTCTTCTCACAAAACAATCTGAGCGCTCAGGTTTTAAGGTTACAGTTACAGCAGTTTTGTTCCTCATGTTGCAGCATTGATATATCATAAATATCATAAAACAGCGTCTCAGTCATCAGGCAGTGAATTCATAACCATTTCATGTAGGAACTTTCTGTGAGGGAGCTTTTAGAGGTGGACGTCTGGTTCCTATCACCACCCGTGTGACTATGTTTACATGTTAACTGTGCAATACTTTAAATTTTTTGGTGTAATTTCCCTTCAAATCAAGTCAACACAACACAACACAGCATTGTCTGGTGTGTTTGTTCAAAGCAGACTGGAGCCAAAACTGGTTTTTCCTCATATTTCTGCCTGACAGCAACATGCAAAGTGGAGTTTGAAGATAATGCAGTTATTAAAGGGCCTGTGTGATAAAAAGCTGAGCTTTTCTCCCTTTTCTGAAGTAAACGAGTTTGATGTAGTCGTGTAGAAATGAATTATGAATATTTTAGATGCAAGACAAATGCCTGATCCCAGGAGGGGAGGAATAAAGTGCAAGGAAAAATGTTGCATATTGTCCCTTTAAAGTCCTTCTTTAGGGACTGTTTCCAGTATTTTGTCCTCTCTTTGCATTCTGCTGTCCAGGCTTTCTTATTTGCCAGCTCGTCGTTCAAACCTCTGCCTTGTAGTTTCTATGCTGAGAGATGCTGGACGTTCTAAGAGGTTCCACTTCAGTTCTATAAGCTGCTCAATGCTCACACAGTCTCAACAAACATTTCCAATAACACCTTTTCTCCCTCATATTCCTACCTGACGTAGCTTTCGTCCAACTTATCACCTTAAAGTCCTTTTCTTCACCGTTTCCTTTATTCTGTCCATTCCTGAACATCACATCAAGCACTGCGTCCACCGATGGAAACCCACCGTTTCTGCCTTTTTGTCCTCTTTCTGCGAGCACAGCAGACACGAGCAGCTCCTCAGAGCCAGCGTGATGTGGAAGCTGTGCAGGAGGCACAGCCAGGGCACGTTCATGTCCATATAGGCTGGAATCTCCGCCTGGGAACACAGGAGGGACGCCAGCAGGACCAGGAAGGGGCTCCAGGTGCTGAGGAAGGCGCACACCGAACATCTCAGAAGGGCTTGGCCCTGAAACCTCCGCCCCTTTTCTGGAGGAACAGATGTACAGAGAAGAACGGCAGCCAGTGCTAGCAGCACCACGGTGGCCACCTGGCTGCTCTGAGACCTGCTGGTCAGTTTGCATTGGCGCAGGAGGTCGTCCTCCGTTATCGGGCTGGAATCGGGTCTCGAGAAGACGTAGAGCGTGGCGAGAACCCAGAGCAAGAGCGTTCCGCAGATGTATGTGAGTTTTCGAGGCCAGGGGACCTCCGTGGTGGACTCTGTGAAGTAGCTGTCAGCACCTATGAGAAGGAACACAGGCCAGTGCAGGACACCGTAGATGAATCCAGCAGCCTGGATCAGAAGGCAGATGTGGTATCTGGTGAGGTGCAAACCACAGATAGAAAAGTCCTCCATGAAAAAGACCTGAGTGACCACCACGTCCAAGAGGGTGTCCACCAAAGCCAAAGAAATGCAGAGGACCCCGGTGAAGGTCCTCACCATGTGGGGCCATTGGGTGAGAACCACCAGCCAGTTGAGCAGCGCCTTCAGCCACAGCAGCAGCAGGAGGGTGGGGATCGAAACCTCCATTGGAAGGTCTCTAGGCAGCTCTGAGGAATTTGCAAGCTGCTCCTCGGTGAAAGGAGCGCTACCCATGCATGGACACGCCCCTAACAGGAGAGGTCAGGCCTGAGTGGTGAAAGTGTCTCAACAGGCCCAGCCTGTTTTTCATTTTAATGTGGATCCTTTTGAATAGAAGCTTCTGGTCTGAGCGCCTTCCTCCACACACTGCATTCACTGCTGGCTCCGGCGCCAAATAAAAGCTCTTAGAAGTCCTGCAGGCAGAAGTGGTGTAGCAACAGTGTGTGGTGTAGCAACAGTGTGTGGTGTAGCAACAGTGTGTGGTGTACCAATGCTGACTATTCTTCATGCCTGGTTCCTCCTTTTTCTAAAACACACTCACTCTTTGTTCATGTTTACGTTGTCTTTTTAAGGGCTCGTATCATGGAAAACCAGACATTCCTCAATTTTAATATACATGCAATAAATTGTAATAAACATACAACAAACATGCCTTTCACTCTCCCCTCCATCAAAGCTAACAAAAAACAGAAAAACCTAGAAAAGGTTCTAGTCATTGGATCAAAACCATGAGCCAGTTGAGTAGCACCTTCAGCCACAGCAGCAGCAGTGAGGAGGGGGACGGAACCTGCACTGAAGAACTCTTAAGCTGCTCGCCGTGTTGTGGAGAACCAAATATTCCTCAATTTTCATAAAATGAAAGAGTGAAATATACAGGGTGATTCAAAAGATTCATCCGATTTCAAAGCGCCATATTTTTACAACCGTGAGGCTCTGAGGAACCAATCACAATCCAACTGAAAGGGGGGGTCATAGAGTCTCTGACTGTCAGTGGAAGATGGCTCCCTTCAGTCTGAGAGGAGATGAGACCCCTGAGCAGAAAGCGTTCTGCGTTCTCCACTTCAATAAGAGTGAATCCGTCATAACTGTGCAGTGTGATTTTCGTGGGCAGTGAAGCTCCAACAGCTCAGAGCGTTCGTCGTTGGTTCCACAACACTGGATGATCTCCGAAATCGCACTGAAAGAGCCGTGAGTGCAGCGACACCCGACACGCTCAATCCAGTATGGGATGAGTTTGACTATGGTGTTGATGTTGTCTGTACAGCTGGAGGAGGTTCAGACTGAGACCTTCTACAATTACATAATAAACTTTATGCTCATTTAAACCATTTACAGTTCACTGCATTGATCTGTAATGATGTACAGGTGAAATAGATCATTCTGAAATCGGATCAGTCTTTTTGAATCAGACTGTAGTTTGTCACTCCCCAGTACAAACAGTCTGTATATGAAAACTAAGCCTGCTGTGAATTCACTGTTTTTGTGATGCAACAAAAACCAACATGTTCACATACACCTATTCTGCCTACAGTTTAGCCCCGCCCACTCATGCTTGTGCTATAAGGAGTGTTTCAGCTCGGACCGTTTTTTTTAATGATGCCCAAGTAGCGCGACCTCTAAGCGCTGACCCTCTTGTCAGGAGACCCTGAGTTCAATCCCTGGTGATGCTATAGCCGTCCATGTCTGGGAGTCCAAGATGGCACAGTTGTCCCGCTCTCTCTGATTGGGCAGGATGCCCCCCCCATCGCTCAGAGCGATGCTAGCCAGTTAGCTGACGTAACTGAGCTGGCGGTTGGCGTCTCCTCCGATGGAAAAATGAACTCAACAGTGTAGAATATGGGCCCTTTAAAGGTGCAGTATACGATCCTGGAGAACGATTGAAGCTCAACCTGTTTTTTAGATTTTCATGGACATAAAATCCTTCGCAAACGTCGTACAGACAGAAACCATGATATAATGTTGGAGTGAACAGCGACAGAGCCGGACCCCCTGACTGAGAGCTGCGTGTGGTGCTGTAGGTGCTGTGTTCTCCCACACGTTACCCAACCTGTTTCTCCAGCAGGAGCTCAGAGATAGAAGACAAACAGCCCATTCTGAGCGAGTTATGACAGATGAGGAGTCCGACCGGTCTGGCAGAGCAGACTGCTTTGGTTATGAATGAAGAAATGAATGAATGAATGTTATGCGTTATGATGATCTGTGTTTGTGTCTGTGATTGCAATTATCTGAGATTATTCAAAGTCCCAGAGTAAAATATTAAATGTTTGTATGATATTAATTTCAGTTTTCTATTAAACATCCAGCAAAGCTTAAATGAAAAATACAAGATGTAAATATGATAAAACACAGGTTAAAAATCGCTGATCAGATCTGAGAACTATGTGGGCGTGGCTAATAAGCAGCTTGATTGACAGCTCTCTGTCCAGCACTCCTAGCTGGCTCCGCCCCTCATACAGAACTAACATCATTATCCAGCTTTTATGTGACGCTAACTGGACGAAAAAGGTCACAGATGAACAGACGAACGGATGGACGAAGTAACGTGTGAATGAAGGAACAGACGAGTGAACAATGTTGGTGTTGATAAACGAGTGAAGGGCGACAGGCAGCTACAGACAGGTGGTCTACCTCGCTAGCTTTAGTTTATCCTTTGATAAATTTGAGTAAGATGATTATAATAATCTACATCAATTAAATCTGTATTGACTCTGATGTATACAGTGTTTTGACTGGCTAAAACACACTCACTGCACAGATAAACATCTCTCTGCTTTGGAAACAAACAGTTAGGCGGATGTATCTACAACCCCGTTTCCAGAAAAGTTGAGACGCTGCGCAAAATGTAAATAAAAACAGGCCGTCTGCTTTCTTCCTTCTACCTGTTATACCATAATAAAGGGACGAGCCGTTACTGACCGTTTACCAACACGTCTATAACAAGTTTGTATTCTTATTGATTCCTGATTAAAGCATGAAATTATCCATTTACATCAATGATTATTACAACCACTCTCGACAGAAGTTGGAACGCTGTGCAAAATGTAAATAAAAACAGAACGCAATGATGTGCAAATCATTTAAACCATTTGATGCCAGCAACACGTTCCAAAAAAGTTGGGACAGGTTCATGTTTACCACTGTGTTTCATCACCTCTTCTTTAACAGCACTCTGTAAGTGTTTGGGAACTGAGGAGACACTGCTGTAGTTTAGAAAGTGAAATGTTTTTCTGTTCTTGTTTGATACAGGATTTCAGCTGCTCATCAGTTCAGGAGCTCATTTGTCGTATTTTTCATTTCATAATGCGCCAAATATTTCAGTGGTGACAGGTCTGGACTGCAGGCAGGTCAGTTTAGCACCCAGACTCTTTTAATATGGAGCAGTGCTGTTGTAATACATGCAGAATGTGGTTTGACATCGTCTTCCCTGAAAAAGACGCCGTCTGGATGGCAGCATATGTTGCCAAAACATGTATATATCATTCAGCATTAATGGCGCCTTCACAGATGCTGGCTTTTGAACTGTGCACTGATAACAAGCTGAGTGGTCTTTAGCCCGGAGGACAGTGTCCATGATTTCCAAAAAGAATTTAAAATGTTGATTCGTCAGACCACAGGACACTTTTCCACTTCCCCTCAGTCCATTTTAAATGAGCTCAGGCCCAGAGAAGGTGGCAGCGTTTCTGGATCCTGTTTATATCTGGTTTCTTCTTTGTGTTTTAGAGTTTTAACTTGCATTTGTGGATGCAGTGATGAACTGTTTTCACAGACAGTGGTTTTCAGAAGTGTTTCTGAGCCCATGCAGTGATTTCCACTACAGAATCATGTCTGTTTTTAATGCAGTGCTGCCTGAGGACCCAAAGATCACAGCCAGCAAATACTGGTTTTTGGCCTTGTCCCTTACATACAGAGATTTCTCCAGATTCTCTGAATCTTTTAATGATATTTTGTACCGTAGATGATGAAAAGCTAAAGTTCTTTGCTATTTTATGTTGAGAAACATTATTCTTGAATTTTTTTATTCCTGGTTAAACCTTTTTATATCCAATCTTGTTACTGACCTGTTGCCAATTAACCTAAATAGACGTGAGATGTTCCTCTCTCAGTCTTTTGTTGCCCCGTCCCAACTTTTTTGAAATGTGCTTCCAGCATCAAATTTAAAATGCATGTATATTTTTTCAATGAACAAAAACTTCTCAGTTTCAACATCTGATTTGTTGTCTTTGTTGCTATTTTCAGTGAAATATAGGATTTAAATGATTTGTACATCATTGTATTCTTTTTTATATACATTTTGCACAGTGGCCAAACTTTTTTGGAAACAGGGCTGTAATAATCATTGAAGTGAATGAGTAGCTTCATGCTTTAATCAGGAATCGACCTGTTATAGATGTGCTGGTAAATGGTCAGTAATGCCACTTCCCTTTACTAAGGTCAAACAGGAAGAAAGCAAATGGACTTCAGAAGGCACTGTAGTAACTCTTTAACCACAAAGAGATTAAAAGGAACAAACATAACGAAATGAATCAATGTTTAAACATTTAAAAATAAACTCACTGTACACACCTTACAGACTGATTTAAAGGACTTTTTTCTTCAAAAATAAAGTCTAGTGTGGTATGTAAACGTTATTAATGTTTCAAAAGCCACCAACCCAGTCCATACTGGTAACTAATGTGTACAAACAGCCTGTTTTGAATTTATTGTTTATGTGATGTCACAAAAAAAATATTTACACCTATTACACCTATTCAGCCTAGAGCAGTTTAGCCCCGCCCATTCACACTGAGGTTGTAAGGAGTGTTTCAGCTCTGAGTAAGGCATGATACAGGACAGCCAATCAGAATATGGCTCATTTACAAATAGGAGTCCTAAATGTGCAATAACAAAAATTGTAAGTGATTAAAAGGGATTGGAAACTGGTCACTTAGAAATAAAACAATTTTTTTGGGACATAAAATCAAACTAATGTTATACGTGGATCTGGGGAGAGAATACAGTATAAGAAAATTTGGCACACGGGCCCTTTATTATTATGCTTACGCATTTAAGCTACGCTATGTAAGAATTGGGATGATTTGAAGACATGAGAAATGTGAACTACACACAGATGAATCTGAATAGAGAACTCTGTCTAAACTGAAGGAGCGTCTCTGAGGATGAGAGTGAATTATCTACTACTGTATCACATCTTCATCAGTGTGATGTTGATTCTGAGATCATTTGAGGCCGAAACATCGAGCCGGACCTTCTTTTAGAGTCTGTGTGTGACGTTAATACGTAAAGACGTACGACGTGGAGTGAAAAACTCGACGCCACTGACTTTTAAATGATTATTTCAGGCTTTACAGGCTATTTTAGCCTGTTTATATTCTCCTCACTCAGTAATGATGCAAAGTCTTATATAGTGCGTAGTGTGGCTGCCAAAGGGAAATACCACCAATTTTTCAAAGTTTCTGCATAATTCAGTGTGTGAGATGTAGACAGAGAGATTCAGAGTGGTTTGGTGTGAAATGGTTCAGATGTCTTTACAGTGGTGGTGATAGGAACCAGGGGTCGCCATGACTACAACACAAATATGGACTAAACTATCATAAAACAGTGTCTCAGTCATCAGGCAGTGAATTCATAACCATTTACTGTAGGAACTTTCTGTGAGGGAGATTTTAGAGGTGGACGTCTGGTTCCTATCACCACCACTGTGAACAGTTCTGACTCTGTAAGTTTCTCTAGAACGGAGCGTTTCACACCAAACCGCTCTGAACCTCTCTGAACCACTCTGATTACATTTTAACTACTTTATTATGCAGAAATTTTGAAAATCAACGGTGTTCCCCTTTTTAAAACTGTAGGGGACAGTTACTAAGTTTCTCGGTATCAAAGTTGCTGTACACTATCATAAATTATGCGAAACAGCATTTTTTAAAGGCGTAGGTTTTAAAATAAACAGCGAAATTGTCTTTTAATAGTAAACACCTAATTTTTGATGCCTGATTACCGGCGGTACGCGCCCATTGGTTGGATGCCTGTGAGTTTTACCTACCATCCAATCATAGCGCACGTGGTGGGATGAGATTAGCCAATCGCAGCCGTAGGAGGGCGGCACTATCCGGAAAACAGGTGGGAAAAGAAAATAACAGCCTCGTTTCGGCGTCTCTGTCCTGCTAACGGTAAGCTAGTAAAGCAATTCATGACAGTCGTGTTTGGGGCCGTCCTGTAACTCAGTCCGCATAATTATGTGTATTTAATTAAGAGTTCTCGATAACGTGCTTTATCCCTGCTGACTGTCCGGCTGTCGAGTCTTAAACCCGCGGAAACTGGACCGGCTAACTATGTAGCTTAGCATAGCTAGCTAATACACCATTGACCTGAATAGGCAGGTTAGCATTAGCTGGCTAAAAGTGGCTAACGGTAGTTATTACTATTATTATTATTATTGCTACTGTATTATTATTATTTTATTATTAATTGTGTTATTGACCAGTATGGTAACCTCGTTGCTTTGTTATATTGGCTGATATTAAGGCAGAAGCGAGTAGAAAAGAGTAATATTGATTATTTATATTAATGTTCTTTCAACTTAAACAAAAATAATGATTATAAGAGATGTAAACGTAGCTAGCTACCAAAAACAGACTAAAAAAGGTCCAAACCAAACCAAACTCCTGAACCAACACAGCAGAATGAATTTAAACCCAGTTATTTGGGAACAAACAGTTAAATGTTGATGACTAAAATGGAACTGAGGAGATTAAATTAGATTACTTTATTCACTAATATACACTCACTGAGCACTTCATTAAGTCCACTGGCCACATAGTTTCACTCTGTAGTTCTACAGTTACAGACTGTGGTCCATCTGTTTCTCTGCATACTCTGTTACCCTGTTCTTCAGTGGTCAGGACCCCCATGGACCCCCACAGAGCAGGTACTATTTGGGTGGTGGGTCATTCTCAGCCCTGCAGTAACACTGACATGGTGGTGGTGTGTTAGTGTGTGTTGCGCTGTGCAAGTCAGACACCGCAGTGCTGCTGTTGGGCAGCATCCTGTGACCACTGATGCAGGACTAGAGGATGACCAACACGGACTGTGCAGCAGCAGATGAGCTATCGCCTCTGACTTTACATCTACAAGGTGGACTGACAAGGTAGGAGTGGCTAATAGAGTGGACAGTGTTTAAAAACTCCAGCAGCACTGCTGTGTCTGATCCACTCAGACCAGCACAACACACACTAACACACCACCGCCACGTCAGTGTCACTGCAGTGCTGAGAATGATCCACCACCCAAATAGTACCTGCTCTGTGAGGGTCCATGGGGGTCCTGACCACTGAAGAACAGGGTAACAAAGTAGCATAATTTATGTATAACTTCATACAGTCTATGCATAGAAACGAAGCCATTTTGAATGAAGTTGTAGTTTTATGTCATAAAAACTAGCACATCTGCCATTTCAGCCACTTGGCACAATCAGAACAGAACATTCTGGCTGTGTTTGGTTCATAAATCCACACAGATGCCGTAAGTGGACCTTCTTTGGGGAAAGGAATGTAAAATGCATTTATCAGTATAATAAAACTCTCCTCTGTCTCTGATAAAGGTAGGGATCAGTTTGCTGGTGTTGCTCATGTTGGCTTTTTCACTCTTCAGGATGGAGGGTGTGGAGGAGAGAGGCGGGGCTAACCGGCCGCCCAGGCGTGGGAAATCTCCAAGGAGACGGAGAGAGGGGAAAAAATCTCACCGAAGATCAAACGGTCCAAGCGCTCAAGAGCAGGCAGGAAATGACCAGCGAGCTGAAGAGCACGAGGCTTCAGAGACGCCCGCGGCGTTGGAGGAGACGAGCGAGAGCTCGCCTAAAAGACTGGACCGATGCAGGTAAAGGAAAACGGCGCTTTTACAGGCTGATTATCTCTTTACTTTTATACTGTCACTTGCTGGAGGTGTGAGTATCCAACCTCAGAGTGGTAGATTATGATTTTGTATGTCACAATAACCGTTTCTGAGTAAATATTATCGTCGTCAGTCCTTCTCAACTGCACGTTTGATTACAAAGAGATCACAGTTAGTCCAGTTTAACTGGATTTAGTGCAGCAGTGGGTGAAATGTAGAATAGAAATAGTTTTATTCATAGTTTTTATAGTATTTTTTAAATGTGGGCCCAGTCCCATTTCACCCCTCACCCCCACCACTCAGCCCTACCCCTCTGTTTTGGGTGTTCTCGTCTAGGGGTAGGGTGTCCTGATTCTTGTTGAGATAGAGGGGTGGGGTGAAGTGTTGGGGCTACATGACCCTCCAAACTGAGGTTTTTCAGAGACTCCAAACAGAGAGTTATGAGAAAAAAAGAAAAACCAGCAAGATGGAGAACAAGAGACCAAAGAAACCCACAAATGTGAGAATTTTCTCTCTTAAAAATTACGACAAACATTGTATGATCTTAATTTAATGTCGTTTCAGTGTGTTTTGGTCATTTTCTTCATAACAAGCATAAAAAAAATCAATACTAGTACTGATGTCTCTGTAACTCGCTAGCTAAGTTAACCGTTCCACCTTAAATGGAGCAACAGTTACATTCTGGCGCCTCAGGCACTATAATAATAACTGCTGCTCCATTTAAGGTGGAACGGGACAATTCAAACTAGAATCTGGTGAATATCTGACTTCAGCTTCATATCACTGAAGAATTAGAGGTGGGTGATAATAAATAATTGCCTCCCTCTTTGAAGATCATATGATCCCTAAATGTAACTAAAGCCCAGCAGTGAGGAGCTGAACTTTACCCTCCTCTGCTGTCACTGCAGACTGGCAGGGTCGCCTACAGAGCAGCGCTGGTAGCTGTTAATGAAGTGATGCTCTTTTTATTTGAGGGTCCCATTTCAGAGGGAGGATTTCAACCACTACCCTGTAACTCAGTTCCAAGGGGCAACACTCGAAAACAAGGGGTAGGGGTAAAGATAAGAAACGGGACTGGGCCTTTGTCTTTTTCCAATCGTGGAAACGTCTTGGAGCGTGATATTACAGTTTTTCCCACGTTGTCCAGCCCACTTGGACTATTATTATTGTAGATGTAATGAACTCTCACATTCAGAAATCAGTGCAGTTAAATTCGCTTCAGGTGGATTTTTGTGAACCTGTTACTTACCAGGTAACTGATGAAGTTCCAGGTTGACTTTTCCCTTTTTGTGCAGATTTAGGTCAAGCACCCCATTTCCAGTGGAAACCAATCAGAAAACTATTAAATTGCCTCATAGCATGGAAGTACAGGTTCTGCTGTCAGTCAGTAAAGATCTGATAAGTGTTCAATATCTTTATTATTCCAGACGAGCTCATTTTCTTCATGGACCGTATCCCACCACTCACTTCGGACCCAAAGCCTGCATCCTCCCCAACCCGACCTCAGTCATGTGAGTATCACTGATCCAAGATTGTTGTGGGAATATTGCATTTTACTTGTATTTTATTTTTGATGAAGCACACCATAATTCATGCAGGTGTTTCGGTAGGGAGCCAATAAAACGAGTGTTCAGCAGCTTCAGTGGCTGTACACGTAGGTGGAATTTGAGGTGGATAAGTAAATAAGGTTCTAGCTACAAACACAGCCTGTTTTGAGTTCACTGTGATGTCACAAAACAGTTAGATGTATATGCCAGTTCAGTCTACAGCAGTTTAGCCCCACTCACCCACACTGAAGTCATAAGGAGTGTTTCATCTGCTTTTTGAATGAGGCAGAGCCAATCAGCGCAGAGTTCACATTGTGAAATGGTTCTTTAGACTGATGGAGAACACTTTTTGTTGCTATATACAACTATTTTGAAAATGGTTCTGTATAGAACCATATGCAACACATTTTCCATCAATCTGAAGAACCATTTCACCATGTAGAGAACCATTTAAGCATGCAAATGGTTCTTTGGTTGTTCATGTTTTATGCAGAATCCTTACTAAAGAAACCTGGAGGAACCAGATTACATTCACCTACAAGTCACTCTGGCTAAGAAAAATCATGTGAGCTCCTGCAACCACCTGGTATTTCATAGCGGCAGGTTTGTCAAGCCAGAATGAATAAAAATAAATATCTTATTAATCTGTGATTTTTATTTATACTATTCAGTAACGACTGTAAAACATACAGTCCTGTGCAAAAATCAGAGACCACCCTTCGTTTATTTAATTTCCAGTCAAAACAGCCGTGAAGTCCAAGTTGTTCCTCTTTCAGAGAGATTTGTTTGGAGATCATATGTTGTCTGTGTTCAGACTGCGGGCGAATCGGATTAGTTTCTCAGGTCAGATATTTTAAGGCGACCCTCTGCTCTGTTATTTGCAAGTGTTCAGAACAAGTTTGTGTGTCCAGACATCACCAGTCTATCTGCATGGGTTGCCATGGTAACGACGTAGGCGTCAGTAACTACGCATCTGTGCGATTTTAAACGCGGGCGCAGGAGAGATGGAGGAGCATCATCTCGCCCTCCAAACTCTTCAGAACTCTCTTCATCATCATGAATCTTTGGAGCTCCTCTTGAATCCCAGCACTTCATCTCTCTGGATTCGACATCGTCGCCGTTTGTCGTGTTGCGAGTGACGAAAAGACACTCTGAAATCCGATATGAGCGTCCAGAGCATCCAGACTGAGACACATCTGTAAAAGTCGCATTTCAAACCAGCTACAAATGTTACAAAAATTTGCAAAAATCAGATTTCGTGTGTTTCTTTTTTTTTCTGTCCAGGCTATCAAAACTCAAACTGGATTCAATCTGATTATGACAAAGATCAGATTTGGGCTGGCAGTCTGAACATGGCCTAAGGTGCTAAACTGGAGTTCAAAGCTGATTAAAAGGTTTCATAAAGATCATAGAGCAGTAATAAAGGTCATTGATTTTGCGTGATGTCCAAAGTGATTTCGTGTTGAATGCAGCTGTTGATTGAGTCTGTTTTGTGCTATTTTAACTCCAGGCACATCCAGGACCCGGCCAGCCAGCGGCTAACATGGAGCAAACCCCCCCTGAATGTGCTGGTGATCCGGAAGGTCAGAGACGAGGGTCTGCTGGAGCCCTTTAAGGAGCTGTGCAGGTTTCTGGTGGAGGTAGGAGATAAAGAACACCGACAAAGCAGCCATAGAAACACCATACAGCACTTACTCCTGATTCACTGTGTGAAATACAGCACCAGATAAAAGTCTGATCATACACAACAATACCTTAGCAACCACCTGGGATACCATGGCAATGGCCTACCAGGACCTTAGCAACCACCTGGGATAACTTGGTAACACTTAAGCAACCACCTGGATTTCATAGCAATGGCCTAGCGACGCCTTAGCAGCCACCTGGGATAACGTAGCATCAGCCTAGTGACACTTTATCAATTAGCAACCACCTAGGATAACATGGCAACAGCCTAGCAACTACCTGGGTTACCATAGCAACAGCCAAGCAACATCTTAGCAACCACCTGGGATAACCTGACCATGGTCTATCAACCATCTAGGAAAACTTAGCAAGAGCCTAGCAACACCTTAGCGACCACCTGGGATAACATAGCAACAGCCTAGCAACACCTTAGCAACCACCTGGGATAACATAGCAACAGCCAAGCAACACTTTTGTTACACACACTTGCTGTGTGTAAGTTACAGTAGTGGAGCTAAAGCGTGGCCACATTCAGGAACAGCAGTGAACACACTGACCCTGTGGGGGCGCTGTAGGAGCGCACTGAGCACAGAGGAATAAATATACAGTAATACAGACCCGGTTCAGCCTTCATGGTGACTGTGTTTAGCTATGCTAACGTACTTTAGTCCACGTTTGTAGGTGAGGTTGTGAGAAACCACATGATCAGGTCTGTTAAAGATCTCCAAGCGCATTATTAGCTCTGACTCAGCAAACATCAGCACACCTGCAGGCTTTTGTTACAGGATCTCATTTCCTGGGCCTTCAGAGCGGCGCGGCTCTGAAAGGCTAACGCTTACGCGAATCAGTCTGTGGGCGAAACGACTGAACTCGTCCGCCTTCCTCGAGTCAGAGTTTATTTAAACAGCGCCTTTCACAACAGGTGTTGTCACAAAGCAGCTTTACAGAGAGATCCAGGTCTGAGCGTCGCCAACAGCAACGGTGGCAGGAAAAACTCCCTCAGAGCAAGAGAGGAAACCTTGAGAGGAACCAAGACTCAGAAGGGGAACCCATCCTCCTCTGATCCGCACCGGATAGCAGACACTATCACAGCACTTTTCAGGGAGCTTTAGAGAGAATAAACAGCTCTTTCTGCTGTGACTCAAGCCAGATAAACACGGAGGTTAGAAATGGTAACTTTACAGGAGAAGAAAAAACATACTTCACTTTTAATGTAAGTCAATGGAACCAGACTGTTTTCAAGTAATTTTGATCCGTCACTAATACTGAAGTTATAAAAGGTGTTATACTTAAGCAATAGAACACAGAGGGAGTGTGTTATTGTGAAATAACATCACGGCTGTGATTTGGTCGCCGTAGATCATCACAGCCGTGATGTTATTGGTGATAACACACTCCTCGAGTGTTCTACTGCTTTAATACAACAGTTAAATAAATACAGTAATAAATTAATAAACTGGGCCGTGAACGCGGCGTTTAATATGTTTTAATGTTCGCAGCTCCTTCACCAAGTTATAGTTCCTTAACGAGCAGCTCGTTGATACGTCAGAGTAACGAGCTCCGCCCACTCGCTGCACAGCCGGCAGTTCGTTCACCAGCTCCTTACACTAAATTCCCAAACTGTCATCACCACTGAGCAGCTTTTCAGTCGGCAGCTGTGACAGAAGAACAGCTGAACAACCTGGAATCAGCCAGAAATGAACCCAACACCATTCGCCAAACGTGTAGTCTGATCTTCAGAGTCTGACCAAATCAGACTGAGCCATAAAACTGCCGCAATATCAGGTTCAGCTCAGTTTTGTCAGTTTTTGCTGGATCAGTATTAATGTTGTTTTGTTCCAGCCAGTCTGTAAAGCATCTTACTCAGTCAGTGTAGAGCTTTAAAAGTCAGGTAGTGGCTCCAGGGCTTAACTAAGACGCTGCAGATGAGCTGATATAGTGAGAACGAGGGGGACATATTAGAGCTGCTACCGTAATGGAGTGTTCTGAGTGAGTTTTACTGGACAGTTTTTCAAATTTTATTTTTAATCATAATTTTGGCTTCTAACGATTATGAAAACAAGATAATTGAGAAAAATTTTGGCCGTAATCAAGCAGCCCTGCAGTGTAAAGCCAGCCTTTCCGTGTGACCTGCAGTGACCCGAGAAGCCTGCTGTGAGCTCATGGTCTGCTGTGACTCCAGTCTGGGGTGGAGGAGGTTTTGGGCCTCCGTCCAGCTCATTACACATGATTTGGTTGTGAGCATAAACAGAGGCAAATGAAGTCTAATCTCCTCCTCTGGGTTTTCTCTCATAGCTCTGCTCAGCTTTCAGGATTCCAGCAGTTTCCTCGTAAAAGATCCAGCCCTCCTGCTCACAGTTTATTCTGTGTCTCAGGAAGTTCTTAAATTTGTGACCAAATTAAATTTTTCGACTTAAATTTTAACCTAATTATATTTAAAAAATGTCCTGAGATTTCTGATCCAACTTAAATGTATTGGCCTATTTTTTTGTCACTTGAACAAAGAATCTGAAAAATATTGGGTTAATTATATTTAGTCCAACACAATTGGACTGATGTTCAGTAAACTTAAACTGAATTGTTTACATATTTGTTATTATGGATTTGCATGTCGCTGTTGTCGGAGGAAAACCTCGTATCTCCAAAATAGTAACTTTACAGGAGAAGGAAGAAACCTACTTTACTTTTAATGTAAGTCAGTGGAACCAGAATTTTTCCAGAGTAATTTTGGGTCGTTTCTTTTGGTCCATTCATCATGAAATTTACATACAATGTAATGAGCAACAGGCATTTTCACATTATGTCAAAAACTGAAAAACTGGTTTTGTCCGACCGCAGTGATATGTTTACATACGTGTTTTTATGGTCTTTATGGTTACTTTTAAAGTTTTCTACAGTGTGTTAAACATTCATGGACACAGAAATCCAAGCAAAAACCTCAGTAATTCAGCCATCAGTGCATTCACCACATTATCAAGAGACCGAGTTTGAACCCCAGTGATGCCACAGCCAGCCGAAAGTGGGAGCCCAACAGGAGGAAATGCCTGCTGGGATTGCAGTTTTATGCATCAGATCATCCGGTGATGCAATATATCGCTAGAAAGCTTGAAATCTCAGAATTTGATTCCCACAAACTTTTATGATCTGTTATTCTCAGCAGTTACGATCGTCTCATTTGCAACATCAGCACTGAATTATCGAATGCCAGCAAATCTGTGTGTCGTCATCTTCAGAGCCTCTCCGCCTCCACAGAGACACCATCGTCCAGAACATGAGGTCCTCTTATGTTGGGTATGCCGAGGCAGAAATGGGCTACAGTTAAAGCAGCATTATGCGAGAATTGGTGTTTTGCTCTTGGGCTCCCCCTACAGGCACAGAGAGTATTTCACTTTTTCACCACTGCCGTAAATACAGATCGCGCAGTGAGCGCCCCCTCATGGACAGCTGCATTTGTTGACAAGCTGAAGGAAAAAGAATCCGACTCCCATTCGTGTGCATGCAGGCATATGGACACTACAGATTACGCTCACGATTTCAGTTGTTTCTGTGTGTAAATAACTGAGAGTGTGATCTGTAGCGTCCATATGCCTGCATGCACACGAATGGGAGTTGAATTGTGCCTGGGAATTCGGCGCAACACCAGCAAAGACAGCAGCGCTGACTGTGATGCAAATACATGGCATGAAAATTTGATGCTGATTTTGGTGATGTGGCACCACATGAGGTAGACGACCCTTTAATGTCTGTAGTTGCTGGGACACGGCTGATCAGGCAGCTTGGCTTTTACCATGACGCATTAATAATAATAATAATAATAATAAACAGACTAAAACAAACTAATATTTTTTTGCTTTGTAAAAAAATTTAACAAAGTAAAACTAGTACAAAATAACAACGCTGCTGACCCCTAACCATAATTAACAACTAATTACTAATGAATTATTAATTATTTAATTAATTATTCATTATTGAATACATATTAAATACACACACATTTATGTATGTATTTAAAAAACAATAACGTTAGCGTAAATAGTTATTTAAAATCTAGTACCTTCTTTGTCTATTCAGTCCTTCATTCAGTTAAATCAGGTGATGGAACTGAACAAGTCCCTACGATGGCAAGAGGCTCAAACACTCCTTATATCTTCAGTGTGAGTGGGCGGGGCTAAACTGCTGTAGGCCGGATGTATGTAAATGTGTAATTATATTAATATCTTCCTGTTTCATTTTAAAAACTTACAGTACAAGGTTGAAGTGAGGACCTGAAGTTGAATGTCATGGCTGTGAAAAAGGGCTGATTTACAGAGCTCCCTGTTTACAGTGCGCTCCTGTTTTTGATTGATTGATGTATTTAAGGTCGTTTGCACAGCGTTCAGACGTTCGTCCGATGCAGATGTGCTCTCTGTGTGATTTGGACCATGGTCCTGGGTTCTGAACAGTGCTGAGCTCAGTAAAGCCTCACAGTGAATCATCTTCTCTCTGTGTTTCTGACTGAACGCAGGAGAAGCACCTGATGGTGTACGTGGAGAAGAAGGTGGTGGACGACGTCGCTCTCACAGCAGACGAGACGTTCTCCAGCATCCGGAAGCAGCTGTGCACCTTCAGAGAAGGTTCTGTATCCACACGGCTTCCTTTAGCTGTGATATAGAGGGTGCGGCTTAGAAAACATTTCCAAAAAAGTTGTGACGCTGTGAAAAATGTAAATAAAAACAAAATGCAATGATGTGCAAATTATTTAAACCTCTTTATTTCATTAACAATGCTTCAAAGACAACAAATCAAATGTTGAAACTGAGAATTTTTGTTGTTTTTTGAAAAATAATTTCTCAATAAAATAGCAAAGAACTTTTGCTTTTCATCATCTACAGTACATAATATCATTAAAAGATTCAGAGAGTCTGGAGAAATCTCTGTACGTAAGGGACAAGGCCAAAAACCAGTATTTGCTGGCCGTGATCTTTGGGTCCTCAGACGATTCAAAATGGGCAAATATTTTTCAAAAAAACAATAAAATTTCTCCGTTTCAACATTTGATTTGTTGTCTTTGTAGTATTTTCAAAGAAATATAGGATTTAAATGATCTGCACATCATTGCATTTTACTTTTATTTACATTTTACACAGCGTCCCAATTTTTTTGGAAATGTGTTTGTATTATGTTACAGTGTAAATCAGTATTTTACTCATTTTGGGGTTATTATAATGATTTGAATCTGTGCTTTGTCCTACAGGGTTTGATGACATATCAGACTGTGTAGATCTGATCATCTGTCTGGGTGGAGACGGAACGCTGCTCTACGCTTCCTCACTTTTCCAGGTGAGTCACAATCACTGATGGTGTCCTCTGAAGGTTTACATTGCTCTAGATCTGCTGTGATTGTAGCAGGTGAGATGTTAGGTTTGACTGGGTCAGTTAACCCTCTGCAGTCTGAGGGCGTTTTCTGGATTTTTGCATGTGTTCTTAAATGTGCCTTTAAATGCACTTGCATACGGTCTAATACACACGTATATATCTGAATGTTCAGATCAGTCTCAGCTCTCTCTGTAATGAGGCCCTTCTGACCTGGTGTACAGAGAAAATTCAGCCCTAAAGCTGAAAAAATCCGGTTTTAGAAATTCTTGATGTCTCTTGTGAAAACACTGCTTTACTGATGTTCTCCTCATCACTGCTTTACGAAGCAGCTGTAAACTCTCTGCACGCTGTTTCACATGAGTCTCCGATGTGGACTGGATGAAGAATGAAGGGTTTCCGGCGTGATGGTCAGTCCTTAGTGATTTCCTGAGTGTCTATCGGTCAGTTTCACGCAGAATGTAGACGGACACACCAATCCACCAGCTCCACACGGTGAGAGGCAGATGACGTGTATCTCAGCCCCTCTTCATAGGCTCATAACTCCGGATGTGAGTCTCGTATGATCTCGTGATAAGATGGAATGGAAAGGGCGGCTCTACAGATTCAGGAAGTGTCTGAACTGGATTTCTGAGCTGGATCATCACAAAGATGTTAATAGAAACATTGAGAAACATCTCATTTGACGTGCCGGCGCGTTTGTTGACCCCAGAGGCTGAAAGCAGGTGTAGGTGCTGTAAAGCTGCAGTAGATGAGGTGTGTGTGCGTTTGTGTCCACAGGGCAGCGTTCCCCCTGTTATGGCCTTCCACCTGGGCTCCCTCGGCTTCCTCACTCCCTTCAAATTCGAGTCCTATAAGACGGAAGTGGACAAAGTGTTCGAAGGTACACTGAGCATTACCCACTAGCATTAGCACTGTGGCTGGGATTAGCCCGCTGGGTCCGGCTGGTTATTCATCTTAAGACCTTTAAATTATTTTGAATTATTCAGTAGCTATGAAAGTGACTACTATGAATGATTCAGTATCTGTGATGAATTATTACGTATCACTGATGAATTATTCACAGGGATGCACAATGATGTCGGCATCATATCGGTCAGTATTTGCCTTTTTAAACATCGCTGACATCGCGCCGACGCTTAGATTTGGTGAATATTTCAATCTGATATTTGATGAAACATTTATTGTATGAATAAGAGCATGTTAGCATTTAGGCGACAGCACACAAGCACTACTCAGGCAAGCAGCTCGGTACATAAAACTCCAGGTAAGATGTTTTAATAGCTTAAACCTTAAATAAAAGGACCAGCATTAAAACTAAGAGGCTGATGATGTTGTTGTTATTTGTCAGCTTCTTGTTTGAATTTTCCTGTTCCACCTTAAATGGCGCAGCTGTTACATTCTGGTGCTCGAGGCGCCGGCAGGGAGAACCCATAAACGGCAGGTTCCAGTTCTTTTTTACGCTCTACTTGTATAAACTGAGTGAAATAAAGTGTTCAGCGTCTCATCACACTCAGTATCAGTTTACTGCCTCCACACACACTGGCTGTTTATGAGCTGAACGATCTGAGCTGAAAAAGGCCAGGCTAGTAATGTTAGCTGAGCTAACTTACCATTAGCATCTCTCTGTTCATCTAAAAAACTGGCTGCTTCTCTCTGTGCAAATTTAAAGCCTCGTGATCCACTGTGGTTTTCTGCGGCCTCAGCATGGCTTTAATGTAATGTAGTAATGGTTAAATGCCGAGCGGCGCTCTGTGATGCATTGTTGTGCTGAATTCCGACTCCCCTTCGCTGCACAAAGGCAACACGGGAATCTGGATGCTACAGATTGCAGTCATGATTTCGGTTAGCCAAAGAGTCTTCATTTCCTGTAGCGAACAAAAAACGCTGGTCGTTGCAGCACTCGAGAGATCTAATGCCTTTCAGTCATAACAACAAGTATTATGATCAGCATTGTGAGGACACTTTAAACACAGTTTAAACTTGGTTTAAAGTAGTGCTCACCTCCATTTAAAACAATGGTTTTACATTTTTGGACGTTGCGGCGCGTCCGGTGTGCAGTGGCCTTTACAGAAGGCAGTTTGAAATGTCCAAGATGTAAAGATGTGTACCAGTTATTGGCATCGGCCCAGAATTCCCAGATCAGTGCGTCCGTAATTATTCAGCATTTACCATGAACTACAGTAACTACTATGAATTACGCAGTATTTACCATGAGCTATAATAACTTATAGGAATTTTTCAGTACCTTCTGTGTATCTATGTGTCTGAAGTGTCTGCAGGGTTTTACTGATCTGCCTGCATGTGACTGTGCGTTTCCCAGGCAACGCAGCCATCGTCCTGCGCAGTCGTTTGAAGGTGAAGGTGGTGAAGGGTTTGTTCCAGAGAAGAGAGCAGCTCTTCAAACCCGAGGGAAACGGAACCGGCCCTCCGAACCACATCAGCACGGAGGCGGGCAAAATCACACTGCAGCTGCAGGTAAAGCGGCTACACCCCACGCCTTTCAGCCCGGTTTCAGCCCTGATCCTCAGCCGGTCCGAGTCTGTGTTGGTCGGCTCCAGTCTGCGGATGTCGAGGCAGTCGGGGTCGACAGTTCAGAGATAAAATCGTGTAGCAAGCGACTCAGATGCCTCCTGATTGAGTTTCAGACCAGGCGGCAGGGCTTAATTTGTGCCGGAACAAGCCAGGTCCGAATCCAGCACCTCCCAGACTGGCTACGGCATCTTGTTCACATTTTAAATGTACTCGTACGATAATCTGTAGAGACGTATCAAGAAAATTCGTAATGTTTACTACAACTCAACAAAGTGTAACACCCCCAGCCTTATTCTACGCTTTTTAAGTGAAAATAAGTGACACAACCTCTACAGAGAACGCACTTAAAAAGGCGTTTCTTCTGCAAATATCAGTGCACAATTTCTGTGTATTTGTTTAATGTATATATTACTGTAAAAAATGTGCAGGAATTTGTTCCCTGTAGAGGGCGCGTTTTTCACTTCAACAGAATGTAAATCAATAAAACAAGTAATTTGATCAAGCTTTAGCGCGTGACTGTACGTATCATAACAGTATGTGTAAAAGTGAACTTGCTGTTTCTTCTCTTTTTGCGTGGCAGGTACGCATTTTAACATCAGAGGCTAATGCTGCGTTCATGTGTTTGCCCTGAAAAACATGGGGCCATGGTGACTACGGTGCCGGTGAAAATGGATGATTATCAGAGAAGAGTTTTATCAGTGTAGATTGTGTATTTAAGGTGGAGAAAGACAGGAGGCGCTCTGCACTCTTTTATTTTATCACTCTTTTACTGAGTTCATCTGGAACTCAGTAAAATGCTCCCAAACAATCAACATAAAACGATAACAAAACCACACCAAGTGTGTTTACATGCACTTAATAATCCGATAACTGCAGAAAATCAGATTTTATCAGTAATCTGATTAATGCATTTTCATGCTTTTGAGTAATCAGATAATGGGGAAACTCTGTGCCTACATGAGTCAGACAGTGATCAGATTTCTGCTTTACAACCAGCCAATAAACTCAATAAACGTAAAACTCTGACTTTTTAAACATCGCACCACTTTACCTGAAAATGATCTAGGAGATGAAGAATATTTAAATCTTTCATTTCGTCAAGCATGTAGTCGGTTTCAGGAAACTCTTACTCTGATTTCTTTCGGATTTCTCAGTCTGAGCATGTGCAAAAACAGATGGCTGTACCGGAAATAAGCGAGCAGCGTGTTTTACTGCGTCTCGTGGCGACGCTGCTCGCTTATTTCTGGTACCACTGTCTGATTTTGCACATGCTCAGACTGAGAAATCTGAAAGAAATCAGAGTAAGAGTTTACATGCCCTGAGAAATCTGATTACTGAGCTAAAATCTAGCCTCTTTATCAGATTTCTAGATCTTACTCTGATCTAAGAAATGGGACTATGCTGTTTGCATGACCATTTAAATAATCAGATAACTGCAGAAATCTGATTATGATCTGATTATTGAGTGCATGTAAACACACTCAGTGCTGCTTATTACTCGCGAATGACTGTTCCTCCCTCAGGAGACAGAAGCTGTTTTGGGCACCACAGATTGACGAGTTCACAAGAAAAGTTCAGAAATAAGTTGAATAGTTTTGTAATGTTCTTACAGCGATCTCAATGAGGAACATTAGACATTTTTATTGGATTTAAAATGATTTTACTTGCCAAGATGCTGTTTTTGCAGAGTTGCAAGTCATTTCTCAAAAAATCTGCAGAAATCAGTGGGAAGGTGTGACATTTATTTTACAGTCTATTACGCTCTAAAGCTCATTCACACTCACTCAGTGTGGTTAATGTTTGCATAGCAAATAAAAGCTCTTTGTTCTCGCGCTGCTCACATTTCAGAGAAACGACTTTCCATACCTGACAGTCAGAGCAGAGGCTTCTTTTAAAGGGGAACTCCACTGATTCTTAAAAATTCTACATTATTAAACAGTTAAGATGTAAACAGAGAGGTTCAGAGTGGTTCAGAGTGGTTCAGAGGGGTTCAGAGGGGTTTGGAGTGAAACGCTCTGTTCTAGATAAACTTACTGAGTCAGAACTGTTCACAGTGGTGGTGATAGGAACCAGACGTCCACCTCTAAAAGCTCCCTCACAGAAAGTTCCTACAGTAAATGGTTATGAATTCACTGCCTGATGACTGAGACACTGTTTTATGATAGTTTAGAGAACTTAAACTCCATTCATGGTGGAGGGATACATGCAGGACGCTGTGAGGCAAAATAGTCCCCAAAGAAAACTTATTATTTCAGATTTTCCACTATTTTCCATCATCAACATTCCATATAAACTCAGAAGACTCGTGTAGGTTCACTGGTGGTTCTGATAGTAAATAAAATGTCTATATTTGTGTGCTAAATATTTTTCCAGACTTTTTTTGAAGTGAAAAGTAGTAAAAATCATCTGAGTAAAAAAGCATCTCTCTGCAGATGTTAATACAGAGTTCTGTTATAATTTATTCATTTAAAAAATAGTCACAAGTAAAATAGTAATTGTGACTGGTGCAACAGTTTGGCCACCCTAAGTCAGTACGTAGTGACATCCCCTTCGTCAGTTAGCGAGTCTTGCTGTTCTCGTTTTGTCGTTATTAGTTCCATCACTTCATCCACAGCGAGTGACCTGAGTTTTGGGTGTGCTGTGCTGATGTAGAATATCTGAGTCTGGGTGTATCAGATGTAATGAATCATTCCTCTTATACAACATTTACATTCTAATGTTTATTAATAAATAAAACGGCCTGTTTCCGTTTTCCATCATCACCCGCAGCAGCAGGAGGTCCAGCTGATGCTGAGCGTGTTTGAGGAAGGCCGACTGCGCAGATACGCTGTTTTTCATATTTCATGGAAATGTTTTGAGAGAGTGAGGTGTCGATAACAGCTTCCTTAGAAACACCATTTACATTTTCACTGTAATGATAACCTGCCTGGACCTGCTGGACTGGCATCGTCTGCATGGAGCTGGTCACATGAGTGAATATAAAACTCCTTCATTCTATTCAGCGTGTCCATCTGAACCGTGTCTGCTCAGATTATTAACCAGCCTGTTTCTCTGTAAACACAGAAATGTGATTTTATAATACAGTTAGAAGAAGGACTGCAAGTACTACTACTGTTTATTAGCATTATTATCATAATTATATTATTATATATAATTATTATTATTACTGTTGTCAATAATAAAATAATAATAGTAATACTATTACTACTCCTACTGCTAATAATAATATTATACAGTAATATTATATAATTATAAAGGCCAGTCGATCGGTCAGTCAGTCAATCAGTCACTCGGTCACTCAGTCAGTCACTGTGTCAGTCAGTCAATCAGTCACTCGGTCACTCAGTCAGTCACTGTGTCAGTCAGTCACTCACTCAGTCACTCACTCAGTCACTCACTCAGTCACCGTGTCAGTCAGTCACTCACTCACTCAGTGAGTCAGTCAGTCACTTGGTCAGTCACTCAGTCGCTCACTCAGTCACTCAGTCAACCAGTCAGTCATTTAGTCAGTGACTCATTAAAAGACAACAACTCATAAACTGGCCCATGGATTTGATTAAAAAAAGTGCAGTGGGTAGCTCTGCGGCCTCACAGTAAGAAGGGTCTGGGTTTGGTTCCCTGGCCAGGTGACCAGGGTCCTTGTGTGGAGTGCATGTTCTCCCCATGTCTGTGTGGGTTTCCTCCCACAGTCCAAAGACATGCAGTCAGGCTCACTGGACACACTAAATCGCTCCATAGGTGTGAGTGTGAGTGTGAGTGTGTGTGAGTGTGAGTGTGTGTGTGTGTGTGTGTGAGTGTGTGTGTGTGTGTGTGTGTGTGTGTGTATGTGTGTATGAGTGTGCATGTCTGTAAAAGTAAGAAAGTAGGAGTGTTAAAATAGAAGGAAGAAGAAATAGAAGTATTAGTGAAACATGATCATCATTGAGCCCTTTACCTGCTTCTGTCTGCATGTTTATGAGCTTTTACGGGACGGTATGTAGTGAAATCGCTACACAGGTCACAAACAACCGAATAACAGCAGGCTGTGTTAAATATGTTCAGTAATTTAGATTTAAATGACTTTGTTGACCTGACGTGTGTGTGTGTGTGTGCGTGTGTGTGTGTGTGCGTGTGTGTGTGCGTGTGTGTGTGCGTGTGTGTGTGCGTGTGTGTGTGTGTGTGTGTGTGTGTGCAGGTGCTGAACGAGGTGGTGGTGGACAGAGGCCCCTCCTCTTACCTGTCGAATGTTGACCTGTACCTGGACGGCCGCCTCATCACCTCCGTCCAGGGCGATGGTGAGTGTGGAGAGTGTGGAGACGTCTAAAGGCCCAAAGTCGGGAGTCGATGTACAGTCAAAAGATTGTGCACCCCGGTCAAATTCCATGTATTTGTGAATTTTCTGAGTGTGAATAAGTTAACACGTCCTTTACAGAGACACTTCTGCACATTTTAATGCACAATTACTGTTTATGTGCCTAATTTAACATACTGGGAATAAGCAAGACACAAAATGTGGCCCATGTAAAAGGTTTTTTTCCCAATACGTTAAACTAAAATTAGCAGAAAAATGTCATATTTAAGTGTGTTCTCTGTAGAGGATGTACACTCAGAAAATCAACATGATGGAATTTGACAATCAACTTTTGTATGTAATTGTACTACTACTATTACTATTTATAATACATTTTTTTTGTTATTTGTTTACAATAATAATAATAATAATAATAATAATAATAACGGGTAGAAAGTTAAGTGAATATAGAATTATACAGGACTTTTATTATGACAGCAGCAGTGTCCCTGCCTAAACGAGGCATTATGCATCATCCTCTGCCTCCAAAGCAAAGTAAAGAGTGCATGTTCGTGTTAGCGTACATGCTAACAGTCATAGCTAACGTTAACGTGGCGATGTGCTGCTCGGCGACTCTGTTCTCCCTGTAACAGTGGAAGTATCCAAATAAAGCTGCTGAAACAGAGAGATAAAGGAAAGATTCCAGTTCCAGACGCTCGAGCTCCCATACCTGCTGGTATCTCACCTGTTTTCGTGACCCATCATGTGTTTCTGTGAATGTGTCTCTGCTTTTCTCCACTGTTTATTTGTTAGCCCTGTATCAGTAGTGTTGGGAGGGCGTGAGGACGTCATTTAACAGTGTATAGCGCCACCTATGCGACTCTTGCGCATGCAGGTTCTCCTTTAGGCCCATTTATAACATTTGTGTAGTTTTATGTACCAAGAAATGGTCCTGATTCATTTGAACAGTATTATTTTCCAAACTCTCTTTATTCCTCAGAATTGAACAGACTGTTTTTGTTACTGACGTATGTAAATGAGCTCTGTTCTGATTGAATGTTCTCATTCAAAAAGCAGTCTGGGCTGCAGCACTTCTTATAACTAACATTACAGTCTGGGTGGGTGGGCCTAAACTGCTGTAGGCCGAATGGGTGGGTCTGTATGTAAATGAGTTGGTTTTTGTGACATCACAGAAACAGAGTCAAAACAGGCTGTTTTTGCAGCTTAGTTTCCAGATATGGACTGTATAGACTAGAGGTTCAGTTGTTTTCATGATGATAATAATAATAATAATGGTGATTAAAGAGTCAGCGACTCTCCTTATATACGTCTATATGCTGCTATAATAAGATATAAACCGAGATTATATTTATCTGTTTGTCTGTTAAGCAGTTTATTGATGTCTGTGTTGCGTTTGTGTCCGTCTCTGCAGGTGTGATCGTATCGACTCCGACGGGCAGCACTGCGTACGCAGCAGCAGCCGGAGCCTCCATGATCCACCCCAACGTCCCGGCCATCATGGTGACCCCCATCTGCCCCCACTCGCTCTCCTTCAGACCCATCGTGGTCCCTGCGGGAGTGGAGCTGATGGTGAGAGAGGGGACGACATCTCCATTTAAAAACACGTTTACCACCAGATTAAAGGTGCAGTGTGTGAGATTTAGGGTGGATCTATTATCAGACGTGGAATATAGTAAACAGACCATGTGTTCATTAGTGTATAATCAGCTGTGACTATGGATCGCTGTGTTGTCGTTATCTTGGAATGAGCTTTCATATTTATATAGGGAGATGCCAGGTTTCTGCAGTAGCCCAGAACAGACAAACCAAACTCTGGCTCTAGAGGGCGTCTGTCAGACTTCTATGCTGAATTTGGTGCTGTAGCTCTGGTTGGAAAGTAGAAGAATCAGTGGAGCTGCCGGTGCTGCTGACCGTTTTGTGTTGTGAGAAGTCTGAGAACCCAAATTTAGACAAATGGAGGATCAGACTTATTATTTAGCACAAAAAAGGGAGGCAGGATGAATCGTCACCATCAAAGAACAGAAAACATGAAGAAGCAAAACAAAATCAGGACAGAGGACGACAGAAAACCTGACAGGCATAACATTCTGACCACCTCCTTGTTTCTGCGCTCATTGTCCATTTTATCAGCTCCACTTACTATATAGGTGCACTTTGTAGTTCTACAGTTACAGACTGTAGTCCATCTGTTTCTCTGATACTTTGTTAGCCCCCTTTTACCCTGTTCTTCAGTGGTCAGGACTGTAAGTCACACTTTTGGCCGTGTCCTAAAGCTTTAATGCGCTGAGTTTACTGACCGGATCCAGTTTTTCCATCATCGCTACCTGCAGTGCTGATCTAAAGTTGGTACGCGCTGTTTGTTTGATGACGTTAAAGACACTCTGATCCAACAGCTTAAATGCTTAAAATGAGTTTACAAGACAAACAGTTGGCTGAATGCGTCTGAATCTGTTTCCATAACAAGAAAATTCAGTGTAAACATGTTTAAACGCCTCCCAGCAGTGAAGAAACCGTGATTCTCTGATCCGCTGTGTTCAAACCTCTGACCGTTACTGTACGTCCATCTGCAGATTTCACACGCTGCTCATTATCCTTTAGCCGATGATCAGTAACCAAACCCCCCCTTCTGTCCAGATAACACTGTCCCCCGACGCCCGCAACACGGCCTGGGTCTCCTTCGACGGCAGGAAGAGGCAGGAAATCCAGCACGGAGACAGGTGATCAAACGATAACCATAATCATCAGAGCGGTTTAACGCATGTTTGATTAGTCCACTATTAGCAGTTAAGGCTTGAACAGCTGCTGCTTCAGTACACTAGGTGGCGCTGTGTGTCTTCTGCTCTCCAGATGAGTAAGGAGTCTAGCTGTTCACTCAGGACAGTTAGCAGAGTTAGTGCTAGCTGTAGTGCTAACGCAGAGCTAGTGTTAGCTGTTTCCAGTTAGCAGAATAAGCTATTTTAAGCTAGCACAGTTAGCTAGCAGTAGCTGTTGTTAGTTAACAGAGTTAGCTGGTGTTAGCTGTTTCCAGTTAGCAGAGTTTAGCACAGCTACAGTTAGCTATTCTCAGTTAGTAGTAAGCTAGTGTTAGCGGTTATTAGTTAGTCATAGCTACTTTAAATTAGCACAGTTAGCTGGTGTTAGCTGTTTTCAGTTAGCACAGTCAGCTAGGGTTAGCTGTTTTCAGCTAGCACAGTTAGCTGGTGTTAGCTGTTTTCAGCTAGCACAGTCAGCTAGGGTTAGCTGTTTTCAGTTAGCACAGTTAGCTGGTGTTAGCTGTTTTCAGCTAGCACAGTCAGCTAGGGTTAGCTGTTTTCAGTTAGCACAGTCAGCTAGGGTTAGCTGTTTTCAGTTAGCACAGTTAGCTGGTGTTAGCTGTTTTCAGGTAGCACAGTCAGCTAGGGTTAGCTGTTTTCAGCTAGCACAGTCAGCTAGGGTTAGCTGTTTTCAGTTAGCACAGTTAGCTGGTGTTAGCTGTTTTCAGCTAGCACAGTCTGCTAGGGTTAGCTGTTTTCAGTTAGCACAGTCAGCTAGGGTTAGCTGTTTTCAGTTAGCACAGTTAGCTGGTGTTAGCTGTTTTCAGCTAGCACAGTCTGCTAGGGTTAGCTGTTTTCAGTTAGCACAGTCAGCTAGGGTTAGCTGTTTTCAGTTAGCACAGTCAGCTAGGGTTAGCTGTTTTCAGTTAGCACAGTCAGCTGGTGTTAGCTGTTTTCAGGTAGCACAGTCAGCTAGGGTTAGCTGTTTTAGTCAGTAGCTAGTGATAGCTGTTTACAGTTAGCAGAGCTTGTTAGCATTAGCTGTTTGAAATTAGAAGAGAAAGCTAGTTTTAGATTAGCAGAGTTAGCTATTTTCACTTAGCCATGTTAGCTAGTGCTGGCTTTTTACATACATACATTATTAATATTAGTATTTTTTTCTATATTAGATTTATTTATTAATAGGATACTATTCAGATCTAAAATTGAGCTTTAGGTAACGCATATCATACTTATATATAATTTTAATGGAAAATATAGTGTGATAAGATTTTTGGCCATATACTCCAGCTCTGCGTGCTCTGCGGTAATTCCACACGTAGAGACGAATTCCAGTGTAATTAACGCAGCTTTGTTTGCTGGTGAGAAAGTGCGGCTTTGATTATCTTCATCTGCTGTTTTAAGGCGGAGCTGTAAATACAGACCTGACAGAAAGCTGATTAAACGCAGGCAGAACAGCAAACACACCACATACACTCAGCCTGCAGTGCAGAGTCCAGCATTAAAGCTGCACTGTGTAGGTTTTGGGGATTTGGAGCCCCCTCTGGTGGAAATGTGTAACTGCACACAGAACACTGTGGTGTGGGTTGTGCTTCTTCCTGAGTGGATGAATCTGAAAGAGAACTCAGAGAGAACTCAGTCTGAACTCGGTGAAGGAGCGTCTCTGAGGATGTGAGTGAATTATCTACTACTGTATCACATCTTTATCAGTGTGATGTTGATTTGAGATCATTTGAAGCCGAAACATCGAGCCGGACCTTCTTTTAGAGTCTGTGTGTGACGTTAATACGCAAAGATGTACGACGTGGAGTGAAAAACTTGATGCCTCTGATTTTTAAATGATCGATAATTGATTATTTCAGGCTTCACAGGGCGACTCGCAGCAGTGCACTCACCATATTTTAGACTGTTTATATTCTCCTCACTCGGTAACGACACTGCCTTCAGCTTTAACACAAAAATATTACATAGTGCAGCTTTAAAATAAATAATTAATGACGTGACAATAATGAGATATGCAGTTAGGACCATACTAATTCATGGGGAATAAGCTGAGCAAATTGGGTATTTTGGTCAAGTCAAATTTATTTGTATAGCGCTTTTTACAACTGATGTTGTCACAAAGCAGCTTCACAGAAATCCATTAAAGACAAAGTTTCAACATGAAATGTAAATCCTCCAGGTGAGCAAGCCAGGAAAAACTCCCTCAGAGCTGAGGAAGAAACCTTGGGAGGAACCAAGGCTCACATGGGGGGACCCATCCTCCTCTGGTCAAACTACCTACACAATTATTATACTACTAATATTAATAGTAGTAGTAGGTAGGAGAAGTATTTTGGTGCATTGTTCCTTTTAATGTTGGACTCTGGACTGTAGTTTGAGTGTATGTGCTGTGTTTGCTGTTCTGCCTGTGTTTAATCAGCTCCACCTTAAAACAGCAGATGGAGATAAAGCTGCACTTTAGACCTGATTATGTGGTTTCTGACTGTATTATACACTGATCTCTATAAACAGGGACTGAAGTACAGACAGTTCAGCTGCCTTTGCTTTCATTTCTGAAAGTAAATAAACAGTAAAACAGACATAAAACGAGCAGCACGAACTTAGAAGGTTTTAATTCTCAATGACAATCATGTTAAACTAAAATCAGAAATCGAGCGACGTTCACAGAAGATCGTATTTCCGTATCCATAATGAATTTACTCCCAATATCTTTTTTAATAAATCAAATGGAAGTGATGTGGCAAGTGAGCTAGAAGGCTCTCATTCACTGCCCTTGTTTGGAGCACGAGAAGCTGCTGCTACTCATCTGCGATAAAATGCTCAGTTACGGTGAAATAAGATCCTGTGGTGATGGACGTCCACGCAGCGCGTTAAAGGTATTCTACCTGTTTTCTTTAGTGATTTTATAACTTCGGTTTTGGTCTCGTTGGGGGGGGGTGGGTCGCTGTGTCAGTAAAGTATCTTTGAGACGGGTCGTGTGCAGCATAGCGCGAAAGTCCTGTTTTGCAACGACTGAGAACTGGCGTGCAGACTGCAGGTCACACAGCAGCGATGCGTTATTCGCATTTATAAGCAGCGCAGTTTCCTGGTAAGTTAAATCTGCAGTGAGAGACTGTCACACACTTAAAAAGTGGCGAAGATGAAGTCGCTTCTCTTTCGAATTCTCCCGTTCCACCTTAAATGGTGCCACATTTACATTCGGTGCCTCAGTCAGAATTTAAGGTGGAACGGGAAAATTCGAACAAGAAGCTGGAGAATAAGAAGCAACTTCAGCCTCAGAAAACAGCCGAACGCTGAGAGACATTTAACTGATCTACTTCTGAGGAGACGTTTTCTGGCGGAGATGGGAGGAAAGCGGCTGTAGGCGAAGCTTAAAGCAGAGCGGAGTAAATCTGCGTTCTCGTTTATATTGTTTAGCCCATACTAGGACATTAACACACACTGAGACATACTGGGCATTAAATGTTGTGTCTCCCAAGCTGGTTTGACTTCGTTGAAAGGCAAAATGGCTCTTCTTATCATTTGTGTTGTGACTCCTGACCTAACCTGGCTTTAATGCAGAGGGAGCCGGTCAGATTTCTCGCTCATCCGGTAGTGTTTTTGTTATGTGCCGCCACAGACTGTCCGGGCGCTACACTTACCCACTGCCAGGTTCCGCCTTTTGCGTTCCGTCAACATTACGTTATAAATTAAATATTTAGAAAATCGATTTTTGACGTTGAAAAGAATCGATTCAGAATCGTTCACATCTGCATCACGATGCATCTAAGAATCTATATATATATGCTTTACAAATATGTGTATACATACATACACATATAGGGATGGAGCTCCGTCCAGTACCTTTGGAATGAGTTGGACTGATCCAGAACTGACCATCCAACATCAGTACCTTACCTCACTAATGCTCAATCAAATCCTCCCAGCAATGTTCAACATCCAGTGTAAAGCCTTCCCAGAAGAGTAGAGGCTGTTACTGCAGCACAGACTCACTATTAATTTTGGAAGAAACATTGTATGAGCAGGTGTCCACAAATTTTTGGCCACATAGTGTGTTTGTATCACTGTCACCCAAGTCTTATATCTAATTTATCATTTGCTTTTTACATAATATGAAAACTGCAGTTCCTCTTCACATTGTTAGAATTTCATGATGAATAGAAATAGTCCAGAATTACCCATTAATGTGTGCACTTAAAAAACAGTGTAAAAAACAGAGGAGGAGGAGACGAGAGAGAGAGAGAGAGGGAGGGAGAGAGAGAGGGAGAGAGAGAGAGGGAGAAAGAGAGAGAGGGAGAGAGAGAGGGAGAGGGAGAGGGAGAGAGAGAGAGAGTGGAGAATCTGATTGGATGGTAAACTGATTTATGAGGACCGTGAGTTGTTGTTGATGTTGTTGATGGTGATGATGATGATGATGGTGATGATGATGATGATGATGATACTACTGATACTACTGTGCAGGTCAGAAACGTATCATGACCGTGTTTGATGTCTGACCGTCTCTCTGTCTGTGTGCAGTATTAAAATCACCACCTCCTGCTATCCGGTACCGTCGCTCTGCTGCCACGATCTGGTGTACGACTGGTTCGACAGCCTGGCGCAGTGTCTGCACTGGAACGTCCGCAAGAAACAAACACGACTGACCGACGGCTCGGACTCCTCCGACACCGAAAACTGACCTCACAAACACAAATAGGCACAAATGCTACACCAGCGTGCAGGAGTCTGAGCGCCCCCTGGTCCAATCCCATGTAATTGTTGATTTTCTAAGAGGAAAAATAGAACATCCTCCACAGAGAACACGCTTAAATATACTTACACAGTGGAGCAAAAATAAAACAGAACTCCCACACCGGCCATGTTTCGCTTTAGTTTTGTTCCCCCGATGTTCCATGCAGCTAATAAACACTAAAGTGTGCTCTGTGTTCTCTGTAGAGAACTTATTTACATTTAAAAAAATCAACAAACATAATTTGACTATGGGGTGCATAAACTTTTGCACCTGACTGTATGTTGGATTTTGTCACTGTCGTAATTAACCTCGTTAATATTAACTATAGAAGGAAAAAACCCTCTTAACTTTTAATTAAGACCGAGTACTTTTCAGAAATTGAGTATTAATACTTTTTAGGATATTTAGAGAATTATGAACTATAAGTGGGTGTGGCTTAAACCAGAAACACAAGTTGGTGTAATTAAAGGCCACAATAATAAAAGCTATGAAACAAAACACACTGATTAGATTACTGCAGATACAGAAATCATTTAAACATTTTTTAATTTAGAATTTCTAAAATGAGCCCTTATTTGTCAATGAATCACAATAATATGACACGAATGCAATTTAGACAGCCAATCAGCTGCCTGGATTTTGGAACAGGCTTGTTTATTGGCTGATGCTGATGAGACTGAACACCTACTGAAATTTCAGTAATACTGAAATGAGTACCATAAAAGTTTAAATTTGACACCCAGTCCTGCTTTTAATGTATGTAAACATAAGTAATTTTAGAGCATTTCTATTGGTCCATTCAACGTACAGTATTTACATACTGTAAGGCACAGCTGTCACTTTTAAATGGTGCAAAAAGTAAACAAAATGATATTTTTATTACGACAGTGACAAAATGTTATATTACTATTAAAGCACAAACGCATAAAAACAGACTTCCAATAAAGTTGTTCCTAGACAGAACTTGGCACATATTAATATATTAATAATCAATAGTTGTAGCTTTATCTGTAATGATTATGTACATTCCAGCCCATTTCAGCCTCCAGCCTCATTCGCCACTCAGGTAAGCGCTCTGAGCTCCAGCCGGAGCAGCTCATCCCAGAACCCACTCACAGTTCGTGCTCTCGCTTAAAGGGGCCAGAATGTAACAGCTGCACCATTTAAAGGAGAATTCCACCCATTTTTCAGAATTTCTCCATAACTCAGTGTGTGAGGTAATCAGAGTGGTTCAGAGTGGTTTGGTGTGAAATGGTTCAGATGTCTTTACAGTGGTGCTGATAGGAACCAGGGGTCGCCATGACTACAACACAAATATAGACATTTTATTTACTATCCAGAACCACCAGTGAACCTACACGAGTCTTCTGAGTTTATATGGAATGTTGATGATGGAAAATAGTGGAAAATCTGAAATAAGTTTTCTTTGGGGACTATTTTGCCTCACAGCGCCCTGCATGTATCCCTCCACCATGAATGGAGTTTAAGTTCAAAACTATCATAAAACAGTGTCTCAGTCATCAGGCAGTGAATTCATAACCATCTCATGTAGGAACTTTCTGTAAGGGGGCTTTTAGAGGGGGACGTCTGGTTCCTGTGAACAGCTCTGGCGTTTCACACCAAACCACTCTGAACCCTTTCATACCTTTTAATCATGCAGAAAATGTGAAAAATTGTTGGAGTTGCCCTTCAAGAGTTTTTCTCTGGCTTTAATGGTGAGTTTGGCGTCTTGGACAGGCCAGTAAACAAGTTTGTGCTTAAAGCTGCGTAAGGATGCGTGTACAATAGCGCCTCACTGTGGCCAAGTGGCTCCATCGCAGGACGGCTCGTCTGCTGAAATCTGCAGCAAACATACTGTGAAGTGAGAATGTTTGTGTTAAAAAGCTCACCTGAATTTACTCTTAACTGGCAAAGGGGAAGTCCACTGATCTTTAAAATTCCTGCATAATTAAGTGGTTAAGACGTAAACAGAGCGGTTTGGTGTGAAACACTCTGTTCAAGAGAAACTTACCGAGTCAGAACTGTTCACAGTGGTGGTGATAGGAACCAGACGTCCACCTCTAAAAGCTCCCTCACAGAAAGTTCCTACATGAAATGGTTATGAATTCACTGCCTGATGACTGAGACACTGTGGACATCATGACCCCTGGTTCCTATCACCACCACTGTAAATGAACATCAAACCACTCTGAATGAGTTTATTTACATCTTAACGACTGAATTATGCAGACATTTCAATTAATCCCCTTTAAAAAGAAGCCAAACTCATAGTATAGACAGAATAGTTTACCTTCAGAGTAAATTCTGCTGTATAAGGTCACAGAATGTATAGCAATATCTATAGCGTTAATATTATAATCCTAATTCACATTATTTATTTCTGCACTTTCTGCATTATTGTCATCAGCAGTACCTGTTGTGTGGTCTGTAAACACTGATATGATTATCTACTGGAACACAATACTTTTTAGTGTTTATGTAATATTGTAAATATGTTTATTCTGACAAAAACAAGCAATAAACAGTCTACAGTAAATTAGCATTCTATGTTTTATTGCAATGAAAGGATACAGGGATACTTTCAGACACTTAAATTATACTCCAGAGGACAGTTCTCACGATATTTGGATAATATTGATCCAAATATGCGCGACTAAGTAGCTGAAGACGAGTTGAGCGGGTAAAAAAAAAAAAAAGATTGACAGTTTTTTTCTCTGGTGATTAGAAATGAGGCGACGCTGCACGTATTAATACGTTATTACACAACAGGCTGACAAACACTCGAGAACAGTTTCTTCTGTGGACGATCTCCCGATATCGAGAAAAAGGGACCGAAAGGGAAACGGCTACTGGCACGTCGGCATCGCGTCGCCCTCGAAGAAGCGACGAATAAGGAGAAACAGAAAATGATGAAAGCAGCTCGACAGAAAAAGAACAAGGAGAAAAATACGCTGAATACGTCAAACAGACCAGGTTTTCAGAGGAAAATACTACAGACTCACTAACCTACACGGTTTGACCCACAGGAGCGTCCAGTTAGAGCTAATTAGCATCCATAACATCCTGATGACCGGCAGCAAGACAAACTCTGACCTCTGTGGGCTAGTAGAGCTGACAGTGGGGCTGAACGATTCATCGCTTTTATATCGAGAGTTTTATTATAGAGCGCAGCATCATTTTAAACCAATAACCTGATAACACAGAGCTGCAGACCAATCAGAAGCAACAAAACCTTGTTCTGTGACATCACAAGAAGTGCTGGACAGTGTGTAGGGCTGGGCAATATGACGATACACATCATTATCGTGATAAATTACATCACAGTATACTTTTCTGATCGTATCCTGTATATCGTCAGTGCTTGTAGACACTGACCAACTGCTGTTTTTATTACAGAGAGAGTAAAATTAGTGCCGTTTAACTGGATTTAAATCTTGCCAAATATGGAATAAAAATCATTGTGTTCACAGTTTTTGATAGTATTTTTAAGTTGTAGCTCTACTGGCTTTTTTTTCTCTGTATCGTGAAAATGTCGAATCATTGCAATATTATATTTGCTATATCGTCCACCTCTAACAACACATCACTATGCTTTTCTGAGTGTATACTTTAAAAAAAACTCCCAACTGCATGTTTGATTACAAAGAGAGTCTAATTAGTCCTGTTTAATTAGATTTAGTGCAGCTCAGTGTGTGAAATGAATAGTAATTGGATAGTTTTTGATGGTATTTTTAAAACGTGGTCTTGCTCTGTCTGCTCTAACTTATCAGAAAAAATAAATATTGTGATACCGTTTCAGAAAAACCGTCCTGAAGTATTGTGATGTTACGGTTTGCCGTATCGCCCAGCTCCAAGTACAACTATCCGGTAGTCTGACACACTCGGTGTTCACACTTTATGCCAGAAAAAGTGGACGTTCAGGTCTTTTGGGCCAAAAAACAGGCCTGGAAATTGATTTATAGAAAATAATTGCATTTAAAACGCAGGATTTTCCCCAAATCGTTCAGCCCGAACTGACAGTATGTTTGCTTCGTTTGAAGAGACAGAAAATACAAAGAGAAAAATAAGATTAGAAGAACTAAAACTACAGGGCGGGATCTGAGGACCAGCGACAAAAAAGACGACTAAACCGCCATCGTGCAATCTGAGTTCTGTGCGTTAGCTGACGCTCTACGTAGGTAAAAAATATTGCAGAGAAATGAAAAGCTGCATCATACATTATAATAGTTTCCTTTTTTTAAAAAAGAAAGACAAAATAAACAAAGGGCACATTTCATCACCCCTGAACTCCCAGCGTGGATATAAGATATATTTGTAGAGTCAATATTGAGAAACAATCTCTTTAAATATCTCAGTCTCAGAGTAAAATGAGCACTAAAGTAAAAATAAGAAAAAACAGAATTCAGCTGTAATTAAAGTTATTATTATTATAATTATTATTATTAATATTATTGGACCTTGGCCCCGTTTAGACCCAAAGGAGCTGGAATAATGTCTTTAGGGAGCGACTTAATGTCCCACATCGTACTACACTGTTCAAACTTTGGCGCTCCAGTTCAGACGTTGGCGTAAAGCTAATTTAATCGGTAGGTAAAATTTCCTGAACGGTCAGACTTCAGTTCACAGGCAGAATCGTAAAGGGAGGAAGGCGCAGACGGACCGATTTAGCAGTAAAGACGTCCTCAACCGCACGGAAAAGGGCTTCGTTTTAAAGCTGTGTTCTTTAGCGCAATAAAAGTCTAAACCTCACATCCTGGCAATTTAAATATTCAGATGGGGCTCTAGAGAGAAAAACGCATGAAATTCAGTCTGTAAACATCCGAATTTTAGTGACAGGGCAGAGCAGCGTCTCTCATCAAACCAGCTAGAAATAAAAAACGTACTGTGGTGGATTTTGGCACTAAATGAAGTTTCCTCATTCATAATCCAGCCTATCTTAGCCGTCAAGTCCAGCTTCCAAAAACAGGTTTCATTTTGCCTGAAAGGCTGAACTGAACTAGTGTTGAATACTAAACGTTTATACGATCACGAGAGCTGGAAATGTGAGAGACGGACATCACGTACTGAAAATGTACATTAAACAACACCTGCTTGCTCCAGAGCTCCGTCTGATCATTCACACATCTGCAAAAAAACGAGGAAGGTAGAAGAAAACGTTGGTCCAACTTGAGTGAAAACTAGCACCGATTTAACTCAAACGACGGCGACAGCCTAAGAGAATCTTACTGGGTTTTTCAGAACGTTTTACTGTGGCAGCTTAAGCACTTCGCATGTTTGCATCCTCTCCGAAAAGCAGACGTCCACAGTGAGGCTTCAGAACCTCTCCAGAACCTCTGCAGACCCAGAAAAAACAAACACACAGATACAGACAGACGGGACGCTACGCTACGCAAACAGCATCTTTCCTTTTACGGGGGCTTTGAAAATAAAACTGAGCAGGAAGAACAAAACAAAAACAAACAAAAAAAAAAGCCACGGAAATATTTGCATTGTCACCGAAGGCGTTTCTGCTCTCGATTTTTAACCTTTGACCCTGTTTGTACATTTTGTAGTGGAAGATCTCAGTCTGAACGTGAAAGTGATGGGGAGCCTCTCTGAAACCTGACGTTAATCCGAGTCCGCGCGGAGACGCTTTACGTCTCGACAGTCAAAGGCTTCGTCTCCTCCTCCTCTTCCTCTTCCTCCTCCTCCTCCTCCTCCTCGTCCTGCGTGTGCTGCTCCAGCTCCTCGCGGGTGATCATCTCGAAGTCGTTCCCGTTGCTGTGCTGCGACCCCTCGTCCTCCCGCCGCTCGCTGTCCTCCGTGTCCGAATTCCGCCGCTCCGTCTCCTTCACCTCCTCATCGTCGTCCTCCTCTTCCTCGCCCTCCTTTTTCTCGCTGTCTGATTTATCCTCGCTGTCGGACTTCTGCGCTTTGCCGCTTTCCGAAGATTTGCTGTCAGCCTTGTCGCCGCCGCTCTTCTTGCCGCTGCTGCGAGGACCCTTGTACTCGTGCGTGTAAAGAGGCCGGAACGAGTCAATGAAGCCAACATCCGCTGTCAGGTTCGGCAGGAACCAGAAGTGATGACGTCCACCCGTCACCAGCCAGATGATCAGGAACAGGATGCAGCGAGCTGGAGGGGATGGGGAGCAGTTAAGTTAATGAGTAAAGAATGAGCTGAAATATCTGACTGAGTAATAAGAATGAAATATAAAATATTTTCAAGCGGTAAAGAATTTTAACACAAGTTCTGCAACAACAAATATATTTTTTACATCTTCCCTCTGGAAACAAAATACACTCAATCGTCCACTCAAATGCTACGGTATAAAACAAGCTTACAAAATATTACTCTGTTGGTATTTTATGTTCACTGATACACGTCACATATTGAAGCACCCAAACATCACTGTGGAACTGAAAAAGCACCTAAATGTAAACCGTCCACATGTTGGCAGTCACACACGGTGTAAATCAGCCTTAAAGGGGGAAACTGCTGGATTTTTCACTGAACTACATCCATCATTAACTGTGTGGACTAAAGCAGCTGAAGGCTTATGATGCACTGCAGCTTCTCCAGTCTGAGAATCAGAGCTTTATCCTCACCGACGGCGAGGAGCAGGATGCTGGCGACGAAGCAGCCGGCTGCGACGCTCAGGTAGTACACGCCCACCCTCATCTCCGCCGGCCACAGGGGGAACAGCGTTGCAGCGATCACCGCAATCACTGAAACACACACCACATATGATCACACACACGGCACACTGGCTCAAACACACCACACCTCTCACATACACAGCGGGGGACATACACACTACATACACGTATACAGACAGACACACACACATTTCTCTCAACAGGGTGTCTGCTGGAATCACCGTTAAAACCCTATTCTGTGGGATCAGTTGTCCATGAGGAGGTGGGTGATGTAGTTATTACCTCAGTGATTTTATTTCCATCTGAACGCACCATATTGGTCATTTTTACCACCTGTGTGCTTCTGCTTCAGTAAAGATTCTGGTGGATTCCATAAAACAAGCCATAAAAATTACTTCAGGTTATATTAATTAATATATAATCAAGATTTTGGGAAGGGCATCATGTGTTTCCTCCCTCCTGGTGACAGACTGGAGGTTGCAGGGACAGTTTTGGGAGGGGTTTTATTTTGTGTGGTGTGTAAAATGTTCTAAATGAATAACATAAAGTTAAGAAGTTTGGAGTTTTTTTTACACCTGAAATTAAATTTTTTTGTTATTACAGAGTAAAGTACCAAAAAGAGTACCACTGGGTACCAGTACTGGCGCAGATATGAACAGTACCCAGCGCTGATTGTGTATTGTGAAAATGCTGCAGTATGTTTTTGCTGTTTGGCCCACCTCCACCTGAGCCCACCTCCACCTGAGCCCACCTCCACCTGAGCCCACCTCCACCTGAGCCCTCCTCAAACACCTCCAGTGCAGCATAGAGTCATTAACCAAAACATTCTAACACACATTACACTCGGGACAAAGATCATAAATATGATTATATTAGCGCAGCCTGAATCAGAAGCACGGCCAGCTGACTGATACGTACTGAACATGAAACCCATCGCCCTCCTGTTGAGTGAGTGGACCTGTGTTCACCTACCCAGTATCAGTCCCATGGCGAAGGTTTTGAAATGTACTGGGTCATAAATCCAAACGTAAACCTACAGAGATCAGAGCACAAATAAGGGTTAAACAAACGTGATGAATCTGATTTTCTGATCTGCACTGGGTTTTTTTCAGCCCACAACAGTCTGACGTTAAGGGTGTTTCACACCAACATGGACTAAACTGAACAGAGTTTAGAGCTAATCCAGGATTTCTAAGTCTAGGTTTATTTTAAATCAAGTTGTGTTGCACCACTTAATTATGAACACAGATTAATCAGAGCTGTGGATTCGGGTCATATGACTTGGGTTCGAGTCCGACTCGAGTCACGAATTTGATGACTTGAGACTCAACAAAATCGAGAAAGATGACGAGGCTGTGACTCGACTTTGACTTGAAAAGCAATGACTCGGACTGTAACTCAGACTTCAGCCTTATGACTCAGAAAGACTCGAGACCCAAAGTGGAGGGAACATGGCAACATTTTCCTTGCTTTTGTGATGTTCACTTCAAAGTCAAAACCACAAAAGAAACAAGGGACCACAGGCAACCCTGAGGGTTTCTCCTCTTTACCTCGTTTCCATCCAGAAACAGCTGGTCCTCATGAGGCTCCAGTTTAAACTTCTTCTTCACGTCCTTCTTCTTCTTCGGTGATCCGGGGCTGTCGTCCTACAAAAGAAGAAATCAGAGATGGGACCTCCAGAGATTTCTCTTACATAGGAATCTGTGAAAACGGAGACCATGAGATTTCTAAAGGACTCCGCCCACACAAGCCACTGTCTGTTCTCACAGCTGCCGATCGGTCTGTAGGCCTGTTACTGCACCTCTGAGTCATCATCATGATGATCTCCATGGACAATCCACACCTCATCCACATCAACAGAGTCACTCTGATCTAACTGCACCTTCAATCTAGCAAATCTATACTCAAACATATAGACTGACATCTTGTGCATCTTCTATCCACATCCTGTATAATCTGGAATATATATATCAATATTCTATCTCCTGTGTATCTGCATCTCGTTTATCTAACCCAGACTCACTAAGTGCATATATGGAAAGTGTACAACTGTTTATATCATAGCTTTTATGCTTTTATTTCATAACCTATATTACTGTACAAACCTGTATACTGGAATGGTGCAACACTGGGGTATACTAATGTGTATATTGTGTATGTGTGTATATATTTAGAGTCTATATATAGTATAGAGTACAGAGTGTATGTGTACATACATATATACACATATATATATATATAGTGTGTGTGTATATATATCGCGGGTCGCGGTGGGGTGCTGGAGCCTATCCCAGCTGTCATTGGGCGGAAGGCAGGATACACCCTGGACAGGTCGCCAGTCCATCGCAGGGCAATATATATATATATATATATATATATATACACACACACACACTGTACTCTACATAGACTCTAAATATATATTTATGTTTTTTGAATATCTACGTACTACAAGGGCGCTGCGCACCTGTGTAAGTGTGATGTGACAAATGTGATTTGATTTGATGAGAAACAAACGAGGCTTACGCTCTTTTCCTTCTCCTTTTCCTTCTTCGTGTCCGAGGCCTCAGAGTCCTTCTTTTTCTCCTTCTCTTTCTTTCCCTTTTTCTCCTCCTCTTTGCCGCTGTCACTTTTAGCCTTCTCCTTCTCCTTCTCTTTCTCCTTCTTCAGGTCCTTCTCTGGCTTCTTCTTCATCACTTTCAGAGCTCGGTGGAAGAACTGCTTCTTCAAGAGCCTAAACGAAGAAATCACACGTTCCCAAACAAACACTCAGTGACATGCTGAAGATACGCCGTGTGTCGCGATTTAGACCAAAAACAAAAAACCCAACACAACGTTCAGTTATAATCTGTGGGCTGAGAACGCTTAATGTGACACTGTTCACTGATCAGAAATAACAGTATATTTGTGCTTTTTTTTGAGGGCATGTTTTAAGAAGCAACAAATGGCCAGAGTAATTTAATACCTCTTAAATTTCATTGCTTTGACTGCTGGTCTATGGGGTGATGCAGATACTATCATTACAGCCTCCCTCACATTTGTTTGTGCTTTCAGTGTTACACTTTTAATGTGTCTGTGTGTCAAAAACCAATAAATATTCAATAACAAAAAAAAAAGAAGCAACAAATGTTGGACAGTAGAGTTGCAACGGTAGAGATTTTCACGGTACAATAACAGAAAACATCACAGTAAACGGTCTTTCATAACAGTAAAAGCAGGATTTTAGTGCTGTTGCTGGTTGAGGTGGAGCTCTTTTGAGCTTTTTTGTATCCAACGAATGATTATTTTCAATATGGATTAACCTGTTGATTATTTTCTCCGCTAATCAATTGATTGGTTTCTAAAAAGTCTGAAAATAGTGAGAAATGCCACCACAAGGTGTCATACTCAACCACTAAAAGGGCATATTAAAAAATTTCAACAAATCTCAAAAAAAATGTTTCATTTTTAACAAATATTTTGCTACAAACTGGACTGGCCATTGTTTATTCAAAATATGCAAAAACTTCAGCAGTAAAATACAAGCACTTATAGCAAACGTTTAAATATTACATGAATACTTGAAATATTCCAAATTAAAACGCCTCCAGGAGCTCGGCCTTTTAAACCTACCTGTTTGCTTGAACTAGACACCTGGCATCTTTTCTTTGCTGCAAGTTCATTAATTCTTGGGCTCAATTTCTGAGCTGCCGAGCTTACATTAGTGTTCCTATCGGCTAAACTGCAGTTGTTCAGTCAAAGGTTCCCTACCGGACAGCGCAGATGTAGCCCAGAAGTGGGAAATTATTTCGAAAGTGCATTTTGAGATCAACGTTTAAGTGTGTACACGTTTCCTCGTCAGGATTAAAGTTATAAACGGGACACAAACTCTGATCTGCACGTTTCAAGAAGCAACAAATGTTGAACGTCAGGGCTGCAGTGGAGATTTTACGGTATGATCACTGTAAAAATCTCATACCGCTGGACGAACATTTGATTTGTGTTTCCTCCTTTAGTGGCCATTTTATTTTTAGAGGATGGAGTTTGGTGATACCACTCTCGCATCTCTCTGCCATTTTCTCCACTGCCTGTGTGTGTGTGTGTGTGTGTGTGTGTGTGTGTGTGTGTGTGTGTGTGTGTGGTGCCAGTTGTCGAGTCTGCATTTTTTCCCCAATGCCATAATAAGCAAATGTTCATCGTGTAACAGCCATCACTTTTCATGCCTCAGTATGAAGAGACTACGCTGAAACCCTATTGGACGTAGGAGCTTTTCTGATCTCGCCTTAATTCTGACTCCAAGCACAGCTACAAGTGGGAGGAGCTGATGGACGACTCAGACTGAACGTGGTCATTTCCCGGCTGCGTAGGCCGCTGGCAGAGTATTTATTACACAGTCTGGCTGCAGCACAACATACGCAACCATGTACATCCCAGTACAGACTTTATCATCATCTCACACAGCGTGATGCGCAGTGAACTCGCCACCCATTTTAATACCGTTGTCATTTCCTCTTGAGGGACCCTCAAAACCACACGTTACAGTTTTTAACCACTGCAGGCTTTTAAAAAAGGTAAAATTTAGGCAACGTAAGAGTTCAGCAGCAGAACCTGCCCAGAAATCACTGCCATCTGATGCGATTCCCTTTTCAAACCCCAAAAAAGTTGGCCAAAGCTGTTTATGAGTCACAGTAATAAAATACCTAAAATGTTTACCATGTCAAAACTTTAGTATTCGATTTGCAACGCTAAAAAAGGCTTCTGCTAACACACTACTCCTGCTGTTACACATGATGGCTGACGAAAAGCCTTTATTCTGCTAGTAGGGATGAAAGATTTATACAAGTGCAATTTTCATATCAGACAAAATGCTATTTTTTTTCCTCCCAATTTTCTCCTTCTTTTTCAGGATAATGGTCTTACCCTTGGCTGCTGTACACAGCCAGCCATGCATCTGGCTAACATTGACAGGGTTATAAAAAAACCTACATGAGCTGGTTTATTATTTACAAACAAAAACACTGCAAACGTACACATTAGGTGTTTAGCTTACAGGGTAGCACTACCGTCAAAACTTTTATGTTGCGCTCATTCGTCCAGGTTCAGTGTCCTAAACCTGGCAACCCGCGTGAGCTTTAAATCTGGGGAGGAGGGGGCGAAGCACACGCCTCTCTCCAATATTTTGAGTTTGGACTGCAGTACCCATTTAAAATGCTTACTGTCGATGTTATATACTGCTCCTCATAAATGAATTATAATGCTCCTTTACTTTCCAGTTTTCTCCCAATTTAGTCGTATCCAGTTTACTTAATAGTAGAATTAGGACTCCCTCAATCACACGAGACCACCAGCTCTAGGAGGGTGAAGGCAAACACAGGCTTCCTCTGAGTCCTGTCAAGCTCCACAGCATCTTTTCAAACTACCACTAATGGACTGGACAGCTGAACGTGCTCTGAGGAGAATGTTGACCGTCCTGCCCATCCTGAGAGAGCGAGGACAATTGTGCTCTCTTGGACTCCCAGCTACGGACGGCTGCAGCATCACCGGGTATTGAACTCGCAATCTCCTGATGACAGGACCAACGCTTAGACGGCTGCGCCACTCAGGAGCCCAAAGCTGCAATTTTTACTATAGAATACACTCCAAGTTTTAAGAGTGGAAATTTACCCTGATAACACGGAGCTTGTGAACTGCTCAATGAGTTGGACCAACAACTAAACGCCCTGTACTGTGACATCACAAACACAACTTAGTGCACCACATACAGAACTGGAGCCTTAAACAAACGGACCTCAATTTACAGAAAACAATCGCAATTTAAACCACAATATTGGACAGGAGAATCGCAATTAGATATTTTGCCCAAATTGCTCAGCCTCATCTGCTGGTTTGCATGGCTAGCTGGGTGCGTGCATTTCAACATGCAATCTTTGCTGTCTGAAACCGATTTTGCAGCTTCACAAAACGTAGCTCTTTTCACTTTTTGGTAACATTAAATTAGTTCTGAATGACCAGTAAACCAATTTATTTGTGCATATTCTTCATTGAAAATGGTGAATATTGGCAAAAGGTGACCAGATGGCATGAAAAATTGCAAATTTGTATGAAAAACAGTTCTGAAACTGGGATCTGGACTACTGTTTTCCTCTGTGTGTGTGTGTGTGTGTGTGTGTGTGTGTGTGTGTGTGTGTGTGTGTGTGTGTGTGGGGTAAACAGAGCTGCAGGAAGCACCTGTTGCAGTAATCCACAACCGATTCTCTGGTGGTGAACAAAGCCTCCTCACCCTTCTTCGCTTTGGCCCACTTCGAGTCGAGGAGACAGTCCACAGCTTTGGAGGCTGATCCACAGAGGAAAAAGACATTTCAGTCAACAAAAGTGTTTAAATAAAGAAAACGGATCAGAGCTGAAGCTGGAGCTGAGATACGAAAGACAAACTTCCTTTTACTCGCTTTTTATTTACACAGCTAAAGAGAAAAAGTCGTAAATAAGAAATATTACGTGAACTCAAAGCATCAAAGCAAAGAAGCACTAAAGACTTTTCTTACTCTGAAGTTCATTCAGCACAAATCAAATAACCTTCCGCTCAAACGAGCAGAAGCTTAATAGCGAGCAGAAAGAACAGATTAAACTATTCAGATCGAAAAAACAGAGGTGCAGATCCAGACTACTCACCCACAAAGTAGTCGACTCGATGCCCCATCATGTTGGTGGACTTGGTGGGGCAGTTAAACCGCAGGTACTTGGCCACCGCCTTCTCCTCCTTGGTAGGTTCGCTGACCTCCTGAAGTAAAATAACACATCTGGTTAAAAAAGTTTTCAAGAACAGCTTCGCCAAGTCCAATCATCACCTGATGCAACTTAAAGGGGAATATTTTTTAACATAAAAAAACTTTTTTGCTTTATTTATAATTGTTTATATTGTTATTTTTTGTGGATAGTTTATGTGAAGGATAGATTATATTTTATATCTTATATTTATATCTTTAGTAATACTAATATATATATATATAGTATTTTTTATACAGTAACAAGTAACAAACTGGATTAACGAGGTTAATTACTTGGTTAATTCTCTTCTTGTTACGTCTTTAGTGCCTTGCTCTCGCTTTGCAGCAGTAGCACTGCGAATTTCCCCACTGTGGGACTAATAAAGGATTATCTGATCTTAATTCCACCAATTTTTCAAAATGTAGGAACTTTCTGTGAGGGAGCTTTTAGAGGTGGACGTCTGGTTCCTATCACCACCACTGTGAACAGTTCTGACTCAGTAAGTTTCTCTAGAACAGAGCGTTTCACACCAAACCCCTCTGAACCCCTCTGAACCCCTCTGAACCACTCTGAACCGCTCTGAACCTCTGTTTACATCTTAATCTTATCTAATCATGTAGAATTTTTGAACAATTGGTGGAGCTCCCCTTTAAGTCCTTCAAGCTTCACCGCCATAGCTGTCTGGCACAGACGAGAACGTGACAGTAAACAACAGGAGGAACCATGATTTCTAGCGCAGAACGCAGTCTGTGGAGAGAAGGGCTGTAAATGTATCACTGAGAAACACAGTTAGAGGATCAGTGCATGACAATGTGTGTTTTTCATAATCTTAGATATTCTGATCTAAAGACTTGTGCTTAAATGCTTAAACAGGAGGTGGAGTCAGTAGGCAGGCAGTGTGTAATGATTGATAATCATAATTTAATTCTGTGATTCAGTCGTGGCTCAAATCAATATTTTCTGAAACTGTACAAATCAGAAAAGACTGAAATTGTGCCTTATGTTAAAACATTAAAGGTGCAGTATGTAAGATTTAAAGCACACAGCTCTTTTCCTGTCCTGTTGTGGCTCCGAAGCAGAATCAGGTTTGTATGTAAAAATAAAATAATCCTCCTTTACAGTAAAATAAAGCTCTGCTGATCGTTCAACACCTTGCCTTCACCCTCCTAGAGCCTTGAGCAGTCAAAGAACCATCTGAGCACCTCCTCGGCCCCTGAAACTATTCCCGTGCTTAATCAGGCTGCGCTCCTCAGGAAACAACAGAGAAGCCAACTTCATTAAAAACGGTCTGAACTCAGGACACACGAGCCGAGTTTCAGTGGAACTCGCTCCACCCCGGACTCGAGCTGGACTCAGTGGCCTGTTTTAGGCAGCTGAGCTCCATTCATCATCCACACAGGCTGCTCAGAAGAGCCGAGAGAAGATCTGAGTACAGCTCAGATCTGGAATAAGAGAAGGACTAAATACATAAAAACAAAAATCACAAACCAGGTCAAGATCAAACACACTGACCGGACAGAATGGGGGAAAGGGGAGTATTAATAAAGACCAGCGCAAAAAACAAAACAGCACTGCAGACGAGCTCCACAGCGACGTGAGGTGCAGAGCTCAACACCTCGGTTTCCATGGCACAGTATCAGCATGCACACCACGGAAATGGAAATATATGCACTGTTCGGATTCTCTGACGGGCAATGCTGCCATTCTGATGCAGAAAATGGTTTTCAACGCTGGAAAAGACTGAAACTGTGGTGTAAAATGCAGAAAAGAACGTCTGGCACATCCACGTTGGCAAAAACATCTATATTTAAGCATCAATACTGATATACCAACAGATCTGTGCCCACAGAGGGGCACTGTGACAACGCTAAAGCAGAAATGGCCCTGCAGTCATTTTCGTTTTAAAAACGTAATGAGTGTGTTTACATGCACTCAGTAATCTGATCATAATCGCATTTCTGCAGTTATCTGATTATTCAAATGGTCATGTAAACACTGTACTCAGATTAAAAAATCTGATAAAGAGGCTGGATTTTAGCTCAGTAATCAGATTTCTCAGTGCATGTAAACTCTTACTCTGATTTCTTTCAGATTTCTCAGTCTGAGCATGTGCGAAAACCGACGGCAGTACCGAAAATAAGCGAGCAGCGTCGCCGCGAGATGCAGTATAACACTTTTGGAGCACTGAAACCAAATACGACATGAAGGATTTAAATATTCAAAAAAGCCACTCATGAAGTTTGAGTTTTACGTTACGTTTACGTCTCGTCTTATTCTGTGAGCTTACTGGCTGGTTGTAAAGCAGAAATCCGATTACTGTCTGACTCATGTAGACCTGGAGTTTTCCTATTATCTGATTACTCAAGTCCAAGTAAATGTGTTGATTAGATTACTGACAAAACCTAATTTTCTGCAGTTATCGGATTATTAAGTGCATGTAAACATTAATTGTCATATTATTAATCTTCCAAAACAACAGGTCTCGTTCAGTATCTCCCCGAGTCTGTTCTTAAATGTGTTTTCGAGAAAGTTCCTAAGAAAAAGTCTGCGTCAGATTCATGTCGTGTTCTTAAAGCGCAGACCTGTTCTCCCCTTTGTGCTCTTGAGTGTGTAGATTCTGTTCTTACCTCAGAACAAACCCCACATAAGAGAACAGTGGTGAGTCAGAGTCTTCGTCTGTTCTTAAAACTGTTCTTTTTAAGAACGGTTGGTGAACGAGGCCCAATGTTAGTATAAAAATAATGCACAAATTAGGGATGGGAGGTAATATGGTTTACCATGGTATAGAAATGATGACGTATTTCAAAATTATTGTCAAATTTAAACAGATAAACAAACACATTCCACCCGTTTAGATTTAGAGGGTTCACCAATAGGTGGCGCTATCAGAAAGAGGGGAAATCAGATCCAGAAAAACTGAGCATGACAGCAGCTCAGCCGCCGCAAAGAGCCACACACAGCAGAACCAAACGTTCTCCTCTGACCCGAAACACAGCATCACAATGCTGCAGAAGACGACCACCATACGGCAACATGGAGTTACAGATGAACACTTGGCATGTTCAACGCTTCCATGACACAATATCAGCACACACTGGAGATGCGCCGATACCTGATCCTCAAATATATGCAGATACCAAGTACTGATACCGATACTAACTCTAACCTAACTAACCTATAAGCCCTGATATTTAAACGGTTTTAAATACTTTATTTTGGTAAAATCTATGTTCTGCATCACAAATAAAACTCAGCTTGACTGAATGGCTAAACGTAAAATATCTTTTTTTGTGCAAAACAGTTAAAAACAGAGCTGAACAGTAAACTATGGCACCTATGATAAACCTGTGGTGTTTACACTTCAGCACACAGCAGCTTCTCCGGCTCAAAAACGGAGCTGAATGTTGTTTCACAGCTGAATTTCTTGAGTCATTTGTCCAATTTGAGCAACTCGTTAATTTGCGCTTAAGCGACGGGCTGCGAGACCCCACTGCTGAGTGAGACAGCTGACTGACGGAGGCCACCGCAGGCGGGGCTAGAGGACACACAGACCTGGCTAGCGGGCTGCTATGCTAAAAGCTAAATCAAGGCTGACGGCCTCATTAGCCCGAGAGTCCGGCAGCTCCTTCTGCTCCCTCGGAAAATGTTCCATAATAGGAAATACAGAATAAATTCTATATTATTCACAGGGCTGGGCAATATGGAAATACATACTGTTATCGTGATAAATGATGTCACAATACAATGATTTCAGAACACACTGTGTACATTGTCAGCGCTTGTAAACACTGACCAACTGCATGTTTCATTATATAGAGAGCAGAATTAGTCAGTTTAACTGGATTTAGTGACAAATACGGAATAAAAAGTTTTTAAATATAGCACTACTGGCTCTTTTTCTCCGTTCCGACTGATCAGATGAAAAATATCACGGCATATCATGTATCTTGAAAATTTCTTAAAGCATCACAATACATTTTTGCCTTATCGCCCGGCTATAATCAGTATCCCCATTGCTGATACCGATACTGTGTTTATGTGCTGGTATCGCTGCAACACTCGCATGCACACCACAGAAAACCGAAATCTATGCACTGTTCTAATTCTCTGACAATGCTGGAAAAGATTGCAACTGTGGTGTAAAATGCAGAAAAGAACGCCTGGCATATGTATGTTGACAAAAAACCTCTATATAAGCATCTATATAATATCCACACTGCAAACACTCAGAATGGCACTGTGGCAGAAACAGCACTGCAGGTTCTGCTGAAAAAGATTATTACTGCAATAAAGATTTATCACACCCGCTGTATCTGTGCTGACAACAGCTGACAGTGAGAGAGTTTACTAGAGCTGGGCAATATGACTACATATATATATATATATATATATATATGCATCTCAGTGTGTGAAATGCTGAATACTGGATTCATAGTTTGTGATAGTACTTTTCAAATGTGGCTCTTAATGTTAGGGCTGGGCAATATGACAATATATATCGTTATCGTGATAAATGTTACAATAAAGTGTGCTTTTCTGATCATATGGTGTTTATCGCCAGTGCTTGTAGACACTGACCAACTGCATGTTTCAATATAAAGAGATTAGTCTGTTTAACTGGATTTGGTGCCAAATACTGAATAAAAATCTCTGCGTTCACCTTTTTTTTTAATGTCGCACTGCTGGCTCTTTTGTCTCTGATCAGATGTAAACAATATCATGCCATATCATGTTTGGCGAAATTTATCTAATATAAATAAATATCTAAACATTCAAACAAAGTGTGAGTTTACACCTCGAAACTTCAGCTTTGCAAATATTATAAATTGCTGTATGAAGCATAAAATACCTCCAAACTGCAGACTAACTAAAAGGAGGCACCCTTATTACTAATTGTATACTGAACCACATCATTCGAATTGTTTGAATTTAATTTAGCTTTAACTTTTTAGCCATAATGTTCCATAATAGGAAATACGGAATAAATTCTATATTATTTATAGGGCTGGGCAATATGGAAATAAATATCATTATTGTGATAAATTCTGTCATAATACAATATGCTTTTCTGAACATATCATGTATCGACAGTACATGTAGACACTGACCAACTGCATGTTTCATTATAATCAGAGTAAAATTAGTCAGTTTAACTAGATTTAGTGGCAAATACTGAATAGTATCACAATATTATATTTTTGCTATATCGCCCATGTCTACCTATTTGTTATAAGGTAAATATTAGATGTCAGAAAAATTAGACATCATGACAAATCATGTATCAGAACTGTTCCTGAAGTATCGTGATATTACACTGTCATATCGCCCACCTCTCGGGTTTGCACGACAAAACATGAGCACAGACGCTTCAGGAAGCGGAACGTGCCCTGCCTGGACGCTCCAACTGGCAGTTACGGCTCTGATCCGAAATGCAACACTGCAAAACATAGAAACGCATGTTCTGCCCAAACAGCCGGACTGGCACTGCTCACCCAGCTGGCCTGCCAAGCGCTGATCTCTCTCCTCATACGCGTCCACTGCTTGTTTTGATCTAGTCAGCATTCAGAAGCACTATGACCTTATTATCCTAACTCCACACCTCAGCTGGAACTCCCAGTGATTACACGACGAGGAAAACTGCATCAGTGCCAAGCGGCCGCGGACACGTAGCTGAGTGTTTGCTCAGCACTGTTGACCCTGAATTTCAGCCGGTTGCGTCATAAGTTGGTGTGTTTTATGTATAATGTCCGGCTGGAGTGGACAGTGAACTCTGACCACTCTCATCACAGAGTACACAGTGCTACAGGGCCAAACTGTGACAGAGTATCGTTAAAAAAGTATTGCAGTGTGATTTTTCGCACCGTATCACCCCTCCTTAAAGGCGCTTCACAGTAACAGACACCTTTATGTTAACGAGAGCATTAAGAAACAAATCACTACTTTTTATATTTACTATCCAGAACCACCAGTGAACCTACACGAGTCTTCTGAGTTTATATGGAATGTTGATGATGGAAAATAGTGGAAAATCTGAAATAATAAGTTTTCTTTGGGGACTATTTTGCCTCACAGCGCCCTGCATGTATCCCTCCACCATGAATGGAGTTTAAGTTCTCTAAACTATCATAAAACAGTGTCTCAGTCATCAGGCAGTGAATTCATAACCATTTACTGTAGGAACTTTCTGTGAGGGAGCTTTTAGAGGTGGACGTCTGGTTCCTATCACCACCACTGTGAACAGTTCTGACTCGGTAAGTTTATCTAGAACAGAGCGTTTCACACCAAACCACTCTGAACCGCTCTGTTCACATCTTAACTGTTTAATTAGGTAGAAATTTAAAAATTGGTGGACTTCCCCATTAAGTTTACAACTACATGCTGGCATAAGTTATGAGGAATACAGTACTGCAATGCTGCAAAAACTCAAAATAAAATGTAGACTGTGGTCAAACATTTACTGTAAAAACAGTACTTTGATAAGAATATCTAAAAAAAAAAAAACATAACAGTAGCTACACTCAAAGATGGTTATTCAATGGTTCTCTGGTTCTATTTAGAACCATGAGTTCTACATAGAACCATTATATTCTCAAATTGTTCTTTGCATGGTGCAGTGGTTCTTCAGATTGATGCAGAATGTGTTGTATATGGTTCTATATAGCACCAAAATGGGTTCTGGTACTGTTATGGTGTCAAGGGTGGAACAGCAGAAGAACCCTTTTTGGTGCTACACAGAACCATTTTCAAAACTGTTAAAGGGTTCTTCAGTTTGATGGTGAAAGTGCTGTATATGGCTCTTCATAGAACATTTTTGAAAAAGATTCTACGTAGCATCAAAACGGTTAGATAGATAAATACTTTATTGATCCCGACGGAAATTTAGCAACAAGGTTTTTAGGTTTGTAGGTTCACAAACCTGGCATCGTAACAACAGCAGAACCCTTTCCGGTGTTACGTAGAACCATATACAACTCATTCTCAATCAATCTGAAGAATCATTTCATCATGCACAGAACCACTTAAGCATGCAATGGTTCTATATAGAATTCCTGGTTCTAAATACACCAAAGCCTTGAAGAGCCATCTTTTTTAAGAATGTAGTAATGCAATCTGAGAGTATATTTGAGAGTCTGATGCCAAAAACTGCACATTAATGACAGATAAAGAGCAGAAATTAAAGATGCATAATTTTAAAAAGACTATAAAATAGTCATAATTTGTGAAAAATTCATGTTATTTTGTGTGTTAAACTGCTTTAATTTTGGAACACTTTTATTTGTTAACTGTCATCCACCGAGACTGAGGGGATCAGTCTGAGTATTATATTACATTACGTGTCCGAAATACGGTCTGAGAGGATTTTAGGATCTGAAGTGAAGCTGGGCACCAACGCCAGACTAATAAGGCAGAACAAATTAAGTTTCGTTCACATTTACTACTCTATGGTGGTGACATAAGCTATGAGGAACACTGCACTACTGCAAACACAATAACAGTAAACTGTAATTACGGTCAAACAGTTACCGTAAACAGGACAGAACATTAATAAAAATACATTAAACAAATAAAATAAACTAGAGCTGGGCAATATGACGATATCATCAGTACCTGTCTGAATAACAAAAAGAGCTTAATGAGTTGGATTTAGTGCAGTGTGTGAGAAATATTGCATACAAGTAACTGGATTCGTAGATTTTGGTGGTATTTTTAAAATGTGGGTTTACTTTGTCTGTTCTAACTTATCACGATATTTATTTTTTCTGACAGCTGATACACCGTGTATCGTGAAAAACTTAAGTATCGTGATATACATTCTTGCCGCATCGCCCAGCTCTAGTTGGAAATACGTTTGCATAACGGTCAGCCAACAGCAGTGCAGTTTGGAAGCATTTTGTCGACAATTAAAACTGTATAAGTTAGAAAAATGACTCAAAATGGTCAGAATTTGTGAAGAACTCGTGTTATTTTTGTGCGTTAAACCAATTTAACTTAAAAACACCGCTCCGTTTAGCGATACGCTCAGACACCGAGGGGAAAACTTAACTACAGAATCTGAGAGAAGCAGTCTGAGAGGATTTTAACGAGTCCGAGAGCTGCGCGCCAACAACGACAAATAACACCTGGATGCGTAAATCAGCAACAATTCGCGGAATATTTTCGGAAATGTCCGTTTTTGCGGTGTTTTCTGAGGTGGATGTCGTTAGCCGCCAGGCTAACCTGCGCGCTGTGTCGAGGAGCTCGCGCGTTAGCGCTCTCAAAGCCCGCCAAGGTAAAGTGTGAAAACTCTACTGCTCGCGGTGCGGCTCGCGCGCTAGAACGCTTGTTACGTGGCCAGAATTCCAACGCGCGTGCTGAAACCGCGAGCGTCAGTTAGCTTATCAGCTAACGCAAAGACGCCGCCTGAAAACAAACGACTTCGGCGGCGTTTTCCGCGTCCCGGCCCCTGAAGAGACATGCAAGCCCCCCAGCAGCGCGACCCGGCGGGAGCTACGCCTCAGCCGAGCCCCGCTTTGCCCGGAACGCGGCGTTTATTCGGCCGCTAACGCACCTGGATCCGCTTCTTCTGCCTCCTGCGCTCCGCCATGACGCCACTCAGCAGGTCACGTGATCGCGAGAGGACGCCCCAAATCCCGCGTAGAGCGCGGACGTCACGACGCGCTCCGTGATTGGACGACGCGACGTGCGCTCGACAGACTCTGGCACGGGATTGGACGATCGAAATTAAAATACCGAATAATGTCAAACCACTGATAAATACGTGTTTATTTACTTTGTGTATTCATTAATTTTTATTAATAATAATTAATAATGAAAAATCTTGTTGTTGTTATTATTATTATTATTATTATTACTGCTACTACTATTATTACTACTCACACTTCCTATAATAAAAAATACTGGGTCTGGGGCACATACCTAAATTCTGAGAATTCATTCATATATATATATATAATAAAATAGTATTGCATAACTCTCAGAGTTTAGGTATCTGAGCATTTTCAATGATCTTTTGTTGACTGTGAATCTCTTTACCTACTTTCACATCATCTCTTTATTCTTCACTCTATTTTTTGCATTGTTATGTTATTTGTCTCTTATTTTAATGCTTGTTATCAGTCTGTGTTTGTCCGGTCTGTTCAGTGTGTTACTGTCACACATGTGTGACTCACCAGGACTGATTCCTCACGTGTGACATACTTGGAGATTTTATTTGTCTATTTCTATGTGTGTACGTACTATATGGTAATTATTTTACTTGGTTACTTTAATCTGTTTCATACTTTCAAATATCTTTTATTTCTAAGTAAGTAAAATGATTATTTTATTGATATATCATTATGACTATTATGATTATTATAATGATTTTCCCTCCTTTCTCTCTGTTGTATCGTGTGATTTCTCTGTCTCTGTGGGTCGTCCCTATAAATAAATAAATAAATAAAATAAAATAATGTTTGAACCTCTTTATTTATTTTGTCTGTGTAAAACAACAACAACAAAAACAAAGGAATGGTGCACAAGTATCATAAAAACAGTAATAGAACTTTACATTAGAAACGCTTGAGGAGAAAAATAAAAGCTAATTTATCACTTATTTACAGTAGATATAAAAATATGCAGTAAATATAAATACGATATTGACTAAATTAGAACTTTAGCGGACTTAATTCTACCCAAACTCCTTTTCCACACCTGCAGAGCTCGTCAGGTAATAAACACTGTAACTCTCAGTAACTTTCGGTGTAATGAGTCGAGTTTCTGTGTCGTTCCACCTGAAACTCAAAGTCTCACCGTCTGTCTAGAACCTGCATGTTTTTCTCTAATAAGATAAGAAGCGTCACTGATGTCTGTCCTGAAAAACCTGTTAATGCAGCCAAACATTAAAGTACAGATGCTGCACTCTTCAACAAGATGGTTCTTCAAGGGTTCTTCAGTAAAGACAGTGGTTCTATATAGAACCATGAACATTCAAAGAACCATTTGCATGCTTAAGTGGTTCTCTGCATGGTGAAATAGTTCTTCAGATTCATGGAGAATGTGTTTATGGTTCTATTCAGCACCAAAAAAGGTTCTACTATTGTTAAGATGTCGATGTCGTTGTTGCTATACAGAACCATAAACACACATCAGTCTGAAGAACCATTTCACAATGCAAAGAACCGTTTAATCATGCAAATGGTTCATTGACTATTAATGTTTCTACATAGACCACTGTCTTTACTAAAGAACCCTTTTTTAAGAGTGTAGAACCAAATCTAGAACCATTTCCTAATTATATTAAGCTTTCTGTACGGACTGTCCTACAACAGACTGTTAAAAATGGACCTACATTATTATTATTTCTCCAATAATTCGAGGAATATGAATATTTTTGGCCACACGTTATTCTGATGGTCCATCTACAGATCCTTAACTGCTGATGAACAGTGCAGTGACACTCGGTACTAGACTCAGGATTAGATTGGAGTTAATATTAGACTTCGGGCTGAAATTAAAGGGTCCATATCCTACATTTTTCTTGGATTTCATTTCCCCCTGAAATCCACTGAAAATGTTTGTGAGGTTTTATGCACCAAAAACAGTTGTAATTCATTTTTTTATTAAAGGGGAAGTCCACAGATCTTTCAAAATTCCTGCATAATTAAGCGGTTAAGATGTAAACAGAGTGGTTCAGAGTGGTTTGGTGTGAAACGGTCCGTTCTAGATAAACTTACTGAGTCAGAACTGTTCACAGTGGTGGTGATAGGAACCAGACGTCCACCTCTAAAAGCTCCCTCACAGAAAGTTCCTACATGAAATGGTTATGAATTCACTGCCTGATGACTGAGACACTGTTTTATGATAGTTTTGAGAACTTATGTATGGGCCTACTCAGCCTGCAGCAGTTCAGCTCTTTTAGTTCACACTGAAGTTATAAGGAGTGACTGCTTTTTGAATTAGGCACAATGTAGGGCAGCCAATCAGAACAGAAATCATTTGCATATATCACTCTTAAAGAGACAGTAAAAAACAACCTATTTAATTCTAAGGGATAAAAAGAGTCATGTAAAAAATTAATTCCTACTTTTTTGGTACATAAATCCACACAAATGTCACAAGTGGTGAGGGGGATGCGTGTAAATGCAGGATATGGGCCCTTTAACATCAGTGTGAGAATCTGCGGCGGACCCTCAGAATGAGGTGCTCCCACATTTTTGCATTTTGTGTACTTTAACTGTAATGATAGCAGGATGAGCTCCAGCGCCCCCCTCAGGCGGACTCGCTCATGGCTGTAGGTGACTGATCCTCGGTGTCGGCCCCGGGCTCAGTGGGTTTGAGACCCTCAGGGTCTCGGGGGCTTCCCAGCAGCTCCACACTGTGGCAGTTGAGCGGAGAGCTGATATCTGAGGATCGATCCACAGCCTTCTCGGGCGGGGGCTGCAGGGGGGGCACCAGCGGCAGGTTCAGCATGCACAGCATATTACCCAGCCTCCGAGAGACCTGCGGCCACAACAACAAACAAACAACAACAACATCAACAAACAACAAGACAACAACAATGTCAACAAACAAGACAACATCAGCTACTGTACCATAAAATCAATGATCAATCACACTATTTCTGTTTAACAATACTACTAATAATAATACTAATAATAATAATAATACATCAACTAACAATAAAACAACATTTTTACTGTTCTGTTTGATTTATCAATGCTCAATTAAAGTGTTTCTGCAAGTTTATTAGAGTTTTTTTTCCCCTACATATAGCAGCATGTATATAGCTTTGTAAGTGCTTTAAAATAAAATAGCATGTTTAATTTAATAATAGAAAAATATAACATAAAAACATTACTAAAAATAAAACACAGGTACATAATATAGAAGTAGAAGTAAGTAGAAAAATAAAAATTAATAAAAATAATAAATAATAATAAAAATAAGTAGAAAAGTTAATACAGTTGGTGTTCATTATAATTTTAAATAAATGCTAAATTAACAAGATTGATCTTCAAATGCTTACTAAAATATATAAAGTATGACTGCCTAAATTTGAAATTTTGCCTGCTTGGTAAATAGTTATATTAACAATAATTATAATAATAACTAAAATTCTGATTATATTATATTATATTACTGCGATGGACTGGCAATCTGTCTAGGGTGTACCCTGCATTCTACCCAGTGACCACTGGGATACCCCGTGACCCAGAAGGATAAGTGGCTTAGAAGTAAACAGCACCTTCCTACTGAGCTTAAAGGACTCTTATTATTGAAAACTGATTTTTCCTTGCTTGTTTAACAAACTGTGTATGTATGTAGGCTGGTTTAAAGTTTCTAAACTGTTATAAATGGTCTGTTTTGAATTCACTGTTTCTGTGATGTCAGAAAAAGCGATATATTTCCATAAACCCGCCCGTTCAGCCTGCAGGAGGCCTCAGTGTCTGAACCAGTTCAGGGTCCAGAATGAGCTGAGTGTTAATGGCTCACACAGTCAGCTCCATTTTAAAGGGTGTTGCTTGGCAGTTGCTATGGTATCGCTTGTGGTTGCTAGGGTGTTCCTAAGTGTTTGCTAGGCTGTTGCTTGACGGTTGCTATGTATCACAATTGGTTTGTAGGGTGTTACTAGACAGTTGCTATGGTATTCTTTGTGGTTGCCAGGGTGGTGCCTGGCAGTTGCTATGGTATCCCAAGTGGTTGCCAGGGTTACTCACACAGTCAGCTCCATTTTAAAGGAGGGAGTTCAGTGTTTGTGCTGAACGAGCTCTTCACCTGATTCTGATCTGTGAAAGTGATGTCACTGCAGGTGAACAGTGAGTAACGCTGGAGTACCTGAGATCGTATCTTGAGCGCTGGGCCGAGTTTGAGTCCGAAAGTGTCCAGCAGGTGGTCTTCAGTCAGCAGCGGTAACGTCTCTCCGTCGATCATGTGGTCCTTAAACGTCTACCGTGAAGAGCAGTCAAAGAAAAGGAGGAGGCGGTTTTGAAAAAGTTCATTAAAGCAGCACTCAGACGTGTTTTAAATAACAAACCTTAGTTTTTCTGTGTTTATAATGTCATTTAGGTCCTTAATTGAAATCTTAATCTTAATCTTAGTCGTAATGAAATTAAGGCCCTTTTTTGGCTAAGAAGACCAGCGAATACTTTTTCTGGCTTGACAGCTTAACACCCCAGCCAGACGTTCTCTGTTCTAAAAACATTCTGAGAACATTTCACACACGTTCTATCAATGTTTTCAGCGGAAAGTCGTGTAACTTAATCTGCAGCCCTCAGAACATCCTGAACACTGCAGTTAAACGTTGTATCTTAGTTAAGTTTGAGACGTTCTTTGAACATTAGATTGAGAACATAATTAGAGCTTCTAAGTGACGTTAGCTTGTGGGAACGTTGTGGAAACGTTCCCTGCTGGCTGGGATGGTGCGCCAGTTATTCATGGTTGTGATGTCACAGCACATGGACGTTTGGTTACTTCTCATTATTATCAAATTCATCCGAAAGCGGTTCACGAGCTCCATGTTATTCAGTTACATTTCACCACTGAGATTTTGATATAAAAACGATTAATTAATCTTTCAGCCCTGTTTCAGGCTGAAAACGTTCAGTGAGGAATGTGTGTCTGTGTCGTGATGCTGACCTGAGCGTATTCAGAGCAGCTCGGTATGTCGTTGATGAAGTTGTAGACGTCGTCCACCGTCCACTTGCGGAGATCTTCCAGCGACGACATCTCCTCTCCGTTCAGGAACAGGTTCGGAGGTCCTGATTGAGGCAGATGAGAGGTGTCGCTAGGTGGTTGCTATGACTTCACAGGTGGTTGCTGCAGTGTTAATAGGTGTTTGCTATGTATCACAATCTGTTGCTAGGATGTTGCTGGGTGGCTTCTATGGGATCCCAAGTGGATGCTAGGGTGTTGCTAAGCGGTTGCTAACGTGTCGCTTGGTGGTTGCTATGGTATCCCAAGTGGTTGCTAGGGTGTTGATAGGGGTTTGCTATGGTATCTCATGTGGTTGCCAGGGTGCTGTTAGGTGGTTGCTATGGAATCCCAAGCAGTTGCTAGGTGGCTGCCATGTTATCCCACGTGGTTGCCAGAGTATTGCTTGGCAGTTGCTATGGTATCCAAAGTGGTTGCTAGGGTGTTGCTAGGTGGTTGCTATGGGATCCCAAGTGGTTGCCAGGGTGTTGCTTGGCAGTTGGTAGGGTGTTGTTAAGTGGTTGCTAACGTGTTGCTTGGCAATTGTTATTGTATCACACATGATTGCTAGGGTGTTGCTAAGTGGTTGCTATGGTATCCCATGTGGCTAGGGTGTTTTCCACAGAACTATCACTTTAAGAGGCAATAAACTAACTAATAAATGAATAAAAATAACAACAGAATGCGCACCAGGAGGCAGGAGTCCATTGCCTGGCAACGGGAACATGTATGGGAAGCCTGAGAGCGGCCCAGCGGCGGACGGGTACAGGAGCTTCTCCTGGAAAGCTGAGCAGGGGTTGGAAATGTCCTTCTCGCCACTGCTGGAGTTACAGTTCGGGCCTTCGGCGCACACCTCCGGCCCGCTGATGCACGGCTTCCGGAGACCCTGCTCTCCGTCTTTGTAGCTCTTCCTGGCCGTGCTGGCAGACAGATCAGGGTCCATCTTAGTCTGGTGGGCTTTGCTGGAGGCAGAAAGTGTCATTTACTCAGTTAAATGTACTCACATCACATTCTGATGTGAGTGTTTTCACTTCTACTCAAGTATATCAGTGAGTAGCTTCCATTTTAGTCATTAACGTTACGATCCTGATCCTCTTTTCTGGGTTTATTTTCGTTTTTCTGTGCTGGTTCAGCTCCTGTTCTGCTCCACTGTCACTTTTTATTTTAGACCAGATGGATCCAAAAAGAGAAGAACCGTTCCTGTGCTGATAGCTGCTACACACACTCAGAAGTTCTACTGCAGTTCTAGAAGTTACTCTGTACTTATCTAGTAAGTGTCCGTCTCTGAATTTGTTAAATGTAAAGATTTTTTTTCCAACTGATCAAACCACCCAAAACGTATGTTTCAAGCACTTAGTTAATCATAATGAAGTTGAATTCCACCAATTTTTCTTTTTCTTCAGAGTGGTTTGGTGTGAAACACTTCATTCTAAAGAAACTCACCGAGTTCACAGTGGTGGTGATAGGAACCAGACGGGACATACTGCATGGGCAGGGGTTTTGGCTGTACTGGGAAGAGTTTCGATTGTACTGGTCAGGATTTCAGTTGTACTGGGAGGGGTTTTGGTTGTACTGGAAGGGGTTTCTGTTGTACTGGGAGAAGTTTTGGTTGTATTGGGAGGATGTTTGGTTGTACTGGGATGGGTTTTGGTTGTACTGGGAGGGGTTTTTGGTGTTGAACGTATCTTGGAGAGACGGATGTGTTTATGCTGCTATAACGTGGCTCAAATGCGTCTCAGTTCACCTCCTGAAGTGCTCTGATTGATCAGATCTGTATCAGTTTTAATTTGTCTTGGCTGCATTTACACTTGCGTTTCTATGTGGCCTCATCCAGATATAATCCTGATACTCAAGACACATGAAGTGACCAGGTGTAAACAGGGTCGTTGTTTTATGACAATTTTTAGAAGATTTTGGCCTTCAACTCCATTCATGGTGGAGGGATACATGCAGGGCGCTGTGAGGCAAAATAGTCCCCAAAGAAAACTTATTATTTCAGATTTTCCACTATTTTCCATCATCAACATTCCATATAAACTCAGAAGACTCGTGTAGGTTCACTGGTGGTTCTGGATAGTAAATAAAATGTCTATATTTGTGTTGTAGTCATGGCGACCCCTGGTTCCTATCACCACCACTGTAAAGACATCTGAGCCATTTCACACCAAACCTCTCTGAATCACTCTGATTACCTCACACACTGAGTTATACAGAGATTCAGAAAAATCGGTTGAATTTTGCTGTAACACAAGCCGAGTTCTCATACAGAATAGAAATTTTGAAAAATTGGTGGAATTTCCCTTTAAATCTAATCTTTTGTAATTCCTGATTTTTAAACAGAGTGATGGAGAATCAAATTAAAAAGTACAAAGTAAAAGTACACTTATTTAGTCGGTGCTGTTAGATGTTTGTCCAGGTTCAGGATACTCTTCTCACCTCTGGCTGGCGGTGGCTTCACCGGTCAGTTCACCTTTGACCTCTGGCTCCTTCTCCTCTCCCGAAGCTCCTCCTGGACTCTGCTCCACGCTCTTCTCCTCTGACTGGTTTTTGGGACAGGCCGGGTTGACCTCTGCCCCCTTGTGATTGGCGGTTCTCCGGCCGGCTCTCCGCCCCCTCTCCCTCTGCAGCGTGCTGATTGGTGGATAAGGGCTGCTGGACATTAGCAGGCTGTTGGCCTGCAGGTCATCCAGCGTGGGGCGGTGCACAAACACGTCGTGGCCATCCGGGAGCCGCTGGCGCCCCCTAAAGGCCATGGGGTTGGGTGGCAGGCCCTGGTACATCATGGGGTTCTCCATTCCGATCAGGCCTTTCTGGTGGGCGTTCTCCAGCTCCTTCTGGTGGAGGATCGCGTTCATCTCCATCCTGAACACAGGACGAACGTACAGTCAGTACAGACAGTTAGAGGAACCACAAGGTAGGTGTTTCTAATAAAGTGGACAGTTAGTAAAACCACAAGGTAGGTGTTTCTAATAAAGTGGACAGTTAAATGAACCACAAGGTAGGTGTTTCTAATAAAGTGGCCAGTTAGAGGAACCACAAGGTAGGTGTTTCTAATAAAGTGGACAGTTAGATGAACCACAACGTAGGTGTTTCTAATAAAGTGGACAGTTAGATGAACGACAAGGTAGGTGTTTCTAATAAAGTGGCCAGTTAGAGGAACCATAAGATAGGTGTTTCTAATAAAGTGGCCAGTTAGAGGAACCACGAGGTAAGTGTTTCTAATAAAGTGGACAGTTAGTAAAACCACAAGGTAAGTGTTTCTGATAAAGTGGCCAGTTAGAGGAACCACAAGGTAGGTGTTTCTAATAAAGTGGCCAGTTAGAGGAACCACAAGGTAAGTGTTTCTAATAAAGTGGACAGTTAGTAAAACCACAAGGTAGGTGTTCCTAATAAAATGGACAGTTAAAGGAACCATAAGATAGGTGTTTCTAATAAAGTGGCCAGTTAGAGGAACCACAAGGTTGGTTGTTTCTGATAAAGTGGCCAGTTAGTGGAAGCACAAGGTTGGGTGTTTCTGATAAAATGGCCAGTGAGTGTATAATATCTGTTAACATGCAAATTAGATACGTTCTTCTACACTATCAGCATGTGCTGCGAATGTTCAGTTAAGTTTACCTGGCGATGTTCTGTTTGTGAATAAGCTCTTGTCGTCTAGCAACAGTTTCCATGGATTCAGTGGGAAGAAATCCGTAACCTCCTGCTTCAAAATAGAACATTGCATGTAGAATTAGAGTAACAGTAATGATTTACTGTAATGGGGCATTGGCTTTGGTGTGCAACTGCTATACCAGTTTCCTATAATCAGAAATACTCCTGATTCAACTCAGCAGACAGTTACCAGGTTTAGTAAGAGTGCTTGAACAGGACAATCACCAAACTGTGCTGGACTACAGCCCTTCAGAACTGGAAGGGAGCTTTACATGGTCCACTCACAAAAGCTGCTGTTGTAAGGTTGAACAAGCTTAAAAGAACACCTGAAAAATCCCACTCAGAATAACAGACTCAGTTTATATCACAATACCTACATTTAGAGTCAGTTATTCATTCAGCCTAATGAGAAACTGTAGAACAGACTCAGTTTATATCACAATACCTACATTTAGAGCCAGTTATTCATCTCTAATGACTCTTATTTTGTATTTGTGTTTGTTGTTTATTTAGTGCCGATGGTGTTTAGATGTTGTGAAGAAAAATTCCGCCGATACTGAGTTGCTAGCAAACGATTTATTACATAGTAAAACAGCATCATATCAAGCACTATAGAGCACCTGAGAGAGGATCCGTGCCAATTCTAAATGTCCTCCCCGAACAGACTGACCAACAGCATATATATATGGTTCTTGTTGTTGAAACAGGAGACAGAGCATATGGTTCTTTTTAAAATGATCTCATCTATTTAGACCTAAGAGAAGAAGGGAGAAAGTAAGAGGCCCCCTTCCTCTGGACCTTTAAATTAAGGGGCTTTAAACCCAGAGGCCCCCCTCGTTCACATTCCTATCCCCTGCATAAACAGAGCACACAGGGAACTCCTAGATACTTGGAACTTCAGACATCAGCTTATACTCAACGTTAAGAGTGTTTTTACCTTCTTCTATAAAACTACTTTTCTAAATACACTTCATGTTAAAGGTCACCTACCTGCTCCAGGAAATCCTCTGCCCGGTATGACGTTGGAGTGTGAGGGCAGCTGTGGCCCCAGATGGGCTCCCATATGCATCTGCCGAGCTTCAGATGAAACCATCTCAGCAGGAGGGACCAGCTCTCTACACACAAACGTTAAAGAAACAGTTCAGTAAAAACTCATTTATTTACCCAGTTCACCCCCCCCCCACACCACACCACACCACACCACACCACACACATACTGCAGGCATACCCGAACAACCAAGACGTGTTTGGTGTCTAAGGTTTGCTTCTTTAGTTTTAGCACTGGAGCTACGAGGCTAATGCAGCTAACAAGTAATATTAGCTTATGTTAGCAAGTAGCACGGTGCTAACTGCCTTCATAAATCGTTACACACAGGCCTCAGACTGTGAGGAGGTGTTCAGTGTCTCTGATAGACTTGATTCTGTGGTTTCTGACTCTGTATGACTCACTGTTAACTATAAACATGGACTGAATTCGGACAAACTCCAGACTTTACGACGGCTGCTACGATTGTTTTTAGCTATGCAGCGCACATCTGGGTTTAAAATCAATCACTCTTACAGTCACCAGCACATCCTTACTTATTTACTTATTTACTTATTTATTTATTTATCAGGCACAACACACATTAGCTATATATATATATATCTATATAAATAAAGACCATTATTATTATTATTATCATTATTATTGGTGGTAGTAGTAGAGGAGAGCGGGGCACAAACTAATGCAGGGTAAAATGTATCATGAATAGTGGAAGTACAAGGTAGGTGTTTCTAATAAAGTGGCCAGTTAGTGGAAGCACAAGGTTGGTGTTTCTAATAAAGTGGCCAGTTAGTGGAAGCACAAGGTTTGTGTTTCTTATAAAGTGGCCAGTTAGTGGAAGCTCAAGGTTGGTGTTTCTAATAAAGTGGCCAGTTAGTGGAAGCACAAGGTTGGTGTTTCTAATAAAGTGGCCAGTTAGTGGAAGCACAAGGTGGGTGTTTCTTATAAAGTGGCCAGTTAGTGGAAGCACAAGTTTCTGATAAAGAATCCGTTGCATGATTAAAGGGTTCTTTGCATAGTAAAATGGTTCTTTAAATTGATGGAGAATGTGTTGGACATGTTCTATACAGCACCAAAAGGGGTTACAAGCTTGACATCGCAACATTATCAGAACCCTTTTTGATGCTATATAGAACCATATACAACACATTCTCCATCAATCTGAAGAACCATTTACCATGCAGATGGTTCTTTAATGTTCATGGTTCTATACAGAGCCATTAGTGTAGGAGCTCCAAAGTTCATGTTTTAGTGTGTAGCAGGGGCGTGTAGTCAAAAAATCATTGTATTCGATTATTCCACTTCCAGTTCTGCTGATGTTCTAAGCCAGAAACAATGAATAAAATCAGAATAAAGTCAGTTTAGCTGCTCACAGGCAAACTAACACCACATCAGACACAAAGCACATCACAGCGTTCTGTAAACACAGCAAACAGAGAACCTGTCCATGAAGCGCGGCTCAAACTGAGCAGGAACGGCCTGCAGTCTCTGCTGCCCCTGAGCCAGGATCTGAGGGGTCATCGCCATCTGGTTCCTCATCATCAGCTCCTGCCTCTGCCTCAGCTCTGCACACAGAACACACAAACACGGTTCTCTTACACGGTTCTACCGTCTCAGGTTTGCAGAAGGAGGTTAAAAAGAGCCGCTGAGTATTTCTGGTAATGTGTTACAATAATGCTTATTTTAAAGTGTTAATACTGAACACATAATAAACTGATATATCTGAGCCTGATACACACATATATATATATATATATATATATATATATATATAGGGAGAGAGAGAGAGAGAGAGTGGTTAAAGTCCAGGTTTTGTTGTGAACACACCTAATTGTGTTTTTTTCCCACCAATTTTAGTTGACAGTTTCTATTTATTTGCTTTATTTGAGTTTAACATGTTAGAAAATTAAAAGACAAAAAATAAAATGTGCCAAAATTTGCACAGGCCACATTTCATGTTTTTTTTTTTTTTCTCAATATGTTAAATTTGGTAAATAAACACTAATTGGGCATTAAAATTGGCGGAAAAATGCCATAATTAAGTGTGCAGAGGTGTGTTCTCTGTAGGGGATGATTTCCATTTAGAAAAACAATAAAAACTTGAAATTTGACCAGACGCTTTAGCCCACGCCTTTACCATCATTTATAACACATGTACTGCAATGTTGTATCATACTGTACTGTATTATATATAGTAGTATAGTAACATGCTATGCATAATATTGTATTGCACTGAATCATATCATATTGTATCATATTACATTGTTTTCTCCTATAATTTTGAATCATATGTTGTACCACACTGTAACTGTTCCATCATATAGTCCACTCGTACAGCACTGTGCAAAAATCTGATACTAACTTTCATTTAATTTATTGTCAATATGATAATCCACTTGTGTCAGGAAGGAGAAACATCAAACACTGATTAAAAGCTCCAGAGAAATTGTGTCTCCTAACCACCACCTGGAAGACCTGGTCGACCCCAAAACTGCCCCCATCAGATAAACAGCACTTAAAGCTTTCATCTCTGAGAGAGAGGAGAAAATCAAGCTGCTTCAGATCTGAAAACATCCACAGGTGTTTCTGTCCATCCTTCCACTGTGAGAAGACGACTCAGCGCTGTGGGTCTGAAAGGATGTGTAGCTGATCAAGAAGAACCTCACTGAGAAAAGGAGACGGACACATCAAACAAAGAAGCTGAACAATGGACTGACCACCCCAGAGTCCAGACCTCAACACCACTGAATGTGTTTGATTACTTCAGAAAATGATCAACCAGCTTCTAAGACTGAACTTTGGAGGTGTGTCTGCAGATTCTTTGAGGAGCTGAAAGTGAGGCTCCTGAAAAGAGTGGAAGCTGGAATAAAGGGGAAGAGTGACTCACTGACTCACTGACTCACACAGCTGGATCCAGAATCATGAAAGGGTCTTAAGAATTGGTAATTTGTAAAATGTAACAAACTAAACTGTATGACACTGTAACCTACAGCCTACACACAAAAACAACTACAACAATTACAAATTCTTAAATTTATGAAATTTCCTAAAATTCCTAAGTTTCCTAAATTTTTTATGAGAATTAACTCTAACATTAACGTTTTAGAAGAATTACATTAACAACTTTCCCAAATTCCTAAATTTAAGAAATTTCCTAAATTCTTAAATTTTTTATAAAATTTGTATTATGAAAATTGTATTTCAGAAATTTCTTATGAACTTCGTACTTAGTACTTAGTCTTAAGATCCTGTGTGTTTTTTTCTTAGGAGAGCTTTAGTGAATCAGGCCCTGATATTTGATTGAGTTGATGAGGGCTAAATGTGTATTTTCTTTTTTCCTGACGCTGATTAACGAGCTGATTAACGAGCTGATTAACGAGCTGATTAACGAGCCGTTTAAACTGTAAATTAAATAAATGATGGGGTCTCAGACTTGTGCACAGTGCTGTGTGTTCTAGAATCAGGTCAGAAGGTTCCGGTACCTCCAGCCGACATGCCGTTAACCAGCCGGTACCAGTGTTTCTCATCCAGAGCGCTCTGCTCCCCCAGAGCCGTCATCTTCCTCAGCTGCTCCCGCGGAGTCATCACAGCCTGACCTCTGACACACACACACACACACACACACACACACACACACGCACACACACACACACACACACACACACAGCATAAACACTCCAGAGGAGCCGCTCAGCGCTCTGCAGAGCTCTAATCAGAGGCGTGAGGTGTGTAATACGTCATTTTGGGACACATCGAATTTTCACTTTCACTGAACACGTCACTGCAGATCACTGTGACTGAGGGACTTTCACACCCTCGGTAAACAGGCTTTACGTGTTGATTAGTAACACAGTGTAATACTATATTATGGGATTATTTACTTATTTAAGCATAATTAATCATTTTTGATAAAAGATGGGAAAAGATAATCACCTGTCTTTCCTCTTTATTTATGGCAGCAGAACTTTGAGATTTTGACTTAATGACTTTTTATCTTGACTTATTCTATCAAAATTCTGACATTATCTCAAATTTGTATCTTGATATCTCAAAATTAGGATTTTTTCTCATAACTTTCTTAAATGAGTGACTCCTATTAACTCGTTCTTTTGACTCACTAAGTCAAATGGTGGAGATTTTAATATTGTTATTGTGTCCAAATTCTGACGTAAGTGACATTTTTAAAATAAATAAAATTGCAAGTAAACAAGTGATTATTCTTAAATAAAAAGTCAAACATTTGATATACTAAGTCGAAAAACTGTGAAACCCTGCTGCCGGAAACTGAGAGAGTTAAAACAAACAAACAAAAAAAATTGGCTTGCTTAAGTTTCTAAATTTAGAATTTAGAATTAAAACAGAAAAATTTAATCAAGTTAAGAATTGAATTAAATGATTAGTGCAATCAATGAAGGGAAGATTTACTGATACCTGGTGCAGCTGCTCTCTGGTCACTTATCGGTCAGTAATACAGTCGACTGTCTGTAGAAAACAGCCTAAAAACAGAAAAATAGAAATCATGTTAAATTTTGGCCGCCAGATTTATGAACCCAAATTAGTCACAATTCATTTTTACACTCTCTGTTTATCACACATAGTCAAACAAGCTGTTTCTGTTACTGCACCTTTACTGATACATGTAAATGAGCTCTGCTCTGATTGGCTGTGCCTCATTCTACAAAGCAGTCTGGCTGAAATCAGAGTAAGTGGGTGGGGCTAAACTGCTATAGGCTGAATAGGTGGCTATAAGTAAATGTGTTTGTTTCTGTGACATCACAAACAATATTAAACCTTTTTATGTAAATATGTATTTTTTTAAATACAGGCTCATTTGTAAGTGTTTTAGTGTGACACTTGCTGGCTGGATGTTCACTCTGCTGTGATGATAAACAGCCGTGTGTGAAAGTTTGTGTTGTTGCTGATTTTCTGAGTGTGAATAAGTTACAGATCCTCTACAGAGACTGCGCACTTTAATACACTATTACTGTTTATTTACACAGTGTGTCCTTTGCAAAAGTTATGGCACATTTTAAAGCCAATTTCATGTGTTTCACGTTAAACTTAACAAAAAAGATAAAACTGTGCACTAAAACGAGCAGAATAAATATCAGACTTAAGTAAGGCTGGGAGTATTTACAATTATCACGTTATGCCTTTCTGAGCCTATCGCGGAGACTGTCGGTGCTTCTAGAGCTGAGTGAAAATCTAAAGATGATTTGTATGCATTGTTCTTGATAGTCATTTTTACAAGTAGAAACAGACATATGAATATAAATGCTGTGAGGTGCCGTCAAATTTCTCAAAATATCTCAATTTTATCGTTTTGCAATATCGTCCATCCCCGTGTCTGAGAGTGTTCTCTGTGGGGGATGTGTAACGAATTTTCAGGGGTGCACAAACTTTTGCACAGTCCGAGTTGTCCCACTCTGATAACTCCACAAATGCTGTACACCGTTCTGAGTGTTAAAGAAGCCCCCCCACCCCCCCACAGTGTGCATGCATGTTCCCCCTCAGGTTCCTCCAGCTCGTCCCGTCTAATCTGGGCTGCTTTAATCCTCCTGTTAGTCCAGCAGCAGTCTGCCCGCAGCATCTGCTGACCTGCCTGTTTGCGTCCGGCCTGCTGTCCGCTAACCCGGCTATCCCGGCTAACCCCCCCAGGTTAACGTCCAGCCCCCCCGGCCCCCCCAGGATCCTATTAGCTAAGTCCTGACTATACAGCACTTTAACGGGATGTGTTGGTGGTAATCCCTCAGTTTAGCGTTTTACCCTCAGCAAACCTTGCCTGTAAGCACAGCACACAATACAGCCTGAGCGCTAAGCTCATTAGCCTCCATTAGCCTCAGGGATGTCCCCAAAACACCTCAGGGGTCGCACAAGCTTTATGGAGGGAAAAAAAAACGTGTCCACAGCACAGCCTGAAAACACCTCACTGATTCTGCTTTATCACCACACTTAAAGGGGAATTTAACCATTTTTCTTTTGATTTGGCATAATTTGACAGTTCAGATGTAAACAGAGCGGTTCAGAGAGGTTTAGAGTGGTTTGGTGTGAAACGCTCTGTTCTAGAGAAACTTACCGAGTCAGAACTGTTCACAGTGGTGGTGATAGGAACCAGACGTCCACCTCTAAAAGCTCCCTCACAGAAAGTTCCTACATGAAATGGTTATGAATTCACTGCCTGATGACTGAGACACTGTTTTATGATAGTTTAGAGAACTTAAACTCCATTCATGGTGGAGGGATACATGCAGGGCGCTGTGAGGCAAAATAGTCCCCAAAGAAAACTTATTATTGATTTTCCACTATTTTCCATCATCAACATTCCATATAAACTCAGAAGACTCGTGTAGGTTCACTGGTGGTTCTGGATAGTACATAAAATGTATTTGTGTTGTAGTCATGGCGACCCCTGGTTCCTATCACCACCACTGTAAAGACATCTGAACCATTTCACACCAAACCACTCTGAATCTTTCTGTTTACACCTCACACACTGAGTTATGCATAAATTCTGAAATATTGGTGGAATTTCCCTTCAACACAATTCTTGTTTGAATTTCATGACCTCAGTGTGAGTGGGCGGGGCTAAACTGCTGTAGGTCTGAATAGGCCTATTTATATACGTCTATTAAATGTATGTAGATGTGCTGGTTTTTGTGACCTCACAAGCACAGTGGATTCTAAAGGGGCTGTTTGTGCAGTTTGGTCCCCATCTATGGACGGTACTGCTGCAGAGTGAGTGAAGTGGTTGGAAACGTCTGCAGTGTTTACATACTACATCAAACTCATGGATAATGCAGTTTTCGGCGATATGGGCCCTGTAACACAGTGCAGTGCTGCAGGCAGACGCTGATCTGCACATGTAGGAAAGTGCAGCGCGTGGCAGTGCCAGAACTGAAGCCATATCCAAGTCTCAGGATTTGCCTGCTGCTAATCTCATTAAAGGAATGAATTAAAGGAAAACTGCTGACGACTTCCATTGGGCCGTACATCAGAGCAGGTCATAATTAGGGAAGATGATAATCATCGTCTGCTCCACTGTATTCCCTCACAGCGATAATCCCATAAGAACGTCTCTTTATTCAGGTGATGGACACACATGACAGACTCCGGCTAACGCGCTGGAGCCGCCCGGCCGCTAGTTTAACAACAACACTGACACAGGGCTCTTAATGCATAGATATTGTAATTAATGTTAGTTTATATCTGTTTAATTTATTCTAATTTAAGGATTTTTTTTGCTCTTTTTCACTCTGACTAATCATAATGTTCTTTTAATTTACTGTTTTATTTAAAGGGCCTATTTCAGGAAAACCACCTTGCTTTTTTAAAATAAAAGCTGAAGCACGTTTAAAGCTTTACCTCTCTGTTGCATGAATTATTACTTAAATATGATGAAAATGTTTTAATGTGTTTTTGTTATTTAAAATTGCTTAAATAATGGAAATATTTGAATATATATACATACACACACATATATGTGTGTGTGTGTGTGTGTGTGTTTATATCCAAATATTTCCATTATGTAAGCAATAATGTATATATACATTTTTAAGTGAGGTATTTGGTAAATTGTTGGCAACAATGGCAACAATGTGAAATCGCAGAAAGTGCCATAAAATCTTAAAAAATATATATAAAATCTATTTTTTCTTTAAAAGCATCCTTTTATTGAAGACTACACTAAAATAATCCAACTTACTTAATGAAATGTGTGACCCAACATTTACAAATATCGGAAATTAATGCAATTTGCATTAATGCATGGTAATAATAACATCATAATAAGATGTCCCGGTCATGTGATGTCATAAAGTATTTGTCTTTTCAAAATAAAAGACTTTTTTCCACAATTAAATAGTAAAACATAGATTTTATATTACTGCGTCTTAGTAAAATAGAGATAAAGTTGCCATCTGGCACCGCTGTGCAATAGAGGGTTGAGTTGCATCCAGTCCACACAGCCCGCATATGAAAAGCTGCCAAACCAGCCTTTGCTTATGTGATGTCACAAAAACAAACCCATGTATCCATCTAGATCCGGTTGCTGACAGCAGTTTAGCCCCGCCCCTTCATTCTGAAGTTATAAGGAGTGTTTGACAGGGACTGAACAGAGAACAGAACAGAGCCCATTAACATACGTCAGTCTTAAAGGCACAGTAACATCCTTATTTATCCCTGCTTATTTGTAAGGGGTAAAGAGTGTAAAAAGGAATTATGACTGTTTGTTTTATATTAAAGCACACGCACATCATAAGTGGACCTCAAGAGGAAACAATGCAAGGAAAGTGCAGGATATGGGCCTTTTAAATAGGCTGTGAAGCAGCTGTGCACTGTGAGAAATAAAGGTTCTGTTCAGGTATGTTTTTCATTCATCAAGGTACAAACAGTGTAAATGTTCCCTCAAAGCTCCAACAGTGGTTTTAAGGTCTGATTGTGAACCTTAAATAAGTTTCTCCAGGTGAAAAGTTCGTATTTGTACCTTTTCATAACCGAATGTTTTAAACAGAACAGTAAAATAAAAGCCTGGAGACGAGACGGGGTGTGTGGAGTCAGCACAGCTTAGAACATATCATTTCAGTGGATTATGGTTCAGTTATGTTCCCTGACTAAAGGTACTGAGATGGAGCCTTGAGGGTTCCACCCCAGTGACAAGAGGAGAACTGACCCAGAGACAGTTTAGAACCTTTATTTCAGAGAGTGTAGCTGCATTTTATATGTATTAAAGTACCTACATAAACACAGTTTTCTTCTTCTTCTTCTACTTATTATTTTTATTATTATTATTATTAAGTAGTAGCAGTAGAGTCTAAAAGCTCATTGAGATGCATGTGATTTGTCCCAAATATGAATATATAGCTTATATAAACTATGAAAAACTTTCAAGCACAGCCATAAAAACACACGTTCCTCAGCCACAGCCACTTTTCTGTAGCTGTGAATAAATGATGTATGAAAATAACAGCAGAACTGTATATGACACTGTATACATTCTGTATGGAGCTCCATTATGAACAGACAGTTATAGAATATCATCCTCCATACGCTCCATACTGCTCATCATAAAGAGAGATTAAAATGAACAATATTCCAGCACTGAGTAGAACTTCTGAAGGTTTATATAATGTGGAGAAGCTCACTGTTTTACACAGTCCTCTCTGGAGCTCATTTGAGTGTGTGATTAGTATTATTGATGGGTGTTTCGGGCTCTTTATGCTCTTTATGATCTCATAGATTGTTTACAGTAATGTTCCATAAGCAGGGACAGCTCAATACAGGACAATAACAATGCAAAAAATACATAAGCAAATCCATAAACAATAGTAATATTTTTTAGCAGTTAGAAAAAAGTACTAATATCAATGAATATCACCTTTATTAGAGAAATAAAAATGCATTTTTCATCATACACCAGTTGTTATTCTAGCATTCTGTACTTCTGTGTATCTATATATGTTAACCCACATTTTTTATTTCCTGAGTTTATCATATTGAAAAAATTATAGCATAAAATATAAATTGTGCACAGGCTGTTTGTTATGCTCTATTTTTTTCCCCCAGTCTGTTAAATTCAGTAAATAAAGAGTACTTGTGCATTAAAATGTGAAGTGTATTCTCTGTAAATGGTCTGTTAACTTTAAATACATTTAATTATAATTTAAAAACTAAATAAGAATAAATAAATACATAAACAAACAAAATATTCAGAGGTTTGGGATCACTAGTCATTTCAACAACTGTTGTATGATGATAAATTAAAACAAGGCACCAAAACATGAACCAATGGTTTATTCATACTTTAAAGGAACAATGAGAAGTTGTGACGTCTCAATAAAGCAAACTGTAATGATCTATTTACAGTCACAGATTTGGTCACTACTTTTTGAATATGAGTCATTCTTTATATTAAATTTATTAATAGTTCGTTATCAGTTCTGTTCAGCTTTCGCCACTATCACACAATCCTCTGCAGCTCTGCTCATCATCGAGCACATCACAGCTTCATACACGCTTAAAAGGATGGTTCTTCAAGGGTTCTTCAGCAAAGAAATTGTTCTATATAGAACATTTTTCAAAAGGTTTCTATATAGAACCAAAAAGGGTTCTTCTGTTGTTAGAAGCTTGACATTGTAACAATAGAAGAACACATTTTGATGCTAAATAGAAACCTTTTCAAAAAGGGTCTTCATAAAACCTCTACAACACATTGTCCATCAATCTGAAGAACCATCTGTTTTAAGAGTGTGCAAACAGTTTGGAACCTGCAGAACATCAGCATCATATTATACATGTGTCTGCAAGAAAATTAATATATATCACCAGATATACTTTGATGTTTTTCAGTTTTTGAAATATTTTGAAAATGCCTGTTGCTCTTTACATTGTGTGTAAATTTCATGATGAATGGAGTAAAATAAACGACCCAAAATTCTGGTTCCATTGACTTACATTAAACGTAAAGTGCGTTTTTTCCTTCTCCTGTAAAGTTACCGTTTTAGAGATACGAGGTTTTGTTCCAACAGCGACATATATATAATCATATAATTTATATATCATTGTGGTCCAAAAAAACATTTAATGTGATTTTCAGTTCTCTGCGCAGTCTAAGCTCAGCATCTGCCCTCTACATCATGTAAACCTTTCATGATGATTGCACCAATGGAAAAGCTCCAAAACAGCTTCCAATAAAACCTCTTTACATTAACTTACATTGAAAGTAAGGAATGTTTTCGGCGTCTCCTCTAAAGCTGCCATTTTGGAGATACTTGTTTTCCTTTGGACAGCGAATATATTTATATATATAATCTGAGGAGGCAGATTAGTGCAGAGAGCAGTGCAGTGTTTTCCAGAGAGTCTGAGTGAAGGATAAAGCAGAGGGGTCACCACACACTCACCTCTGGTCCAGCGCCAGGTCACCGAGAGTCTTTCTGGACCTTCTCAGCCGGACGGATGAGGCCTCTGCACAAACAGCAAACAAACAAAACCAGTAAAGCTCGTCCACTCTCGACCGGATGCCAGTAGAACCCCTCCGGAAGCCGCTCGCTCTGGACTTCGGGCCTTCTTCGGGCCTTCTTCTTCTCCTGTGAGGAGCTGTGGGCGCTCGGTGCCAGATACCTGCCTTAACTAAAAAAGACCTTTAAATACAGATTGCTTTTATCTCCATTAGCTGGCCTTATCTCGCTGCCTAAGCCCTCCCTGCACTGACATCACGATCAGCGATACTGAGTCCAACTGCGCGCGGGACGCTGCTCTGAAATGTAATTAAGAGCACTGCCTAAGCATGCAGGATAAACCTCTTTCAACATCTACCTCACTAATCCCCTGTTAGCGCCCTAAGGCCGCGGGTAAGACACCTAAATGCTCGGACTTCCTTCTCCAACCGCCAGTTTTAAACTCTTCAAGCCTTTCTAGCTTCCTTCCAGGCCAAGAACTCTAAAATTTCAGATCAGGTACTTTTAGAGTTATTACAGAGTTATTCCGCACTTACAGTCAGCTGCGCTGAAGACATTCCCCTTTTAAAACACACGGTTGCTGCAGGATGATCTGCTCAGACGGGTTAATCTGACAGTTAGCGCTCACCACCCGCTTACAGCCCAATCTGCACCACCTAGACTTATATTTTTAATACTGAGGGGATAAGGGGAATTAGTCTAAGGGGTAAGTGTGGACACGGGCAGGTGGGATTTGGGGTTTGGGGTGTTTTTTTTGGAGGTTTTTCCCTCAAAATCAGACACTTGTGACCAGGCTGGCGCTGAGCATCCGTCCCCTGCAGGGATAAGCAGGCTGGGGGTCAGTTTACTGTTTATACAGCTATTTTACTGATTAGCACTGCATTACGCTACTACAGCACCGCTACACAAGGCTAAAAGCAAATGTACACAAACTTCCCTCACAAACCGGCAGCCTGGTGGCCGCAGCGACTGTTCTAGCTATGCTAACATACTTTAGTCCAGGTTTATAGATTAAAGTGTATCATACAGTGTTAGAAACCACATAAGCAAGTATATTAGAGATACTGAACACCTCCACATGCTTTGAGGAGAGGCATGCAGTTAGCAACATGCTAATTGCTAACACCATATATATATATATATATATATATATATATATATATATACATGCCTAGATGCCGTGTTGGGTCCAGCCAGGCACGTCAATGGTGCCGCCATTTTGGAGAGGTCAACATCACTGCTGGACTGCATTCAGTACCATTACAGAGCGACAGTTTCAGAAAGATACTGTCCGAAATTACACTATTTAAAGAATATCACACTCAGAAAGTGGGATAGGATTATATAACGGAGGGAACGCAGTGATCCACACTCATGTCTGTGTGGTGTTTGTGTAGATATGGCCGTGTGGTTAATGAGGCACAGAGAACCTGTTGATGTGACTGTTTTTCACATGTAGTAGTTATTTATTTACAGTGATGGTCAAAGCTTTGTAGTGGTAAGTTATAGTATTCCGTAATCCGTATAGATATTCGTAATAGATTAATGTTAACACCTTATTACACGGAGCTGAACTGAACTGCTGCACCATTTAAGGTGGAACGGGAAAACTTGAACAGGAAGCTGGTGAATAGGAAGCCGACTTCAGCTCCGTCCTTCTTACTGTGTTTTGGGGGTTTATTTTATTTTTATGTGTATAAAGATTAGAAGTGATTCACACATTGATGGATTTGCTGATGTGTCTGATTGTGTCTGAATACTTTCCTGCTGGTCCGGATGGATAATTATCACGATCAGTTATTAAAGTAATAAAAGCTGCCGAGAGCAGATCCGTGCAGCCTGGATTAATCTGTGTCTGAGGATTATAACTAAACAGATTTGGTGAAAATCGGTTGAGTAGTAAGGAAGTTGTGGCTGATTTAATCCTGAGACTCTTCGTCTCTCAGTACGAGTGAATCTGTTCACAAGCAAATCTTGACCTCTCCAACATGGCGGACGCGCAGACGTATCACCTCACATAGAGAACAAAAGACAACGCGGCATCTAGATATGTATATCTATGGCTAACACAAGATACTTACTAGCTATATTAGCCTTTAGCTCCAGTGCTAAAACTACAGAGGCAACTTCAGACTCCAAAAATGTCTTAGCTGTTGACTACATTTGGGGTGAAGAGGAAAAACTGTGAAAACTATGGCTTGAAAAATCTAATAGCTCTGACCAACTTACAGCTGTGAGCTAACAAAACATACAGACAGCGGTTAGCATCCACCGCTAGCATCCACTGCTAGCAGAAACTAATATTTTGACCTGCGCCAATTCAGGGCCAGATGTAACGCTGTTTTTGCTTATCTGGGCTGGTTTTAATCTGTTTTGGAGCAGATCCATAAAACAGATCAGGTCCGGTATTTTGCCGTTGTGCAGAAAGACACCGGGCCAGCTCTGCTTTGTGGATCTGTGCCGGATGCAGCGCTGCATTTGGCCCTAAGCAGGCGCAGTGTACATCTGTTAACTGGGGAGCTGCTGTGTTTCCTATCACTGAGTAAAAGATGCACGAGGCTTATTTTACTGTTGGACTGATCACGTCAAAAACGTGACAGGATTAAAGCTGCGGTGCTGTCATGTGATCAGCAGCAGCGCCGGACGCAGAGCCAGACGGCCACGTTGCGACAGGCCGATCTCGTCTCATCTAAAATAAAAAAGAGGTAAAGGCTAATGAGGTGGTCAGGACTGACAGTGGACAGACCCCGAGGAGATGTGAAGCGCTGGTTTATCAATCTCCCGCTTTAAGCCCTTAAAGAGGGATTTGAGTGCGGCGCGTGTGCTGTGTGTGTAGCCGGCGCTCTGAGGCGAGGGGATCAACACAGGTTTAACCTTAAACTCATCTGTCTCAAACAGACAAACCCCCCCGATTTAACAATGACCAACATAAACAGGGTCTGCAGGAATCCTCAGCCTACATTTAATACTATTTGAAGCAACTGTAAATTATTTAACTAATGAATTAATTTTAATTTTAAATTGTGTAACATTCATTGACTCTTATTATGTTGGTTTACAGCAGTTAATTAATGATAATCACAATAATTTAATTCTGATAAATTGGAGTAATGCAGTAATGTTAGTTTGACTTAGCTAATATTAGCTTAATGCAGGTACTACTAGTTTACTACTGAGAGCTGATTAGTTAACATTACTGCTATTGTGTGCTGATTGTTTAGCATTACAGCTACTGAGTGCTGATTGGTTAACGTTACTGCTACTGAGAGCTGATTGGTTAGCATTACTGCTACTGAGTGCTGATTGGTTAGCGTTACTGATACTGAGAGCTGATTGGTTAGCCTTACTGCTACTGAGTGCTGATTGGTTAGCGTTACTGCTACTGAGTGCAACGAACTTTGCTAATAATGAAATGTCTGAAAATGCATGTAAGAAAAAACAGTTGAGACCAAAACATTATTTAGTTTGGTATTTTAAGTTTTTATTTAATGAATTAACAGTGAATGAGAGAAGAAACGCAAAGGAACATTTCCACTGGACACTAATGAACTCAAATCGCATGAACACGTACCATCAGAGGAAGGTACTGAATCCTTAAACTCTGAGGGTCTGTACGTGGGCTCAGTTCCTCACTCGGAACATTTCAGTAATCTTTACACAATTCACAGTAATTGCTGGATAATTTATAATAAGCTTTAAGATAAATAAGTAAATAATAATAAGTCTGCGGTTTACAGGGTTAAGCGCAGCACTGGGTCCAGGTTTACTGAGGCATGCTGCTGCAGCGCCCCGGGTCCTGGTCAGTGGAGGTCAGCGTGTCGATGTTGATGCCGTTGGAGGTGAGGATGTCCTGCAGCTCTGAGAGGGTCTCTTTGGGGAGCGAGCGGCTCCGGCTCAGGATCCACGCAAACTCCACATGGAAGAGCCCCAGATAGTCAGAGCAGCCGAACACCAGGGAATAGTTCTCATAATCCGTGGACAAAACCCAGTAATTACCAGGAGGAACTCCTGAGGAGACACACACACCCCTGTTCACACACGTTTCTGATAAAGTGGCCAGTTAGTGGAAGCACAAGGTGGGTGTTTCTAATAAAGTGGCCAGTTAGTGGAAGCACAAGGTTGGTGTTTCTAATAAAAGTGGCCAGTTAGTGGAAGCACAAGGTGGGTGTTTCTAATAAAGTGACCAGTTATTGGAAGCACAAGGCGGATGTTTCTAATAAAGTGGCCAGTTAGTGGAAGCACAAAGCGGGTGTTTCTAATAAAGTGGCCAGTTAGTGGAAGCACAAGGTGGGTGTTTCTAATAAAGTGACCAGTTATTGGAAGCACAAGGCGGATGTTTCTAATAAAGTGGCCAGTTAGTGGAAGCACAAAGCGGGTGTTTCTAATAAAGTGGCCAGTTAGTGGAAGCACAAAGTGGGTGTTTCTAATAAAGTGGACGAATGAATGTGAACTCATGTGGTGCTTCGGTTACCTTCAAAGAAGCTGACCTCCAGCTTGGCCGGCTCTGATGGATCTTTAGGTTTGGCTGTTCCTTCAATACTGCTGACCGTCCCATCAGCCCTGGAAAGAAGTGTGTGCACTTTAGAGAGGCTCCTCCTCCAGGAACACCCTCAGTTTTATACTCAGCAAATCGTCTGAATTTGTGATTTTTTATTATCAGAAATTTGGTGAACTCAGTTTCTCAGCCATGTGTGACGCACAGAGACTTAAAATGGACAGAGAACATTCAGGCTTCGATACAGCTGCTGCTAACGTTAGCTTAGCGTTGTTGTAATGCAAATGT